TTCTTTTAGCGCGTCTAAGTAGTGTTGTGGGGAATGCATTAGTGTAGGAAGGGTGGTTTGGTGGGGTCTTGGCAAAAGTGAGCGACTTGGGTGTGTGAGCAACTCGCCCATGAAGTACGTTATTTTCTTGCTGTCTTTCTTATATATCATTTTTACTAGACTTTAGGGATTCTAACAACGTAATTGCTCTTAAAATTAGATCTATATTAGTAGAGTTAGTATTATGTGGCAATTTTAAAGTTCCTGGCAAAAGTGTGCGTCAGGTGAGGCTGGGCGTCAGGTGCCAGGATACGGTACGCGCTAAAACACGGTAGTGCGCGGAAATACTTTCCTCCACTGAGACACGCATTAGAGGTGACTCTGAGCCTCTCAAAACCAATTCTACCACTGTCTCCACCACCTGGGCAATAGTAAGTATAGCTTAATACTTTTGCTTCTTATTCTCTTCAGCTTCGCACTCGAACTCTACGGATTTTTCCCCGCTCTTGGACAGTGATTCGCTAACTTTTTAGCTGCAGGCAATGGCGCGCTCACACCTCCCCCCCCCCCAGGATGCTCCCCGGAAGCGCCAGAAGGTTGCCAGCGGTAGGGCGCTATCTATTCCCGCGAGCCCATCGTATGTAATTCCATGCTACCTCCACCATTCCGACCGCCTAAGCTCAGAAAATACGAGGTTTGGATATGGATACTTAGGGAATGAAAGGCTTCTACACACTTCTACTTTCATCACAGTGAATGGAGGGTGCTGTGGAATAGCAGAAGCTCGCATTTTCCGAATTCTCTAGGCTCAGTTCTCTGAGACTCTTGGACCGTAGATAAGGCAGCTATGCGATAAGCCCTCACTCCTACATCTTCCTTTCTAAACCTTTGCCTCTGGATTTTCTTCCCACATCGTAGATGCGGAGATTTCCCCCTCCTTTTAATGCCACGGAAATATTATCTAACTTGCTCTTCTCTAGTCGCACTGACGGAGCGATTGAGTCGCTCTTTTCTCAAGCTCCTCTCCCCATGTCTCAACCCTCTCCTACTATGTCCCCGAATTTCGGCAATTCCGACAATCCTACGCTCCGGAAACGCCCCCCAAAGATATCAAAGGCAGCGCAAGTTCCTGTTTGGCCGAAACGCAAATATCCTGAGATTACCAAGGCCCAGGTGACTAAGAAGAGGAATGAGTACAAGCAAAAATGGAGTGAGCCTCCAGAAAAGCCACCAAAGGGAACTGTATGTTTTTAAAACTCTCTTTCATATTCCCCGTGGGTTCCAGCTCTAGCTGACCTCTTCCTGCAGGCTATGCCATACAAGCTGCAAGTCCTGTAGGTCACTGTTTCTTTAAAACATCTAGGCTCTTGCTCTTTTAAATTTCCTAAAGTGATGTGCTACATCGCTTAGCTCTGTGCACTGCCCTTGCTTTTCTGCTCTATACATTATATTCTCCAACCTTTTTGCTAGGGTTTGCTGACATGGATGTCCTATAGCTGGTGGTTCTTTGGCAATCAGATCAGTGAGAAGCGTAGGGAGGAAGGTGATGAACAACCTGTGGCGCGATGCTATACATGCAAGAGCCATGGAACTGTAAGTTACGCCTTCTCTTCTCTACTGTCTCGCATTTCACGGGCTTTTGCTGACTTGGAATAGAAGATGCCGAGCGCTGAAGATGCTCCAGACGGCACAGAAGTACGGCAATGCGCCCCCTGTGGCTGCGATTTTGCTGTACGCTAGATTACTCGGATTTCACAGGTTCTCTAGGATAGATTGCTGACATGTGCATAGGCCGCCTGCCTTGAATACTACTATGTCAAGCTTGGTCTCTACGATGTAAGTGTTCTTCTTTTGTTAGGGTTTCTAAGCCTTTGCTGATTTAATACTATAGCGTGCTAAGCAGCAGATGGCTGAGCTTCATCCACAGCGTACTCTTGTTCCAAAGGCCTTCGGTCAGAATGCCTATCAGATGCTGTTATGCTGGGAGATAGAGCATGGTGAGTGGAGTATTGAGAAGGTAATCCTAGCCTCTCTTAGCTTCCTTCTTGTGTTTCCTGAGGGTTTAAAGTTAATTCATCCATGTTGTTTAGATGATTGACTTGCACAAGGAAAAGTCCTCTGCGCTTGAAGCTATAAGCACAACACGCATTGATAATAATGAAGTTCTTGGTATGAATCTTTCTTTTGTTCTGAGACTAAGGCCTGATTATACTAATATTTCTAGGCGCTACTGCGAAGAAGCCTTCAGCTTTGCGCAGGAAGAAGAGCAAGAAGGATGTTAATAGTACAGAGTGAGGTTTACTCCGGACGCTCTGACATGCAACGTTTTACAAGCAAATGCCCTCTTTTCTATTGGTTAGCATGAGGTTGATTGTAGTCCTTTCTACCTTAACTTTTTTGGCTAGCTAGGACTCGGTTTGTACGATTATCTTAAGCGCATTTTGGGTAGCTCCTGGATTTTTTTCAGCACTCTTTACCTACTAAATAGATATACAGTCCCTCCGCAAAAGTGTGTGCACACTTTTTTGCAACCCTAAAATCGCCTTGCTTTTGTACAAACTAGCATACAGCCAGGATCTATATAGACCAAATACATGATTTTTCTCTTAATACTTTGTCTGCCAGCCCTATGCCTTAATGACAGCCTAAACTCTCTTAGGTACTCTCTTAATAAGATTATTAATTATAGCTGTAAGGACAGGGTTCTGTACCACTGCGCCAATACAACCAAAAAGGTGCGAATAATCAACCAACAGGAATCTGCGTACAGAATAGTATATATACCTGTCGCGCGTAAGGACCGTCGTACAAGCCGCTCCCGGCCTTACGGTGCATTGTCCTTTGTAAGGACTAGCGGCCTTACACTAACATTAAAATTTCTAGTAGCAGCAGCAGCCTTTTTTGCTCTATTCTTTATCTAAGGATAGCTGTTTTAAAGTGCAGCGTAAGCTTATTTTTAGGCCCTTAATTAACTAAGATATCTAACAGGAAGTGGCGCATTATGTTAGGGCAAACTAGTTTCAATTAGTTTTAGGGGTCAGAGGTGCGGAGCTTGGCATTTTAGTGGTGGTGAAAAAAGTGTGCACAAACTTTTGCGCTTGTACTGTATATTAATTCTAATATACCTACTACTTATACTCTTGTTATTTACCCATTTTAGTGGGCTGTTTTACCTTCCAAACATAAAAACTGGGATATTCTACTGTAGAGATTCAACCACCGTTTCCAATTCCGCGACAATTCGTTTCTTCAACATGGTTACCCTAGAACATGGCAATAGCTCCCACTTTTTCGTCTAGGCCCCTAACTATCCTCAAGATCTCGATAGGTGCATGAAGATTCGAGATATTAGTTTTTGCGCGGAGGAAAACATCGCGCCGGGCTTTCATGTCTTGATCCCAGTATTCAGTATGCATGCTTAATGTTCGATGTCGGTTGACATCCGGCGTCCACCACTAGTAATGCACGGCTTGAATTGATACATGATCACAAAATCATCTGATGTTAAGCCTCCAAGGCTCCTATTATGAGTATAGCTGCCAAATTCTAGGGTTCTACCCCGAAGCGGACATGGCAATGTTAGAAGTAGTTTTGGGAAGCAACAAATCAAGGCATATATAAACTTGGTCCAACATTTTTGCCCTTGGATAAAGGTGCTTTGTATCAACGGAGGAGTGTAGCAAGTAATAAATGAAATATCTGCATTCCCAGGCATCAAGCGCTGCAAAAAAAATTTTGGCGTCTAGTCTTAATCCTTGGTCTTGTGCGATGTTGACTTGGAACTTTGTTCTTCCGGTGCACAGTCTTCGAGGAACATATTGATGCATGGCTGTCTCTTTTGGTACATCATTCATGGCGTTTTCGACCGCGTTCTTCGATTCATACATGTTGCGCCGCACTTTGTTTTTGGGATTGCAAACTTTCACTACACTCTGCGGTGGGTCTGTCATTATCTTTTCGGCATCCAAAGTCCGAGATACGAGCGGGGGCACTCAGTCTTCCTAGTCCAGGACTGCCCCTAGGTACTTGGTCTTTTTTAGTTCTCGCCTTTGAGATACTGCAGACTCAAACAGCGACAGAATACATCATGGGGAGATCTTTATATCGAGAAAAGCAAGGCACGGACAAATTTACCCGTAAGCATTGATGACTTTTCGAAAGTCGCACGGGTTTTCCCTATGCTCCATGGCTCCCCGGAGATGGTCTCGCGTATTGGAAGTCTAGGACTGAGATGAAGAAAGCTCCGCGCCGTCCAGAAGCACAGATTCGGGTAGAAAAACGTTATTTTAATTCTCTCAGGTCTTGTGCTTTCCATGCAATGAATTGTAAAATGTTGTGGATGGCCAATTCAATTTCAGTCTTCCCGCTGTGGACATGCTGGCAGTGTCGTCAGCTTTGTGATCTAGAATCTCCCATAAAACGGCTCGGCTATCCTTGCAGGTTAGTGCCGTCGGTAGATGGTCCGAACTCCTTTCTTCATTGATGCTGTGGCAATCGACGTTGGGAAGAAGTTCTTGCTATCGAAAGTGGGTAAGTCCAAAGTACCTATTAAATTCTTTTGGACATATTTTAATCTGGAAAAAGCTCTATGATGACTATTTTTGATCGCGTTTTTTTACCTCTACCTATTCTGGCGCCAGACCGTTGCTTTTAGTATTCAAGACAGGGGAACTGAAGGCGAGGAGAAGAGAGGTTGAGGCAGTCTTTTATATGTCCAAATGAAGCGTGGAAGGATGCCACACATGAAAAGCATCGTGGGATTTATGATATAGGACTGGGAAAGGTTATAGCCACATACGGGTTCGATTTTGCTCTGCGGCGTCTGCCCATGTAGGCCTCGCACTAAATTTAGTTCCTCCCTCAGGTTTAAATGAAGAAGAGCATTAAGGTACCAGCACGTGGGAAAGTCGGGCTTTTATATGCAGGGACTATATATAGCGGTCTGGTTTCTATAGTGCAGGGCTAAATTCAAATATCATTCATATGTGCATAAAGTAACATAAAGGGTATACTCCGCGGAAAATCCTGCTTCTAGGCTAGGCTATTGGCTTTCGAGTGAAGTGGATGGACAAGCAAACGGCACCCATTTCAAAAAGCAAAAGAAGAAGCACTGCGCTATCCGGGAGTCGAACCCGGGCCAATTGCTTGTAAGGCAATTATCATACCGTTAGACCAACAGCGCTAACATGCGCCCTTTGAATGCTGAATATCTAAAATGGTGAAAATTCAAATTGTATTATAGACATGGAATATAGAAGAATTTCGATGTTGTCGAGCTGCAGAGTGAGAGCGCTTGACAAGAGCGGTGCGCCTCACTTTTGGAGACAGTGCATAAGAGTTATAGGAGAACAGTGAGAGCAAACAGAGTGTCTGAACAAAAGTTCCAAGATATCAAGTGAAGGAAACGCACAAGTATTCTAAATGCTGAACTAGCCTCATTATGTAGTAACGGATTATGATACATTCTCAGGGACACTGGGCATAAGAAGGTATACAGTATTAAAACATGTAAGGAAACCCGAAAACGCTCATTTGATACCATCTGATCTAACCACTGGAGATAATCTCTTCCATTACCCTACCACTTGAGTCACCATTCTCCTTAACCTAGTCCAGTGGTACCACTAACAGCACCCTTTGCCGTCCCCGCCGCGTTTGTTACTCCAGTCACGCCGCCAGTTGATTTATTGAGCCTCTTCGTCACTCCATCAGCCTGTTTCGTAACCTGCTCTTTCCCTTCATTCACATGTTTCTTGACATCCGGCATCCCGCCATTCGACTCTTCACTACCGTGAACCTTGGGTGTCTGGTCAACTCCTGTTCTTGCATCATCTTGCTTCTTGCGAGCACCATCCATAAACCAGCTCATGCGACCGCCGGTGAGACTATTGATCTTGTCGCCGATTGCTGAGCCTTCGGGAGCCGGGGCGTCGCCCTCGTTAAACCATTTTAAGATGTAATAGCCGCCCAGACCCCACAGGAAGAGGAAGGAGGCGGAAAAGGTTGTCATGAACACCGTCGGGAGGACCACAAGAAGGGCTACACCGACCATGAAGACAGTGAAGAGGACGGCAGCAAGGAGCCCGAGGACAAGTGCTACGATGAGCGAGAATAGGAAGATAGTAAGAGTGAACGCTACAAACAGGAGTAGTGGGAATCCAGTCAGAACGATTTGAGTTGTCAGGAAAGCCTATGAGTTTGGGTAAGTTTTGTGGTTGAAATGTGCAGTATGGTATTCAGATCCATGGATAGGGAGCCCGGGAATTGGAAGCTTACGGCAAGCTTTGGATTATTGATAGCGAAAGCCTGAAGCTTCGCAAACACCTCAGCTCTCTTCTCCGGTGGGAATATACGATCCAGAACATTTTGGAACGTGTTCTGGATACTGCCAAAGATGGCTGTAACGCTGTTCAAGACGCCCGACATATTAGGCCAGAGCGCGAGGATGAGAATGGGTAGGGAGTTAAAGAAACAGAGTCAGACACTGAATGGCTCAAAGAAGGTTTACAAGTGGAATGGACCAATCTTTAATATGATCTCAATGAGCAAGTGAAAGGACAGGGGATCTTCCCATGGGGTCTCTTATGATGCACCGCCATAAAAACAAGGTCGAAACAGCGGGGAATGCGTGTGACGCCACGACGTCACTACGGGTATGGCAGCGCTCCACCACCACAGACACAAATTAGCGCGTGGGTGCCACTGTGAGCTGCCCCAGCCACTTGTGGCGCATGGACCAAATCCGACAAACACGCCAAGATTTTGGCATCAAAAATTTGGGTGAATGTCGGCCAAACATTTACTACTATAATTCTACGTTTCGAAACACCACACCACGATACATCATGGCAGAAAAGAAGAGGAAGAGACACGACGATAGGAGCGAGCGACCGTCCAAAAAGACCACTAGTGTGCAACTGCCTTCCCGTGTGACGGTAGATCTTGTGCGGAACAGTGAGCCGCTGGGTCCTGTGCTAGGTAAGAAGATGAATACAGTGTTCGGTTTCATTGGGAGATAGGAAGAGGCTAAATAAACTTAGCATCAACTCCCGGTCTATCCTTCCCTTCCAAAATCTCCCTCAAGCCCTACAAATACAACCGCATTCTCCCCGACCAAGATTCTAGTTCCTCCTACGAACTCCTCCTCCAATCCTCCTCCCACCCGAGATTAGATTACACTGCGCGCGAGGAGAAAGATGGCAGCTCCGACAGCTTACTCAAAGATTACATCGGCGTCTTTGACCCCGCGACCGGCAAGCTCCAGGTCGTTGAAGTGCACAAAGTCACCGTCCGCAGCACATTACGTAGTGAGACCGACGAGCTACGAGAAGAATATGAGAGGATAACGGCCCAAAAAGAATCAATGACTGCGAGACGCCACGCTCTAGCCACAGAGTTCGGCTCCAAGAAGTCAAAGAAAGCCATCGCTGGCATCACCGAGAACGCAATTGCTCGAGGTCGACCTGGAGAAACGAACGGCACGCCTGGCGATGATGCTGTAGCCTCTGTTGTTCTACAAGCCATGAGTACCTCTGCCATGCCCACTAAGGAAGATCTACAGTCCTTGGTGAATGACTCCAAACCAAGACCGAAAGCCAATCTCGCCGCAGAATATCCGTCAGGTGTATACTCTATTGACACTATTGTTGGCAAAGAGCTCATGGGTATGATTGCCGTCAAAGATTGGGTGGAGGCTGCGGAGAGTGGGAATCCAGTCAATGTGCATAGTCGATTCGTTGCCAAGCGAATTGTTAAGCTGGTCAAGAGCAAGGAAATCCAAAAGCTGAAGATTCTACGCTTCATACTTCTCTGTATGGACTTCAATGCTGCGCTGAAGACGAAGGGTAAAGGAGCGAAGCAGGTGCCGTTCAAGGACAAGCTGTTGCCTTTAATGGGAGAAGGTGTTTCTCCTCCTGTTGTGGATGCAATTAGGAGGAACTTTGCTTCTGAGTAGGTCTTCTTCTGCTACACTAATGTGCACTTTTTTAATAGCCCTAGGAACAACGATATGACACGTTGGCACATTGACAACATGATGACACACATCGCCGCCGCATCGCTCATCGTCGACAACTTCGAGGTCGACGTAAGTGACCTCCGTGAAGATCTAAAATTAGAAAACAAAGAGTAAGGCACTCGTCTAAATTTCTATGTGTGTAATCCCTAAACTTACCTTGACTCTAGAATCAAGCAATATTTCCACGAGATCGGCTGTAGAGTTGTCCAACCAACGGAAACGGAGAGGGCCAAACTCAAGATCTCCAAAGCAGAGGCCGTGAACCATTTCATAGCGAAGTTGAAGATTCCGTTAGCATTTCCGAAAATCAGCTCTGGCAAACGGAAGCGGTAGGGCTCTGTTCAGTTATACCTAAAAGTCCGATACCCAGAGGAGCCCCATCCTCTTTTTATTTCTTACTGCTTAGCGTCTCTTTAGCTTCTGTAATGCAGTAGTTATGAATGTAGGTAGGCATGAGTAAATGGACATGACGGACCTGATCCACAAATTAAACATCCACGCCCAGATATTGTGGCGTCAACCAGACCGAATAACCAATCACATATAAAGCCAATGAACGCTATAGTTTATCACTATGCCCCGACCCACAACTTTCACTTGACAGCACACGGTCATCCATGGATTACTTATAGTCATGACATCATCATCGGTGACGGCGTATCTCCTCCGTAGGGAACTTCTTTCGCCACATTAAGAGGACAGACTCTAATACTTTAAATACCCCATGTTACAATAATCGACACCTCACTTTCACCAATAACCAAGCGTCCCCCCACCCAAATACATCATCGACCATGGACCAATCCTCCAACATTCGCCAAACTGCCACAAACGTAATCCCAAAAGATGTAAAGCTCCCTCCCACTGAAATTTGCAATCGCCCCTAATCTCCCTCCCATTATCCAGAACCCTTCGATCCTCTCCTCTGCAGGCGCAATTGGGAAGCATTTCAACCCCGACGGCTCGCTCGGCCAAATACCGCAAAAGATTGGAGGCCCTCTTGACAAGGATGGTGCAATTGGGAGTCAATTCGATGCTTCCAAGGGTGGGATAGCGGGGACGGTGGAGAGGGTGGTTGATGGACCGAGGCATCCAGCTGGGATGGCCCAAGGGAAGATATAGAAGAATAGAGAGACTAATACAAGGTGGACAGGTGGGGGATTATAGACACATATGATAGTATGTTTATAAACGGCGTGGTATAGATTCGAAGAGTGAAACTTTTCAGTGGCGTATTCTTCTGATACTCAGTTATCCCTAGATACAGAAGACATTACTAACACATGGTACACATAGACAATCGTGATCCTTTTGTTCTAACCCAAGAACACCAAAACGACCTCACCAATATAACCTCGTCGACATGTTTACTGCTCACCCAATCGTCGTCCCGGGCCTCTTCCATCCCATTGCCCACCGAAACCAGTGCTTCTACCCGTAGCCCTCGCTGCGCCCGCATCCGCGGGCTGCCTTCCCTGTTGAGCAGTACCGTATGGTCTCGCTTGAACATTTCCAGCTCTGCCGCCGAACCAACGTTTCACCATTATCGGCGTGAAGATATAATTCCGACCACCACCGAATGTCGGCCAGATGCGTGTCAGGAAGTCATACAAGTGAGCGGCAACGAGACCGGCAGCTTGTGACAGTGCGGCATCACCTCCGTCGATGATGAATGTGAGGAAGAGCATCGAGAAGGGAAGGTATTTGGCATCGAAGGTGATGATGAAGAACGAAACTTGCCGGGAGGGATTATCCTGGGCGTATGTGTAGGCGAAGGCGAGGGAGAGTGCTTGGAGGAACATGTAGGAGTTGAGGAAGAAGCCTGCGATTGCCTTTGAGACTAGTCAGCAATAGTCTCCTCATAGAAGTCGGTTACGGGGAAGAACTAAGCAGTTGGCTAGTTGGAAAGATGTAGGGAGCCAACACCGCACTACGGAATTGAGAGTCCGTGATGCTTTCTCAAATGGCCATCCCCCCATGCTCACACACCACACAGGCCCTTTTGTATTTTGCGAATGACGGGACTGCATGCTGTGCAAGGGTAATTTCCCTCGATTTCAGGAACCGCTTCAGCTAGATTGAACTGGGCGGGCAGATGTATGAGGTTCATTTGGGGTGCAAAGAAAACGTGGAGAGGGAAGGGAAGGGAAGGGGAAAGGAAATGGTTGAGGAAAGGCAACGTACTACAATGACAGCGCCCACGAACATGGTGTAAACGAAGAAGTCTCCAGGCTGTGAGAATCTGGATGACTCTGTCTCCAAGCCAGATCCATACTGATATACTGCGGTGTGTAAGCTTGTGGAATCCGTTCGATGATCTTGTTGGGGGCCGTACAAAAGTATGGATCAAGCAGAATTCCGAATTTCGGTTTCGTTATCATGAACGCCGTGAAGAGCCGCCATATTTGCGGTACCACCTGGGTCGTGATAATATACTCCTTTATGAAGACATAGTTCATCAAGTCGATCATGCCGGAATAGCCCAGGGCGGAGACCACCACGGCGAGCGCTGTGATGGTTCTGCATCAGCTATCAGAAAATGTTCTCCAGAACGTGGAAACAGTAGAGGGATTTGGCCTACCTTGACACGGGTGGAAGAGTCCAGAATACGTCCATGATGGCGACGATGTGTAAACGAGTGGTTGAGGTGAAGGAATGGTGTTGTGGGACTGCAAGAGCAGCCTGAAGAAGAGGAAAAGTGGCTTTCTGCCTTGTTGAACGAGGGAAGCGGCGCGGAAGGCCCGGCACTACTTTAGTCCGATCCACTTTGATTGGCCAATCTCCGTGGTGAGCTACCCTTTGAATTCATGTGCTATCTCCAAGCGTCATGAATGTGATTAGCATTCTTAAAGGCAAAGGTGAGGCAAGTCAAGCCCAGACTCTGCAAATGAGGCATCAGATGCAAATTGATCCATGACACGATGAAGCCACCCGGACCGTCCACCTATCCACCCATCCACCCATCCACCCATCTAGGTCTTGTTTCTATCTATATTCCATAGGTATTCTCTTCATCGTGCAATTTATATTTCAGGTTCTTTCCCCTTAACTTTCCCCTCTCCGCCAACACCCGGAGTGCCCCTCTTCTCAAAGTCCTCCTCATACCGCCGCCAGACTTCCATATCCCTTGCCATCCGCTTGTGATGCCTGACGCGGTGTTCGTAGGCTACCATGCGTTTGTCTGCTTCAACCATGCTGCCGACTATCATGCCGGACATTTGGATGTAGCTGGAATGGGTTAGTATGAGCAGAGGTGGAGGTCAACGAATGGAGTAGCTGAATAAGAAGGGTGTAGAAAAGGGTGCTTGTTGACACCCTAGAACGGGTATGAAGTGAATGGGGAGGACGAATGTACTGCGTTAGATAGGTTGATTTACACTTACACCTTGAATTGGACTGTAAGACTACGGTAAAGAGGCGAGAAAGCGTACGCTGTACCACCAGCTATCACAGCAAAAGCACCCCACTATCCACCTCAAATGTCAGCAAATCTATATCCATCGATAGCATTGATCGAAGAGAGAAATATAATATAAGATAGATCTTGAAACGATAGAGGACCACAAAGCCACGTCGACTCAGCAGGAAACCAACGCACAAAGCAATGCTGAACTTGCAGTAACAGAAGCGATAGTGGTCATCTATGGTCTGTTGCATCCAGTAGTTCTCGTCCTCAGAAACTCTCCCATAACAGAAAACGCACGAATTACTCAAACACAAGGTCAAAGAAACAAGAGCCGCTCACCTTCGCTGCTCCGATAGCCGCACCTCTAGCCGCCTCCCATGCCGCCTGATTCGTCTCATCGTCTTTCGTCAAGCTGCCATGATGTCTCATTTTGTCGCTGGCCGATTCTTAAGTGCAGGCATTGAGCACTCACTCCCGTATAAGACAGCGTTTGCGAAAGGGGTAAGTTGTGATGTCAAACTGTAAGACCGTTTGGCCGGGTGCGATCGGCGTTCTAAAGCACGCAGGCAAGACGCTCCTCCGCGCACACGCCAATGAAGGTCGCCGACCTTTGGCACACCAACATCCATGCTGAGAATGATCGTCTCCTGACATTTGCCTATTTTTGCTTTCTTTTTATCCTACGCTTACTAGCAGTGTAACTCGTAACGCAGTATTTGGAATTGAAGAAATTTGTATTTTCTTCACCACCAGCTCTGGATGGCCGAAGCTTGTTCATTTGCTCTATGAAGGTATCACCATGAAAGAGAAGCCAACTACACAACTAGCCTCCCGCTATGCACAATGAACAACCAGCCAGGAAGCATGTCAACTTCCCATGCAATCGTTGCGTGCCTGGAAGAAAACGCCTTAGATCCTTATCCGCCCCCAGATGCAGTGCCATGACCACCCTGTTCGGGTTTAGCTGACGTAGATCTTACAATGTACAGAAAGGAGAGGAAATCCCGCCAGCCCCCATGTAAATGCGAATGAGCTATCCGTCTATATCCAAACAAGAACCGCGAAAATCGCTAAACCAGGAAAGAGACTGGTATACTGTATACTGGTATTCCGATAAAGGTTTGCATTACCCATTACACGTGTGACTGCATCCGACGCCGGTCCCAAGCGTCTCGATTCTCCGAGAACGACATCTCGATGTCTTTCTCCAGGGGTGTGACTGTGTCTTTACGCTCATCTTCCGTTATGTCCCCAAGCTGGGCTTCTTTTTCCACCGTAGGTGTGCTTTCGAACTTGACCTTCTCGACAATCTTCGTCAGACTTGTCGCCGTGTCCGGCCTCTCAAACTCCTCGTCATCCACATCCATGGCAGTTGGAATACCGTTGGCAATATTAAAGTTCCGCTGCAGGTACTGCTGCAGGCGGTATTCCTGTCGTGCCCAGCTCTCATCGACAAGACCCAGGGCAGCCTTGATATCCTGATCGGATAAGAGCATAGAGTGGCTTTTCTCTTTTGGTGCCTTGCCAGACACCCTACTTGCGATCTTGCTCCGGACAGATGCAGATCGCGTCTGGGTGTGCATAGCCGAATCATCCCGCATTTGTTTGACTTGATCCTCTGTCTGCTTGAGAGCCATTTGTCGGCTTTCCTGCATTGTTGGAAGATACAGTAATGTTGTGTTTCGGTGTAGGGCATTAACGAGATCGGTAAAGCCCCCTAATGCAATACCGTTGTTCTCGCAATACAACTGTTCAAGCGTTGTGTTGACTTTTAGCACGTCCGCTAGGGTGCTCGCACCCTGCAGTCCAAGTTTTTGATCTACAAACTATCAGCAACAATGGAGATGATCACAGCAGAGCTTTCATACATTTGATGAACAAAACTCGTAAAGTGCGGTTCCTCTGGAGGCCCCTCAAAGCCTTGTTGATACCCACGCCCAATTTGGTCGTTTCTAGGCGTGAATCTTCACCAGATATGTCGAGCCACTCGAGCACAGTGTTCTCAGCAAACATCTTCTCCAGAGCTTGGCATGTCGCCTCCGAGGCATCACATGGGAGCGATGCCCGAGAAATATCTAGTTGTCGAACAGTGTTATTGGCAGCCAGTGCTAAGACCATTTTGCTGAAATCAGCTTCCCTTTCGAACTCGATCAGTCGGATTGTGAGACTAGTTGGGGCCATTCCACTCGCAATGGCATTCGTTAAATCATCAAGATCCTGCTCTATGTAGTTTTCGCTAACATCAAGGTGCAGTTCTCGAGCTTTTCCTGGCTTCTCGGTCATCGAGTGGAGCAGATAGGCCACGTCTTTTCCGGTGAGGTAGCAATGGTCCAGCTTTAGTTCGCGTAGAGCCGATGACTGCTTGTAGTTGATTAGATAACTGTTCTGAAGTCAGTGCTAGTATCAATGGAGGGCATTCAAAGAGTTGACCTACCTGGCTATCGTATCGACCATGGCAGAATTTAATGATGTTCCACTTAAGATTAGCTCTTGCAGCTTCCACGCTTGGAAAGTCTCGATCGTCATCAGTGGCTCGGGTCCTGAAGTTCTTGCGACGTGCGACAGGTTGAGCTTAGTAAGGTACCCAAAGACACCAATCTGCGAGTCGAAGGTCGTGGGAGAAAGGCGAACTGGATTCGAGGATATATCAATGGCTTCCATGGTATTTTCTTGAGGTCTGAGAGAGTCAAGGATTAGAGATAGCGTTCGATCTGTAAGGCCACATCCACTAAGTTCAAGAGCACGGAAGTGGCAAGCTTTCTCAACGGCCGCAGCAACCAAGTAATCCAAATCCGTTTCACCTAAGTGGATGTTGTTCAGCGCAATCCAATCAACATTAGTAGTCTGATATTTGCAGAGGGGAAACAAGGCCTCGACAATGCCGCACCCTATGTCCCTAGCTTTGCTTGATGATTCCATGTGGTCTCTGGGTCTTCTAGTTATGCAGGAGGTAAAATCGAGCCTCCTAAGCCTACGACTAGTGACAGCCAATGCCCGGATCTCTTGCACAAGGAGACATGAACGGCCGAGCTCCTCCACATCCATGCGAACAGAGGTTCCTCGCTTCGTTTTAGTGCAAACGTGCTCAAGCCCGTACTCATCACAGAGACCGTTGAGAACGTCCAAATGAACATCCCTGAAAGAGATACCACCAAAACTCTCGTTGTAGCGTAGAGACCGCATGACTGCAAGTAGCTCGAGGGTATTGTATTGGCTCCTTCGAAGACCTTCTGGACGCAGAAGTTCGAAACGTGGATAATCCTCAGGGGGGTATGTAACCTGGTAACGAATGTTTTGGGGTTTTACGTCGTAGGCGATGCAGTAGCCGACTAGAGTACGGTCCAGAGTCTCATGGTCAATTGGGCGAGGGCTCGCATGTGTCAGGATGTCACGCTTCACATCATCAGGGACAGTGAATTGATACGGCCGAGATTCCCACTCTGGCCTTAGCTCCTCTTCAACGTAACGAAGACGAACAGCGATGTCGTGCGAAGCGAGTGACGCTAGGTGGATAACTTTCGGCCGCTGGAGAGGCATGCTATCAAATATTGAATATCCTGTGATGAAGAAGCGGGATAATACTTACCGAAATGTCAGTTCGAAGGTATCGTCATTTTCACTGACCCGCAACTCGGTAATATTCAGAATCCCATACGAAGATTGCGAGTTTTGGGACAACAATTGGGGACTGGATGATCGCTGAGAGGGCGGTTTGAATAAAGGAATCAGGTGAACTTTATGGACGCCAATCGCGAGAAAACAGACTGACGCTAGCACTTTAGACAAGTCATCCGAAGACGCCCGTGAGCCCACTTTGCTGGATGGACGCTGGACGACCTTGTAGATGGCATAGCTTGAAGGAACGTAGTCCCGCTCTGCTTCAACTACTCTAGCAGCAAGGTGGGAATTGTAAGCGGACAGTGGGTTGGAGTCGCTAAGGCGGGCGCGATTGGCTGCGGCTCGAATTTCAGCGAGCCAGATATGCATATCATCCGGGTCTCCAAATTGTAGCGTCATTGACGAGGAATGGTTGAGTTCGTCATCCAGATATGAGACTTCGAAACCAAAATATGGCCTGTCCTCCAGTTGGTATACGGCTACTATCTGGCGGAGGGGGGTTCCAAGATCACGGTCACCAGAAGCGTCGGACGCGAGGGATTGCAGCTCGTGGGAAGACCCGGTCGAAGGATTTTGGCTGTGGCGGACAGTAGACGAGCGGGAGTAGGGGCCAGGGATTCTGTTTTTGCTGGTCAGTTTGTGCCACGACCTGTGGTTGGAGAGACTACATACACACCGAAGGTCTCGGTGGCCTTCTGGTGGCTCTTGAACCTGATCAGATGCGTCTCGGTAAGCACCAGGTACTCCTTCTTTTTCCTGAACACAGTACTGCTCGTTTGGACCTCGCCGTGGTGGAGCACATGGCGATTGCGCAGCGTGTCGTCGCTCGCAGCCCGGCTGCCGGAGACGGTTCGCGTCGACATGGCGGATTGTGGCTCGTCGCTTTCATCCGGGAGACGAAGACCTCTCAGCGATCCAAATACCGAGCTCGATGAGCGGTTTCCACTTCCGCGCGACAACGGTGGAATGGCCGGAGATGCCAGACTGTGCCCGCCAGCGCTGTTGTCGAAGAGGTCATCGTCGCTGCGCTGGACCGAGGCGGAGAGATTCGTTATGAGTGATGTGGTCCGCCGCTTCCGCAGTAGGTTCGCAGGCTCCTGGTCGTCTTTGTTATTGTGGATCGCGGTGAGCGCGCTGAGCGGGGTGCGAGCGAAGAAGCTTCGCCGTCGGCGATCCTTGGAGTCCTTGGACATGCTGAGCGACCAGGTCAGCTTGTGCCGCCCAGTGGGAGCTCAGTGTGGGGAGGATAGTTCATGCGGCAGGCAACGTTGCGCGGAACGGGCGGAATTGGCGGGGACGGTGGATGGACTGCGACACGAGGCGGGAGGAGGAGCTGGAGGAGGAAGCAACAGAGGTTCGACGTTTAGATCAGCCAATCAGCAGTGCACCTGACCACCTCATTGGAGAGCAATGTCGGAGCTAGTGATGGCGACGTGAATGAGTTGTTTACAGTCGCGATCTAGGAACAACTTGTTCTCAGGTGCACTTTCGAAGCCGGGTCCTGGGAACGATGCGACAGCTTCGCGCAACAAATCGTCAACAACGGCTATGCGGGGGAGCCAATGGCATCGACGTACACAGAGCAGATGAGGGGTCCAATTGGCTGTCCGGATCGCATAGCTCAAGGCGTGCAACCGCAAACACGTCCCCCAGTGAAAAGTCTGAAGACAGCGAACAAATCTGCCAACTTGATGAAGGAAACTCGCTGGCGAGGGGTCGACAGAGGCTTGCTGTTGGAGATGAAAGATTACGTAGCCCTGCAGATCCTCTTGGCTAGGTTGATTACAACAGACCAGATGCTGCAGTGGAATCTTATCACTCCCGAGATCTGATAACATCAATTGAAAGTGCATGTCTTTGCAGCTCAGAGTGACGAGTTCGCTGAATGGTGCATCGTATTTCCTATTCTTTGTTGAGGCCCGCAGAAGGCCAGTTTGCGCGTGAACTTCTGCTATTGTTGCAATTTGCTTCAGGCCACCGGTCAAGTGTTTCTGCTAAACAGCATGTACCAGCACTTGGACTGATTCCTTGTGAGATTTTATCAGTGCCTAGGTGTCAAGCCCTGAGCACGATGTGAGTTTCAAAGATCCAGCCCGGCTCTATCTCTCTGTTCCAAGCTACGATAATATGGGCAGAGCACGTCTCTGGCAGCCGACCGTTTCACCGAGGATACCCCGTGCAAAGATCGGCGGAGGAAAAACTACGCTCCGGTGCCATGCCTAATTGAGCTGAAAAGGCTCAGAAATTCTGTCGCGTTCGTGCATCCTCTAATCTTTTGCTATCTACGTCTATTTTCGTCTCAATTTTTCCTCCTGATGTTAAGTCGCCAGCTTCTACGAATTGCCCAGCCGCGACCACTCTCCGTTTGTCTCCTCTGCTCTGCTAGAATCTTCTACCCGCAATCGCGGAGACGAGCTCCCAGCTCAAGCTCTCATCGCCCCAATGTCGCCGTGGAGGACGTACCTCACCTAGCTCCCCTGCCACAAGTCGTCAGCAAGGAGGAAGGAGAGGTTTCCAATGCGAAGTCCAAATCAGCGAAGCCGAGAAAGAAAACTACAAAAAAAGGGGCATCGGGCGTGAGCCAGAAAGAGGGTGAGGATATCGCGGGAAGTAATGAAGGCTCCATCAGTTCTCAGAAGAAGAAGCGAGGTGGAAGGAGGAGAGGGAGGAAAATTGTGAGCCCTCTCCGCGTACGTAAGATAGAAGCCAAGGCCCTGGAACCAGAAAAGAAGGAGGCCAAAGGGCAACAAGATGCCTCAATGAGCTTGAAAGAAGCTTTATTGGGGAGTAAATCTAAGAGGAAAACGAGGAAGAAGAAGGAGTTGACGGAGAACCTCGAGATTGAGATGCTGTCGCCGGAAGAGTTGCAATTCCAACCTGTCGAAGTGAACATCCCTCCTGTGCCTATGCTGTCTCATGGACTTGATCGAGTCTTGTTCAATCCGGGTATCTACCGCCTGCAAGACCCGCGGTCTCGAGTCTATAACTTTGATCCCTATCTTGAGAAGATCATGCCAGCCGCGGAGTTCAATTTTGATGCTCTTAGCGAGTACAAAACTTCCTCCAAGGATGAAGATCTCCTCGCCATTACGAGAGATTTAGGCACGAAATTTACAGGTTCAACCTCTAGTATGTCGGGGACACTAACACATTTTCACTATCTACTCTCCGGTTGGCGCCCGCTCTGTGTCGATGGACTCTCGAAGAAATTTCCGAGTGCAACGACAAGGTTCTCAAAGATCCAAAGAGCTCCGAACGCCATATTCTTGAGAAAGAAAAACGATGTGTACGCCATTGATGCGGACAAGTCGTATGATTCGCCAAATATTATGAGTTGGCTTGGACACTCTTTGGAAAAGCTCCTCACCAACTCACCAGAGGAGTTCGAACTCTATCGCCGATCAAGCCCAGGTACGCCACCAAATGAGGATGATGAGGGGAAATCGTTCCATTACTCTAAGCTGGGCAATTTCTTGATGCGTTCGCAGCTGGACGCGTACGACCCACGGCTGCCCGGGACTGGTGTTTTCGATCTTAAAACACGAGCAGTGGTTACGATCCGTATGAATCATAAGGAGTACGAGATGGGATCTGGCTACCAACTTCATTACGACCAGGGTGAATGGGAATCCTATGAACGAGAATTTTACGATATGACTAGAGCGACTCTGCTAAAGTATTCACTTCAAGTCCGAATGGGTCGCATGGATGGCATTTTTGTTGCATATCACAACATCGAACGTATATTTGGTTTCCAGTATATCAGCCTCCCAGACATGGATTACGTCCTCCACGGGCAGACCGATACTTGCTTAGGCGACCAGGAATTTAAGTTAAGTATCCGTCTGCTGGACGAGCTTCTGGGTCGCGCCACCCAGAAGTTCCCTGAAACAGTAAGCACAACTGCCGTGCATCGAAACGACATCCTCGCTAATATCTCTAGTCCATCCGACTACATTTCGAGACTCGCGAAAGCGAGGTTCCGTACATGTACGTGTTTGCAGAGCCGGTTACGGAAGAGGCCGCGGATATGATTCAAAACTCGGGACGTGCTGCTATGAAAGATTTTGAACGTAATGTAATTGGCGTCAAACGAGACGACCCTGAAGTACAGAAGGAGTGGCAAGAGATCCAAGATCGCGTTGACGAAGAGGTCGATGAGGATCAATTAAACCCTAAGGATGAAGGCGATGAAGAGATAGCGGAGAAGCAGGCGAAGGACAGGGACGAAACTGATGAGGAAAACACCGAAGGTGACGCTTCCAAAGAAACTGCGTCGATTTCGATGGAGGATACGGTAGATAGCGGAGACACGAAGGCTACAAAACCCGCCACAGCAAGTAAATCCGTGTCGGATGGGCCTTTAATGGGCTGGACACTAACTGTGCGTAATCTTGTCAACGGCAGGTACGTGAAGCGACCAGAAGAGCTGAGTTCCTCGGATAGCTGGTCAATCGAATATCACGTCCAAGAACTTCCGGACGAAACGAAATGGTCGGTCTATGGACAGCTAAAGACCCGACGGAAGAAACTCATTGGATTACGCGAGGAGGAACAGTCCAAACAGCTAAAACAATACCGCGAAATGCTTCAGAGATATAGCGACAAGGGGCGAAAGTGGAGGGAGGAGCAGGACAAAATCGATGAGCAGATGGGAAAGCGAGTGTATCGACGCTTGGGTCCGGGGGCCGAAGAAGTGATTCAAACCCACTCGGAACAGGTGAAAGACAAAGTCGACGGGGTCCTGTCAACCCAGCTGGAGACGGCAGGTTGAAGACACAACATACCAGGGATTAGGAGAAGACGATGTATGATTATTAGGCTCTACGAAGCAATGTACAGTAAAGCGGAAAGACAGATAGAATATAATGCGTAAACGATCAATTGCTTATGACATACTGCGTCCCTGCACATTTGACAAGCGTGTGACAAGCACATGACTTGACCAAAAATCAGCGTCCTCTCCCCGTCTCCAATCCAGCAGGAGGTTCAATCCAACCGATGATGCGGAGAAGCACGGCCCCTCTACCAGGTTCTTAGCGTCATCGTGTTTGGACAAGGCTGGGATAAGAGCTTGGTGGTCAGAAAGCTCCACGCAATTGCCCCACGACAATGCATACCTCAGCAGCGACAGCTTGCCCGCCACCGACCAGGCAATCACCACGTCGCTGCTGATCTCGTTTGCTCTTACCCCCCCCTCCGCCCAATTTCCACCTATTCTCCCGAGCCAATATCGTTCCGCTATTCTCCCCACTCCCACCCTTCACCACCCACCCTCAAAATACGTGCTACCATGTCTGGAGAAGCGGATGACAACGTCCTGACGCTACAATCGTTCATCGAAGGGCAGCTGTCCTACGATGACTGCGTGAAGCTGCTGAGAGTATGCGCCCCAGCCCAAACCCTGCTACGCATCGCCGTGCTCACATGCATTGAAGGTTTGCAACAACGACCTACAGCAAGCGCTCAACAAGTTCTATGACCAAGGCCCCAGCGCACTGCAAGAGTCTTTTCAAGTTAGCATATCCGAACCCGTCTTCTACTGTATCCACAGGGCTGATAGTTGGATCTAGGAGGAGAAGGCATGGGATAGCAGCGCCTTCCACGCGGATAGGTACGGCCAAAATGATGGTCCCAACGTCCCAAGTAAGCGCTCTTCCATTCTGTCTGTCTTCCAGAGGATGGCTTTGAAAGCACTGAAATGCCTGATGGGCGGCTAACTTTTTCCTCTCCACAGCCTTCAACATTGACTATGCTCGGGGTATTGACAACTACCCTCACAGTGGAGCTCCGAGCCGACCGCCTTCACGAACGAGCCATCGATCCGGAGCCTCTGGCGCTCATGCCGGCGATGTCCCAGTTCAAAGTCAGTGCTACAGCTTGCTCTTTTGGGGGCTTCTGGTGGTGAGAGTAGACAAGACTGACTGCGAGTCTAGGCGTCGAGACCGGCCCACAGGAGTCAGGTGTGATAGGTGATTCAGGAGCCCACTTTGGCCCTGCAAACAGACCATCCTACGATGACAGCCAGTGGGCTTTGGTTCCTCTTACAACGAGTGCTGAGTTTGTTCCAGATGCAGTTCCGAGCCAGCGCAAACGCGAAGAGGACGGCCCAGTTATCCTCAAACCCATACCCAGCGGAGACTATCTTCCCGCATTGATAACAATTCTTCATTCGATCCCTCTATTTCGGAACGCCCTGCTTGCACCTGCCGTCTTTCTGAAGGACTATACCATTGAGGGAGAATGGTGGAAAGGCGATACACCAGAACCGGCGCGCACCGTCGAATACGGCTCAGGAGACGATTCAGCGTCTGAATTGGATATGCTTCATGAGGTACAACGTCTGATGGCTTTCCTGGACTCTTCAGACCGGGCCTATGGAAGCGTTGGTCGTTTACAGCAGCTCGACGCATTCAAGAGAGCCAAGGAATCCACCGACCAGTCCGGCGAACCCGAAGCTCTTGCATTTCTGATGGCATGGGGCAATGCATATCAGGGACACACACCGCATGCGGCCTTGAACTCGGTCCTCCGGAACGTCTTCAAAGCAGAGGGCCAGAACCAAGAGTCATGGATGCTTGATGCTACCGTAATACACCACGATCCCACCACGGAACTAACTCTGTACGACGTACTTGATCAGACTCTCTTCGTCACGTCTTCTGGAAACGCTCATATCGTTGACATCAGTAATGTCCTCGTTTTGCGACTCACGGCTTCCAACACGAACTCAGCTGGCCTCAACTGCAAATTCCCCGCGACGTTCTATGCAGACAGGTATCTCGAAAAGAACCGGGCACAAATTGACGCTATGTTTGGGGAAATGAAGCAATATGAAGACAAGATTGCGGAAATGGATGAGAAGGCGTCAAGACTCAAGTACCAACAGGACAAGACAACAGGCAAGCCAGTCGATGCTTTGAAGCTTCTCAAAACAAGCATCATCGCATTCGAGCCAAAGGAGGACGATTCCGCCTTTGAGAACACTAAGAACAAAACAATACTGTCCCAATTGCAATCCATTTATGAGAGCGTGGAGCGCAAGATCAATGGTAAGCAATTTGTCGCTCAACTATGATCATGGCTTTCTGACCCCTTAAAGCACTAGAAGAAGAAAAGAAGAAAGTTCGGGAAACTCTGGATAGAATCTCGAGCCGGTTCAAAGGTCCCATGGACAATGGTACCGAATCCGCAATGGTTGCTACCGAGCCCAGCTCTACAATAAATGGATTTTCTTCACACGCGCTCACCTCCCCCTTTAAGCTCTACGGTGTCTCAACCCGCCCAGGCGTCTACTACCTCCTTCACCCCGACATCAAATCCGACATCCCCGACGCCAAACAATGGTGGCGCATCGAATACTCCACCGCAACATCTGAAGCATATGTCCTCCGTGAGCGCCTCACACTTGCCAACGTCCTCGAAAAAGCCAGCTCAGAGCATTCCTCGGCTCTCCTGGTCTACGCAAACGAAGAAGCGACCCGCGTCAAACCCGCCGATGTCCCAGAACAACTGCAGAAATTCGTGAAGCAGGACAACCTCAACTTCTTGGAAGAGCTCACAGATGACCTCGAAGGCAAATCTGGCGTCCAACAGATTGGTGATTGGGATAAGAATCTGTCGACGTATGCAGATGATGGATTTGCGCACTATGGCGGAACCTCCAATATGTCGGCTTTTGGGAATCAATTTGAAAGTATAAATACCGCACAATTCCATTCTCAGAACCAGGAGAGTGGCAGGAAGGACGGTGGGGACGAGGAAATGAGTTCGACTACGCTAACGCCGAATACCGAGGTTGGAGATGACGGCGCGGGAGAGGAAATGCGGGAGGTCAATGGTGGGATGGGGGCGTGGGTTGGGAATTATAGCAATGCGAGTTCAGAGACTGTGGGCAGGGATACTATGGACGTCCCGGTTTCCCAGCAGCCGCAGACAGTTCATATGCGGGATGTGGAGATGGGGAATGTAAGATCCAGTCAGATGATGGATGTGGATTTGAGAGGTCCAGATGATAGGGAATCTAGTGTTAGGCATATTGAGGTCTTGGAGGAAAGGAAGGGTGGCTAGACCTGCGGCTTCCTTCTCCAAGTGGTGGATGGATGAGTGGGCCTATGCTGTGAGCCAGGCTTGCGAAGGAAAGGGGTTTCGTGTGCATATTCACATCAGTTGGGTTTCAGGGTCTGGGACGGGGTGCATGCATGGTTATCTAGACCACAGCTAGGGCTAAGGCTCAAGCTGCGACTGGGTGTGCATATTCGGCCGACCGCGTTTCTTTCATCATGAGAATCGAGTTGGTGGGCATTGTTGCGGCCTCGTGAGTGTAGACTCATTGGGGCACCAATGAAAGGCGTGTATTGCGTACCAATTGTCCTGTTGTGAGAAAAAAGGGGTGGTGTAGTTCGTTTGCTTCAAAAGTAATGGGGTAGGACTAATTTGCTTGCAACTCGCAATTATAGCTCTTGGTTTGCAGACATGCGAAGCTTCTAAAGGTCCACAAGGTATAGCTCGCACAGCGTTGAGAGCAACCAGAACAGCCGAACAAACTTTGAGGAAAGCGACGGGTAGTACGCGTCTTTTATTGCTCGGGGGTTCTAGGAGATGGGGATATCTATCGCTTCTCAGGTGCTATAGAGTGGTTTGTTGGGGGGGATGTGGAGGATGGGTTGAGGTGGGGTAAGGTATCGGTCATGATTCATTTTGTGAGGCATCTAAAGAAAGTTGGGTGCAAAAAGGGGGCATCTTTTACCTACCCAGGTATTGAGCTTTGGTGTTGGAGAGCCTTAGATTGTGGTGGAGATTTGCTATAGAAGATATCACACTAAGACTAGAATAGATGTTTGGAATGTGGATGTGGGTGGATACTGAGACGAGAGGCGAGGAGTTCGAGATGGGGGAGTGAACTCTTGTAAAGGTGGGCGGTTTAGTGGAAGATAGGATTGGAGGGGCGGTAGTTTGTAGATATGGAGATGTCATAGTGCTGTGTGGTGTATGGCTTAGTTGAATAAGAGGGTGAAGACCCCTGTGGCTAGTGAAATCTAACGTGCTGTATACTCGAGAGGAGCACCTCTAGGAGGAACACTGTGATAGCCAACATAAAGCATGCGGGCCAGGAAAGTGATTCTAGGGCCATTAGTTGGTCTTCATGAGGGATTGACTGGAGAGGATTCGACGACGAATTTGGAGTGCCCCGCAAAATATTCTAATTTTAGGTCAATACATATCCCACGCTAACCATGGCTTGAATTGAAGTTAATAGCAAGACCTAGGGTAGCCTGTCTCCGGCAAGGAGGTTCCAAGTTGCTTTTGTACACGCAAACACGTGATAGCAATCCAAAACCCCACATCCTTGGCATGCTGTGCAACGCTCAGACAAAGAATCGGAGGCTTGCTGAACGTTCCTTGGCTGCAGCGACCGGAAGTCCGCATATCTCGGGTGTTCTTTGACCGGGCTAGGCAGTCCTCAAAAGGGCGGCACACTGCCCTCCAGCCCAGTTGATGGGTTCAATTTGAGGAAGAAATATTCATTCTCAACACTATCGGTACTCGGGTGAACAATGAGAGTAAGCCGACAGGCAGCAATTCGTATTCTTCGCACCTTTCCGAAGCGACGATGAAGGTTTGTGGTTTGTTCGGACCAAACGGTTCGCCCTTAAGTCCTGATTACAAAACTACTCAAGCTAGCGCACAGTGGTCCAAGCTCTCGCAGCTCGGGCCGCTCCAAAAGTCGTTGATAGCCTTCCGCCGTCACCGCCCGATGCTCAACTTCGCCACTACACTTCTGCCTTAACTCTGCTCATACACAGCAGGAAGGCACATTCATCCGTCTCAAGATCGATGCGCGAACTGCAATTCCCGCTGCAGCCCCCCTCGCCCTTCATCCACGGCTACCTTGAAGCCTCGGACCACCACCAACAGCCACTATGCGGGAACGCTGAGGGATGGGGCCCCTTGAGCCCTATCCGCTACGACTTCACGCCCTGTTTCCTCGATGTCTGGATAGCCGTGGTGGCCGTAGGGGGTATCCTGGGGGGTGCCGGGGCCGCTTGGTATCTTCTCAAAGAATGCACGCCGCAACCGGTCAAGAAAAACTGGCATTTCTATGCTAAGCTGGTATGTAATCGACCTGGTTCTCCTATGTTGAGCGTGGAGTGGACATAATTCTGATGTGGTGTTTCTCCACAGATTACCATCGGAGCTCTCATCGCCACCACCGCTGTACAGGCAACCCTCCAGATCGAATACTTCCAAGGCATATGGGCGGGAGATTTCCGGTTCTGGACCACTATCTTCACAATAGTGTCCCTATGCGTCATATGCTTCATCCAGTACACCGAGCATTGGAGATCCCGGAATGCGAACGGTGTGGTGCTGTTCTACTGGCTCCTTCTCCTGATTGCTTACGCTGTTAAACTACGCTCTCTGATTGCGCAGAAAATATATCACACCCATGTGGCATATTTTACTACTTTCTGTATCAACGTTGGATTGGCGGCAATTGAACTTGGCTTGGAGTGGCTCGTACCTAAACGATTAAGCGACTACGACGCGCTAGGAGACGACGACGAGTGTCCCTACGAATATGCCAATGTATTCTCCATCTTGACATTCAGCTGGATGACACCGATGATGAAGCATGGGTACAAGACCTTTTTGACCCAGGACGATCTCTGGAATCTCCGCAAACGGGACTCGACTAAAGCCACGGCTAGCGCGTTCGAGCAGTCGTGGGGGTACGAGTTGGAGAAGAAGCACCCTTCTCTATGGATGACTATGTTTCGAGCATTTGGATCACCTTATTTCCGGGGTGCTTTGATCAAGACTGTGAGCGACATCCTCAACTTTGTACAGCCCCAATTACTCAGGCTTCTGATTACCTGGGTCGACTCTTACCGCGGGGACAGCCCACAACCCGTCATGCGAGGGGCGGCCATTGCTCTCTCCATGTTTGCGGTCTCTGTGACGCAGACGGCTTGTCTCCACCAATACTTCCAACGGGCTTTCGAGACCGGAATGCGCATCAAATCCTCTCTCACGGCGGCTATCTACTCAAAAGCCACGCGATTATCGAACGAGGGAAGAGCTTCGAAGTCCACTGGTGATATTGTCAACTACATGGCCGTGGACACGCAGCGTCTCCAGGATCTAGCGCAATACGGCCAACAACTCTGGTCCGCCCCGTTTCAAATCGTTCTGTGCATGCTTTCGCTGTATCAGTTGCTTGGCTTCAGCATGTTCGCTGGCGTGGCAGCTATGATCATTATGATTCCGGTAAACGGCTGGATTGCCCGCGTTATGAAAAAACTGCAGAAGCAGCAGATGAAGAACAAGGATGCGCGAACACGGCTCATGACGGAGATTCTGAACAACATGAAATCTATTAAGCTATATGCGTGGACAACTGCCTTCATTAATCGCCTGAACTACATTCGAAACGATCAAGAGCTTAAGACATTACGCAAGATCGGTGCTACCCAAGCCTTCTCCACCTTTACTTGGTCGACAACGCCATTCCTCGTTTCATGCTCAACCTTTGGTGTTTTCGTCCTGACTCAGAACAAGCCATTGACGACGGACATCGTCTTCCCTGCGCTTACACTTTTCAATCTCCTCACGTTCCCTCTGGCGATTCTACCCATGGTTATCACCGCGATTGTGGAAGCAAGTGTCGCAGTTGGCCGCATTACTAGCTATCTCGTGGCCGAAGAACTCCAAGCAGACGCGGTGCTACGGGAAGACTCGGTGGATGAGATGGGCGAGGAGTCCGTGCGCATTCGAGACGCCACCTTTACATGGAACAAGCACGAAGAGCGACGTGCTCTTCACGACATCAACTTCTCTGCACACAAGGGCGAGTTGTCATGTATCGTTGGCCGCGTTGGCGCTGGCAAATCGTCCCTCCTTCAGGCGGTACTAGGAGACCTGTGGAAAATAAAGGGCGAGGTCGTTCTGCGAGGTGCCGTTGCCTATGTTCCCCAGTCAGCTTGGATTATGAATGCTTCTGTGAGGGAAAATATCGTTTTCGGACACCGTTGGGATCCACAATTTTACGACCGGACTGTGAAGGCCTGTGCGCTTCGAGATGACTTCGCATCCCTCCCAGATGGAGATCAGACTGAAGTTGGCGAACGCGGCATATCGCTTTCAGGTGGCCAAAAGGCCCGCCTCACTCTCGCACGCGCTGTCTACGCTCGGGCGGACGTGTATCTTCTTGATGACTGCCTGTCGGCTGTCGACCAGCATGTTGGACGGCATTTAATTGACAATGTCCTTGGTTCGAAGGGTTTGTTGGCCGGGAAGACAAGAATACTAGCCACCAATTCCATCCCGGTTCTCATGGAAGCCGACATGATCGCGCTCCTGCGTGATGGCAGAATCCTTGAGAGGGGCACGTATGGTCAGCTCATGGCCATGAAGGGCGAAATTGCAAATTTGATCAAGACGTCCCAAAACGAAGACCAGAGTGAAGACGACAGCAGAGCTTCAGAAAGCGTAGTGAGCGATGAAGACACGACTATTTACGGTACGAGTCCGAACTCAGATGATGATCGTGAACAAGGAGAAGCCGAGGCCGCACAAGAAAATGTACCTCAATTAGCACCATTACGAGCTGGAAACGGGACGGCTCGCAAAAATAGCATGAACACGCTACGCCGCGCCAGCACAGCGAGTTTCAAAGGTCCTCGAGGGAAAGTGCTTGATGAGGAGGGTGCCGGGCTGAAGAGCAAGCAAACAAAAGAATTTTCTGAACAAGGTAAAGTTAAATGGGCGGTGTACGGCGAGTATGCCAAAACGAGCAATCTTGCTGCGGTCGCCATTTATCTCATCCTTTTGGTGGGGGCCCAGACCGGACAGATTGGTATGTAAACTCTGTGTGACCTATCACTTTTTAAACGCGGGAGTCTAACGCAACGTAGGTGGGAGCGTGTGGCTCAAGAATTGGTCAGAAGTCAACCAGCGATACGACAGCAATCCAAACGTGGGCAAGTACATTGGTGTCTATTTCGCATTTGGTGTGGGATCTGCTGCTCTTGTCGTTGTACAGACGCTCATTCTCTGGATCTTCTGTTCAATTGAAGTAAGTGCCTAGCTTCCTTGCCCTTCGTGCATGATTGGAGAGCACATTGACCGACTCGCGACGCGCCAGGCTTCTAGGAAGTTACACGAACGAATGGCGTTTGCTATCTTCCGCTCCCCGATGAGTTTTTTCGAGACCACTCCTGCAGGGCGTATTCTGAATCGGTTTTCTAGGTAAGTTTCAATCATGGCGGGCTAGCATGGCAATCTCCCATGCACACTAGCATGCAGATCCCGCTTTCCAGATTCCGGGTTTCTGGATGGGAGAGGCTTGCTTCAAATACTGACGTGTCTTGCAGTGACATCTATCGCGTGGACGAGGTCTTGGCGCGAACTTTCAATATGCTCTTCGTGAATTCTGCCAGAGGTATGCAAATGTATTCTTATTGCAGCCTTGGCGTAGCCGGCTAACGAACCATGCAGCTGCATTCACGCTTGTCGTCATCTCCGCTTCCACCCCAATTTTCATAGCTCTCATCATCCCACTGGGTGCTCTCTACTTGTACATACAGAGATACTATCTCCGTACGTCCCGGGAGCTGAAGCGACTTGACAGCATTAGTAGAAGCCCCATCTATGCCCATTTTCAAGAGTCACTGAGTGGCATGAGCACCATCAGGGCATATAGCCAACAAAAACGATTTGAATTGGAGAACGAATGGCGGGTCGATGCCAATCTAAGAGCCTATTTCCCCTCGATCAATGCGAACAGATGGCTTGCAGTACGGCTAGAATTCATTGGCTCCGTTATCATCTTAGCTTCGGCCGGTTTCGCTATCATTTCTGTTGCTAACCATAGCGGTTTGTCCGCTGGAATGGTTGGTCTGGCTATGTCATATGCGCTTCAAATCACCCAAAGCCTTAACTGGATCGTCCGACAGACCGTGGAGGTAGAGACAAACATTGTGTCGGTGGAGCGTGTGCTGGAATATGCTGCACTGCCGAGCGAGGCGCCAGATATTATATCTAAGAATAGGCCGCCGATCAGCTGGCCTTCACAGGGTGCTGTCTCATTTAACAACTACAGCACCCGGTATCGGCCCGGACTTGATCTGGTACTAAAAAACATCAACCTCAAGATCAAAGCGCATGAGAAGATCGGAGTAGTTGGTCGAACAGGCGCTGGTAAGAGCTCTCTTACTATGGCGCTATTCAGAATTATCGAACCCGCCGATGGCTTTGTGAGTATCGATGACTTGAACACCAGTACCATCGGGCTCCTAGATCTTCGAAGAAGGCTGGCCATCATTCCACAGGATGCAGCGTTGTTTGAGGGTAGTGTGAGAGACAATTTAGATCCAGGACATGTACATGATGATACGGAACTTTGGAGTGTTTTAGGTATGTGAATTAGACGGACACTTGCATGCTTTGACTCAGCTTACCGAATCGCAGAACATGCCCGGTTGAAAGATCACATCGCGAGTATGCCGGGAAAGCTGGAAGCTCAGATCTTTGAGGGGGGCGAGTCTCGCCTTTTTCACTTACTCTTTGGCGATGCTAACGCACCGAGTAGGGTCAAATTTAAGCGCCGGTCAACGCCAGCTAGTGTCTCTAGCGCGCGCTCTTCTAGCCCCAAGCAACATTCTCGTTTTAGACGAAGCGACTGTGAGTCCCCTGACAATTCTTCCTTGATCCCTGACTTATATGCGCTAGGCCGCCGTTGACGTTGAAACGGATGCAATGCTCCAAGCTACGTTGCGGACAAGTATGTTTAGGAATCGAACGATCATTACCATTGCTCACAGGATCAACACAATCCTCGATTCGGACAGGATCGTCGTGCTCGACCGTGGGACAGTGGCCGAGTTCGACACACCTGCTGAGCTGGTTCGCCGCAGGGGTCTGTTCTACGAGCTGGTCAAGGAGGCCAATCTCTTGAATGCCCTTGAAGTTACACAAGCATGATGCATGAGATGGGGGAGTTCGTTTAGCATTATCGTGCACCCGATCGATTCAGTGCAAAACAGCATAACCCTGCCCCCGCCTTTCCATAGCTTCCATGTCAGCCATCTGACTTTCAAAATAGTGCGGATGTGACGTGCCTCCGCGGCTCCGCACCGCTTTCAGGCTACATAAAATTCTTGGATTAGGGCCACGGGTTGCTATGCCCAGTTAAAAGCGCTTCCAAGGTCAAAGCATGTCGTAGAGCAATCTTGTTGACCAAATTAATACCGCTTGTAAATTCTTCGTTGCTCGTGGTGTTCTCGTGTTGTTCTGATCCACGTTCTGATTCGAGAATTATGTTTGCTCATTGCAGCTTCAAGTTGCACAGCAAGGGCCCGAGAGTGGATGCCACCACCTCGTGGGTGGAGGCCGCGAATGTGGTGGCTCGCACTTCGGGACATTCGAAGCGAGAGGCGTCCGACCGATCATCGCGGCTTCAGAAGGAAGCATCCCGAGTCCAACACCAGCAACCGGGAATCCGGTCGAGGAGACACCGTGCGCCGATGCTGAGGACGCAGCCCACGAGCGCAAAATGGCAGTCTGATCTGATCTGTTGACGCGGCTAGCCTTGTAACCGTTTGAGAGGGCATCGCCCCCTCAAGGGGAGATGCTCCTCTAGGTATGACAACACAGATGGGAAGAAAAGAAGGCGACATTTATCGGCTAGAGGCATGCGGGCAGCGACCGCTCTTTAATAGGTGGACAAAGTCTGGCAGTTTTCTTCCCCATGGGCAGAGCTCACGGCCGCGCCCCATTTTTTTTTCTTTTTGCCCACGAGGGTGCTTGTGCTTGACGCTTGTCACAAACTGTCACAAACTGTCAGGACTCGTGGCGGACCAGTAGGGCTGAGGGTAGCTTGCAGGAATATTTAGAACTCAACTGGCCTCAATGTTCCTGAAAGTGTTCATAGCGTCTCTGCAGGATCAAAGGCTACACAACCTCGAGGCAATCTGGACGATAAGTGAGCTGTTTCTTCGATGGATCTTGGGAAGGCCAGGGGTGCAACCCTCGCTGTCCCGCTTCTCACCACTGGGCTCACGACGATCAGTGGCTTGAGATGACTGGAGCTGCCTAGTCGCGGGGAAGCATCTTGCACTTCCGGTGGAGTTGGCGTAACCTCGTCTGGTGTACGAGAAGCCTGGTTTGCCAGAAAGCCATGACCTTTCCCCCTGACCGTTGAAAAACAGTCCTCATCCGCACCGCTGGAAACGGCTGTCGACCATGTGTGTGGCTTCTACTTCCATATCTGATAGGATGTGCACTGTTTGCAGGCTCATCGGAAAGCATGGGCAGTCCAGCTCGACCGCTTCACTGCAGGGCTCTCCCGGGAACTCCCTGCAGCGTTTCTCGAGAATGGAGGTGAAGCCTGGTCTATATGATGAGCTCTTTGAGAAGCACCTGTCTTTCATTAGTTTGGTCCCCTAAATCTTACTCCTCTCACCCTTCCTGGCCTCCTCCCGCAGTCTTGGTCGTGGGCAACCCGTGCGCTTACTCCCGCTTCCGGCTCGACCTTCAATCCCACCACTTTCTGTACGACCGCGGTGTCCGCACGCTCCCCGGCCAATGGCTGCTTGAATACCGAATCTCCCGTCAACAGGGCAAGTTGCCCGTGGCTACTTTTCCAACCCATCTTTTCAGCCGGGTCATTCGATTCTCACACTCTTGCCTCAGGTTGTAGGCGCACTGTCCACATTCTTCTGCAAGAACCGCAAAAGATCCATCTTTATGTGAGCACCACCAGATAACCGCAAGGCGCCACGCAGATCTCTCCGGGTTGCTTGATGTCTGACCGATGTGCGGCAAGTTCGGAGCATGCTTGAGCTCTGAGGCCGATATCCCAAACTCTTCCCTCCATTTACATCGTCAAACGCACGCTGACCAAGGCTTTAGTGAACACCTTCCCTTTCGCCACTCTCCTCCTCTGCACTCTTGCTACGCCGCATGTTTTTCGCAGCAAAGAGAGAACGGAGGACTTCCATTCGTTGATCCTTAACCACAATTCCCTGTGCTCACCGCAGGTCTCATGGCGAAAGGGGCGACCCAAGGGGCGCAAAGCGCTCCTAAAGCAGAACGGTTCAAGACACGATCCTTCAAACGCTTCTCGGAACCTTCGAAACATAGTATTGATGCCAGTGCACTGGCCGCCTGTGACGGGCTCAACTCTTCGGTGGGTGCCAAGGTCACATTTCCATTTTCCATGTCGCCTCCAGTCTGTGCCAGCCCCCCGCCAGGGCGCTTCCCAGCTTGGTCTTGATTAGTGCCCGCTTCTGCCCGCTATGCCGGGGTAGCTAATGCCCGTCATCGTGCCTTTTCAAGCTAACATCCGCGCGCTAACAGGTCGTCTCGCGAGAGGCTGATATTGACCTAAAAGACGAAATTGCTTTGCCAGCACCAATTGCTTATGGCCGATTCTATGGCACATGGGATGATGATCATGGGTGTGTACGCGACCTCGAGCCTATACCTGGTCATGAACACCTCTTCCATTCATCCACTGCGGAAACGCCCAGGCCCGTGTCAGTCGTCGGTATGTATTGACCTTCATTGAACGTTGACTACATCCAATGCCTAACTTAAACGTAGTGCTTTCTCGCGAGGAGTTTGATGCTCTCGAAAACAAGAATAATTCGAGAGACGATGGTACCTCTGTGGACAAGGGAAAGGCTCTAATCACAACAGTTCGGAAAGCAATACGCAAGAAGCCCGTTACAACAAGAGCGAAGATTCTGAAAAGAACACGTTCAGTCGCTCGTCTCGACGTTACGGAACCTAAGCAGACTGTGCCGGCTTCGAAGACGGAATCAACACAATTTTTCATCGGCAACCAGACAGCGTTAGGGGAATTTTACGACTATCATCTGAAGGAGATGGGAATGATGGTCTCTAAGAAGCTGGCGTGGAATTGGATTCAGGTACGGTGGCCTAAGAGGAGCGGCGGCTACCCGTACCTAAAAAAGATTCCAAAAACGGATCCCCCAGAGTACGAAGAACCTCGTGGGTACAATGGGCCAGTTCCTGGTTGGCCTACTGGTATTATCTATACAGAACCCGCACACTTACCCGGGCCTCGTAAGATGTCCCGACACTCACAATCATTATCGTTGCTAATTCATCTACAGAGGTCAGGAAACTCCTTACTTACCTCTTGAGGGCTCATCGAGAATTTAAGGGAACCAAAGACTGGGTTGGGACACTTCAAAAGTGTGCCCAGTCTTACGTGGAAGTGGGATTCAAATTGGGCAAGGACTACTCATCGAGCATAGACCCGACATTTCGAAAGTTAAGAGAGGAGAGAGTTAAGTCCTCTTTGGAGGCTTGTTATGAAATGGCTAAGAAGGAAGAGGATTTCTACGCTGCTTATAACCTGTACTCGGTAGAGGACACTGATCACCCAGAGATGTATGGTTGGGCAAATATTACCTGGACTCGTATGGAGAAGATACCTCGACCTAGGCAACAACCGAAACGGCGTCGCTGCAGCCCAAGCCAGGGACTGGAGGAAGATGCAAGATCAACGGATTCTGAAGATGGCAGCGAAGTAGACGTGGGGCATGTTACTTTAGGGGAACCTTGTAGCAGTGCATCTACCACTACGTTTCAGAGTTCTCTAACGCCTCCGACACCTCCATCGAGTTGCCGAAGATACCCTGGTATGGCTCTGCCGATCAGTAATACTACCGGCTCCATCATACCATCTTCGATGGGCGTGGGAGCTACTACTCCTGCCCCCAATCCACCCACCCTTGATAGACAGTATACTTGGACCTACGCCCCTCAAATAACGATTTCAGCTTCTGCACCATCGCTGGATCAGTCGGCGCATGAACACCGCATGGATCAACTCAAGGATGCAAGAGTAGGATATAGCGTTTCCGCCGATCCTTTCAGCCTGCAGCAATCTCCAAACATGATCCGTTCACAAGATACTTTCAAGCCCCAGTCCGTGGATATTTCTGCGGGTTCTTGGGCGGTCCCTCACCATCACCAAGACATGCCTATATACATGTCAGGCTTTACTTCAGAACAGCTCGGATATCCTGATATGAGGAGCGATCCCACACTGGTATCATATCCGGCTCCGTTGCAACCAAATGATCATCTTTTCGCTCGCTCCTCTCGCATGGCAACAACCGAGCCTCCCGCCGACAGCAGAGCCTGGATTGATATGTGGGCTGATACACAACATTCTGCCGGTCACTTCTCCCCTGATGTCATATACGCAACGAGTCAACTTCCTATCCGATCAAGCTCTCCCACGCTTCCACACCGCCTCCCTTGTTGAAATCGAATGCCTATGAATGAGTACTTGCCATTAACTATTTTCTATTTGCGTTACGAGTCTCATATCCACATTCCTTGCATCCCATCTTCTGTTTCCCTACATAATTTTCACTACATAGCCAACGGTTCTCACGACAACGACGACTCTCTTTATTCTTGTGTATGAATCATGAGCATTGGATACTATCGACATGACTGGGTGGTATTTTCTTTGCATCTCAGCACTGCAGCGTAGGATCTGATGTTCGCATACATCATCTGCTCTGTAGCCTTGCCTCGGCATGATTGCTGAAATGTTTCGTTCTTCGCGTTTTGCTTCTAAACACGACCCTTATACCCCTCTTACATCTTTCATGCTTACCTTTATGGGAATGGCAAATTGGTGGTGATTACGGGAAGGAAGTCTGCCTAGCCGTGAGCGTTGTTGTTTTAGCAGTGGATAATGGCGAATATGGTGGCTCTGTAGGTTGAAATGAGAGAATTTGAGGAGCAAATTTTGGAATGAGAGTTCTGGGGAGATTTTTCGAAGTGGACATCTAGTAAAAGATAGCTTGGGGTGAAAAGGCCATAATCGAAGTTGGCTTGTGAGATAGGGGGGTTTATAAATACGCTGATGGTCCAGCTAGAAATGGCACCATTTGTGCCACAAAAAGATTTCGGTTTTGTATCACATAATCAAATGCTAGAGAATCTTGCGAGGATTCTAGAGTACTTTTATTGTGACGACATCTTCCCTCTTTCATTCTTTGTTGTAATTGTAGTGAGGATTGTAAAGTCATGAAGGTTCGTATCAGTAGGTGTTGGTAAGCGCGCGATATCACATGATAAATGAAATAGGAACCATTCAAACGCCGAGCGCACAGACTGCCAAGCCATGTCGTCTAAGGACTTCGACTTAGAAGCTCTCCAGCTTCCTCCTCCACGCTCACCAACAAAGAAACAGCGTCACGACACCAGGTTGCGCGCAAACTCCGCAGCATTTCATGACGCGGTGAGCAGTTTCGCTAACACATCCTCTTGAAATAGTCCTCGCGGGCGCACTCGGCGTCTCCACACGCATGACCATCCATAACAACCAACTCACCTCCGACCATGTCGTCCCGGCGTGGACCTAGGCATGGAGGAGCACGCGGTCGCGGCAGCAGCACAAATTACGACTCAAGCGACGCGAATGCGAGTTCTAGTGCGAGATATACCATCCGTGGACGCGGCAATGGCGTATACACCCCCCCGAACGCTCGATTCAACAATGACAACGATGGTGGCCGAGGACGAGGTCGTGGTCGGGGGCCCAGTGAGAGCCGAGGACGTGGATCACCCGTAGTAAGAGTCGGCGGTATCTCCAACACCCAAGGCTCAGCGGATGCTACCTTTAGAGACCTATCGGAATCGACACTAATAACCTATGCTCTCCAGCAGGTGACAACAGAAGGCGACGCTCAATCTCGATTTGAAACCGTACGTAATACGTACCTTAGATAATAGCAGCCACGCTAACATGCCGCGCTCCCAGCTCAAGAAACGTCGACCGGAGGAGAAGAGGAAGGCCATCGAACAAGGTCTGATGAATCCCGATCATGCCATCGCTATTCAAGACCGAGTCCCTATCCGAGGGACATGCGAAGACATGTGTCCTGAATATGAGAGGGTCCGGCGTCAGGCCCAAGACGATATGCAACCTCCAGAGTTTGTACGTTACCAGGCGACCCACTACCGCTTTCCGCATTGCTAAAAACGACTAGTTCCCGGAGACCCTTCATGGCCCCCGCCGAGACCGAAAACCAGACGAGGCACGCATGGTGAAGGCGTTTGCACGATCTGCGGCTGGTAACGAGGCTCAGCTCCCGTCGGATATTCGGACGCCACAAGCATGCATGGTACGCGTATCCTACGCATGTTTCGGAGAAGACCCTAACTAAGAGTATCTCGACAGAAAGCACTGGCCTTCATGTTCAAGCGGGTCGATTCAGAGGGAATGCGCTTTATGAACAAGTACATCTGGGACCGCACCAGGGCCATCCGCAACGATCTTTACATGCAGGATGGCATCACCAAACCGCAAGATGTCAAGACCAGGCTAGACTGCTTTGAGCAATGTGCTCGATGGCACATTGTCTCTCTTCATACCATGGCAGCAATGGATGACACCAACTACAGCCACCAACAAGACCTAGAACAGCTTCGAGCGACGCTCGTCACTTTAAAGGAATACTATGGGCAGCACCGCGTCGCTAAAACAGTCTGCGCGAATGAGGCGGAGTTCCGCTCTTATATGCTGATCTCGGGAGCAATGTCCGAAGTCGAGCTTCAGAGTCTCCCATCGCACATCCAAGTGCATCCACGAATCCAAACGGCGCTGAAGATCGGTCGTACCGCAAATGAAGCCCTAGCAGCACGCGGACAGACTTTCGCTGTTGCGCGGAAAAACTGGCAAGCATTTTGGAGCCTTATCAAGTCTTATGCGGTGTCCTATCACCTAGCAGCTGTATCAGAAACCTTCTTCTTGCCAGTTCGAGACATGGTCTTGACGTCGTTATTCAAGGCTTGCCGTAGGGCAGGTGGAACACAATCCGAGGACTGGACAATTCCTCACCTAATCGACATATTAGGATTCGATACCGCGGACGAGGCAATCCAGTTTTGCGAGGCCTATGGATTTTCTTTCGGAACCGACGCAAGCGGCGACCATTTCCTAGATCTTGCGTCTGTCCAAGCCGTGAATGTTTCCTCTTCTATGAAAACCCAGGTCTTTTCGAATAAGTTTGTTGAGTCGAAGCGACATGGGAGGTCATTTAGGGCACTTGTTGAAGGTATGTCCGTGCTTGAGGCTCAGAAATCTGGCATGTTGGTAGTTGCAGAGCTCACTGGCGTTCCACAAGAGGAAGATTCACTTTTCGTGCCCGATTTGTCGGTAACCAGGACCACTACCTCGCCTTTCAACGCTGCGAAGCCAACCGCACCAACGACGGTGGCTAGTAGTACCACCCCTTCGACCCTGAACCCGTTTGCGACCTCTTTCCAGCCTAGGAGCGGTGCTGATCCGCCTCAGCCCGGAACTTTCCATACACTTTCCGGTCCTTCAGGAGGTCTTTTTCACTCCAGTCCTGGTATCCCGGGCCAAACCTCGAGCTTCGGCAAACCCTCGTCCTTTAATCCATTTCCCTCCGCAAACCCAACGCCCACTGCTGCATTATCATCGTCATCACCATCGCCAAATGCAGGTGGTTCCTCCTTGAACGGCGCTGGTACCCAATCTCCTTCACTCCCTAACTCGTTCACAACAAACCCGACAACGGGAGTGGTAGTGCAGCCTGGAATCTTCGATTCCACAAAGAACTCCATAAAGTTCGCTGATCAGCGTCCTGGAGCAATCAATGCCGGCTCAAGTTTTACGAATCCACTCCCGTCGACTGCGAGCACTTCAGGTTCAAGTTTCAGTCCATCATCGTTTGTACCTCCAGCGATCAGTCCCTTCCGCAGAGATGGCGCGTCGCCGACCCCAGTTACGTCAACCCAGAACGGAATGCAACAGCCAGCGACGCTCTCTTCGTGGGGTATGCCATCATCGACCGCAGGATTCCCGAACCATACACAGTCTTCGCCAACTTCCCTATCAACTATTCAAAATGGACAAGGTACTGGCTTCCCACCCTCCTCTACGGCAACCCCGCAATGGCAATTTTCGTCGGCGCCACAAGCCACCAGCCAGCCATCTTTCTCAAACCAGCACCCTCTCCCGACCGGTCTCCCAAATACGGGCCAAATCCTTCCATCACAAATCACAACCTCAACAACAACTCACATTAACATGGGAGAGGAACAACGGCGCCGAGCACAGGAAGAGCAGAAGCGGAAAGCTGAGGAGGAACAGAAGCACAAAGCAGAAGAAGAAGTGAAGCGTAAGGCCCAGGAGGAATTCAAGCGCGTTCAAGAGGAGCGAAGACGTAAAGCCGAAGAAGAACAGCAACGCCAAGCTCGAAAAGAACAGCTGCGCCAAGCGCAAGAGGAGGAGAAGCGTAAAGCTCGAGAGGAGGAGCGGCGTAGGCATCGTATCCAGGAAGAGAAAGATGAGTCTATGAATGCGCTTGCTAGGCAGTTATTTATCGACTCCGAGCCCTCCCTCCTCGAACAATTCATCGAAAACGAAGTCCAGGTGACTTTCTGGAAAGTTACAGACGAGTTGAGGCGAGAGGAGGTGGACCTCAAAGCGGGCTCGTTCCGCAAAGCCAATCTTGCTCGACGTGCGCTGGAGGCTTGGGTAAAGAAAGCTTACAAAATGCGACTAAAGAAGCATGGGCGAAACCGCAGGCAACGACTGAAGGCATTGCAAGCCGAGCAGCTCGCAAAAGAGGACATAGTCTCCGCCAATGTGCAGCCTCCCCACGAGCCCAGTCACGAAACCTATACGAACACCCCAGTCGTTGTGGTGGACTCACTTACGAAAACACGCGCGACAGCTAGCCAGACCGCTGATAAACAAACTCAATCGGCTTTAGTTTCACAGAGGTCGTTCCGAAAACCCGCTACCTCCGCTAGCACTCCACGTCCTCGAGCTCGTACGAAGTGTAAACAGCGATCTGAGTCTCTTTCGCAGAATACCCCGAGCCTCAACAACAGTACCACAAGTTTAAATTCGTCCCAAAGCAGCTTGTCCACTACCCTTAACCCCCTCGATACGTCTGTTGCGTTCGACCAAACGGAGACGGACTGGTTCAGGTTAAGGGCTTTGGGAATTGACCCGAGCAGGGTACGCAAGCGAAGCTTTGATTCAGACGAAGAAGAGGAGAAAAGGAACCCCGATGGCGATCGATTACGTGGGCGAAGCTCAAATACACCTGCTGCTCGAATTGCACTTCCACCTCCGACCACCACTATCGATCCCCTCGCGCGTTGGGAAGCCTACAAGGCGAGGTCTAGAACAGCTGCGTCGAGCCCGATTGAAAAGATCCCTACTCCAGTCGTCCAACATGGATTCAACGAGAGCTTTGCACCAAACCCTAGCCCAGCCCCAGCTTATCGTAATCGTGTCTCGCGATTCGTCCCACGGCATCTCTATGGCAAAGGTCGTGACGCGGTTCGAGAATACCGTGCTAGCATTCGTAACTCCCAAGGTAGTCAGGGCAGCCCATCGCAGACTGGAGCAGGCCTCGGACCACTGGATCTGAGCTCTCCTATTCAAACGCATCAGTCCTATTCCACCAACTATGCAAATTTCAGCGGGAATGATGGTGATCAGGATCCAGAGTACGATGACGAGCAGTACGTCCAAGGAGATGAGGAGTACGAGTATGAAGAAGATGATTATTACGACGAAGATGACGAGGGTGTTGGTACGAATATGGCAGGTGGTACGCAGGATGACGCAATTGAGCTTTCTGATTAGTGGGGTGGAAAAGTCTTTGGTGCTGGCTTTTGTCCGGAAATTTTCCTGCTTCTGGAGGATAAGGCCTTTCCTGGCTTTGACCCACGAGGATGCATAGCGTAGGCGTTTATAGGGCCCATGTATAGGCATGGGATGGCACGGGATATTTACGTCTGGGCTGGAATGTTCTGGACTGCGCTAGAGTGTAATGGATTTTCATGATAATGATACCCCTTTTTTTCCTTTTAGGGAGGGAGAATTAGGGAAGGAAACGGACGTAGAGATTCAGGAGAGAAGAGAGACGTTTAAAAAAAACCCCGTAAAAACAGTTTAAAACTTTGGAGTCCCGAGTGTTTGGGATTGTGATTGTTGCTGAAGTCGAAGATGGCTGCAAATGGGAGGAGCTCTTGCTACCATGGTGTGGATTCTTCACGGCCTGACATCGTCCTATGCATATTTAATAACTCACTACTTGATGGAGCAATTCAGGGAGACGTGCGCGTAGCGAAAACATGCACACGAATTCCACCAGGATTCCACGGAGCGTCCATTCACAAGCCTAGCATCACTAGTCGAACATGCCTATTTTTCGCTGCCAGCTTGTGTTTCCCGCATATCCATATCCACACCATCAGCATCACCATGACGTGCGCGCGGAACTGTAAAACCGAGAACAGTTTAAAACTCGAGACTTGTGGTTTTTAGGAATGTGATCAGGAGTGGAGCAGAAGGCGCAAAGCGTAGCCATATCCCGTCGTTTATGCACGTTTCCATCTTAGATGGGTTGAAGGTACTCTTTCTTATTCTTCTGGTTATCAGGGCCGCGTGGAGAGCTGGTTTGAATGGAAGATGTATTGTGGTGGTTCTGTGGTTATTGGGAAAGATATGGAGAGCCGGCTAGTGGTGTTGAGGTTTGGGTTTGTGTCTACGCCTTGTACCTGTTTGCGACTATGGAACCCGTTGTTGGTGAGGATTTGGATGCTGTTTTTTATGTAAATCGTAAAAGGGTTCTCAACCTTACCTTTTTCAAGCTTCTCCCCCGCTCGCTAACTAGAATACATCTCTATTTAGATCCATCTACATTTGTTATGTGCATGCGGTGTTGAGGGCTGGAGTCAGGGGCCCTTGGATTTTAAAGCTAGAGATTGGGGCGATGTGCAGGTCATTCGGGGTTGGGGTTGCATTGATGGCTGGGTAATTGGAATGGTAGGATGGGGGAGGGTAAGGGGGGTTAGAGGGAGGAAGAGACTCGATGAGTACCAGGACTTGGGTATTGGCGAGCGAGTAAGCAGTGTTCAAGGTGCGGATAGGAGCCCCAACCTTGCTCTCGTTGGTGGAAGTTTGTATCCTATTGAAGTTTGGCCTAATTCTAGCAGGCAGTTTAACAGACGAAATCTACCCTAGTTATATTCTAATTTATGTGATGACAGGCTGACTTGTCTGAGATCTAAACATCGACATCGCCCGTTCTCATATCGATATCCGTACCGTCATCCGTGAAAATCTAAAGAACGTAGAGTATGTTACTACATATCGTTGAGTAATAACTAGAGTAGATTCTGCTTGTAAAACCTCTTACTGGAATATGCAGGGGGTCACGCGGATGGAAATTTCTGTTTTGAAATGCCACGTCATCTTTCGCGTTAAGTGAGGAGATACAGAACATCCCCAGAATATTCCATGGATCTGAAATAAGTCTGGGCATTAAAGAAATATCAAGCATGGGCTCAACAGAAAGCTGGGATATCTACGAAAATGATTTTGAATGTATGTATGTACCCAGCTATGTAGATACATGCCAAACGGGAGCTTCCATTAGGATTGAGAGAGCTAGGTAGGTATGCTCAGGACGAAATCCTTGCTTGACTGTACACGCATGATCTAGGCTAAATGCACTACAGAGGGGACTAGTTGGGCTGACACTGTGCCCAACGCGCCCCAATGTCGTCGGAACTCTACACTCATTTCGACATGAATAAAATCGAGGCTGAAAAGACCTATTACATATCCTAGTAATGACGGTCAAACGCCAATGTCAATTCCAAAACAGACAAGGAAACAATTCATATTATGCCGTAGAATATTTACGAGTGTGAAAGGCTTCGTGAAACATTACGGTCATATCTAGTGCCCCTACAGGCGTGCGTGAGTGCTCGCACTAGCGAAGCTGTTGCGCGGGGAAATATCGTGGGCCAGAGTATCCGTGGAATTGGACGTGTTCTATGTCGATATTGCCGTTGTGGGTTGGGCTCCAGAGCTTGAGGAGGATGAACTTTCCAGACCTATCTTGTATCAGATGACATGCTATAAGAGCTGGTAGAATGCAGGTAAAGGGCGTTTCTGAAAGAGCTGACTGAGGACGAAGGGGAAAGTGACATACACTGCAGGATGAAACCTAATGGTGATCTTGTTCTTGTTCCTCGCGATGAAGAACCGGGCAGGCACAGTTCCCAACCCATCGCTATCAGAGGCACTATCTTTCCGCTCAATACGACTTGGGGCGTGGAGACGGGTAGCACGGATCGGCTCAATATCGCGACGGTCCCTTCGCCAACGGCCGGAGAAGTTTTCCATGGAATCTAAAGCGAAAGCTCGACGTGGAGGAGGAAACCGATACAACAATTCATCATCATCGTCATCATCATCATCGCCACTGTCTGATCGCCACCGACTCTCTCGGCGAAGCCTGTCAGCCATGATGGCAGCGCTGGGAACCTCTTCCTGCTCCTCCGACTCCTCGCCGCTTTCAGTGGTGATGGTAAATGGAGGCGGGGTAGGCGCAGAAATACCGGCAGCGGTTGCGAAGGAATCATCGGCGGGATAATCGCAGTGCTCAATGAAAGGGTCTTCCTGCGTCTCTGCACTCCTGCGTTCCCCTTGGTGCCTCTCTCGCATGGCTTCATCGTAATTCCTTCGCCAACGACGACGATTCTGCAGCTCGAGGCGCTCAAGTGCTTCTTCCGCGGCTTCTTGTCGTCCTTGGCGGGAGTTCTCCCAGATGTACGGATCATCAACGGCCTCTTGTAGCGAAATTTGCTGGTCGCCGGAAGGGTTTGGAGTAGCAGACCGACGTGGCAATGGCGAGTCGTACTCGATTTTCCAATCCGAAGTCTGGCTGACAAGCTCGTCTGATGACATGGAGACGAAAATCAAGCCCTCCTGCACGCTATAGCACTAGGTTAGCAAATATCAGACACGAGACGGAAAGAGCATACGGAGCGGTGAAGCCACGGTCCGGGGTTCGGATGACGACCTTTTCGAGAGCAAAGTGCATTTCTCCCATGTGCTTCAGGAGGAGGTTGCACCGCGAGCTTTCACTGCAGTAGACGCTCTTGTCGTTCTTGAGGACGTTCTGGATCTTGTACAGACCATCCGAGTTGGATTTCTTGTATTCTCCGCCGTCGCAGCTCACCACCTCCATCTTCAAACGCCCTGGAACGACTTGGCCATGGTGGCCGTACTTGAAGCTGTCGTATCCGGGGGGGCTGTTGGCGTCATGGTCGAGCTTCCTGCGCTTTGAATGTCTCCGCGAGCCGTCCAACTCGCCCGCGGGGCTGCGCGGGCGGGTGTTGGAATTTGCAAGTGCGAAGAGATTCGAGCCGTCGCTGAGCGAGTCGAGGGGGTCGGGGGAGTCCATACCGTTGTTGGTGCGCTGGTCGCGCGCTCTCGCATGAGAGCGGCGAAGGTAGCGCTCGCTTGGGGTAGCTCGCGGACGAGCTGTGGTGGGTTGTGGCGGGGGTCTCCGGAGCAACGAATTTGCATCCCGCGACTCCCTTTCACCTAGCAGCGTTCGACGGAGAGGTCGACGTCGAGGTGGCTCGATTCGCGGTCGACGGGGGGGGATCACGCTGTCTTCTCGGTCGCTCGCCGCGTTCTCTCGGGCGGCCTGCTCTTGCTGCCGGCGGATGACGTGCTCTCGGAACTGCTCGTGATAGCCGCGCGGGGGAGGCGGAGGCGAGGTTGAGGCATGTGGAAAGTCAAAATTGCCCGACATGAAGCTGAAGGTCGAGGCGGGTGGTGATGGGGACGGGGGCGGTCTGGGCATTGCGGATGACGTCGAGGCTCATGAGTGGCGTGAGTGCTGGAGCGAAAGACGAGGAGAAGACAAAGAATAGGAATTGCGGGCGAGAAGGAGAGATGGACAAGCGAGCGTCGACGGGAGGAATGGTGAATGGTGAATGGAGTGGGAGGGTTGAAGGCTGAGGCCCCCATGGGGCATGAGCAAGAACGCCATGAAGCCACCGTGCCACCCCCGCGTGGCTCCGAGGCACGGATCTCCAACTCAAAAGTGAAAGCGAGGCTCAGCCCAGGTACCCCAGAGCTTGTTGTATTGTATCAGCCGTCCAAGCTTCAACTTCTCCCCACATCCTCTCCGATCCCGCTCCAGGAGCAATGGCCGAGTCTGCTTCGGCTCCGGGTGCCTCCAATGGCGCCGCTCCGGCTCCTGATTCTGCAGGCCAGACTGTCGCAGCTATCCCTCAGGCAGACACTATCAGTGCAGGTAGGCCTCCGTTGAACTCAGACCTCTATCCCCAGGCTGACTCGTTCTTTCAGACGAGATCGCTCTTTACGACCGTCAGATCCGCCTGTGGGGAGTCCAGGCGCAAGAGAAGTGCGTGTCTGGACACATCGTGGCTGGAGCTAACCCTCTGACAACTGCAGAATCCGCACTGCCAACATCCTCCTCGTCTCCATCAAAGCCCTCGCAAACGAGGTCGCCAAGAACCTAGTCCTCGCGGGAATAGGCTCGATAACCCTCGCAGACCATGAGGTGGTCGTCGACGATGACCTCGGCGCACAGTTCTTCGTCTCTGAGGCTGACATTGGCAAAAACGTGAGTCCTGCTCTGCTCCCCGCTACCCACGCCTTCGTCTGACAATCCCCAGCGCGCTGAAGCCGCCGCCCCACAAATTCAAAAGCTCAACCCACGCGTCAAAGTAAACGTCATCACGAGAGACATCCGAACCGAGCAGGACGTGACCTTCTACGCCGCATACGATGTCATCATAGCCACAGACCTCGACTTCCTCTCCCTTAGCAGCCTCGACTCCGGTGCTCGACTAGCGCATCGACCCTTCTACGCCGGTGCTTCGCATGGCTTCTACGGCTTCATATTCGCCGACCTTGGAACCCACGATTTCGTCGTCGAGCGCGAAAAGTCAAATAGACCAACGCGCCTTGCCCCCGAAACCGCCACACGCTCCGTCATCGGAACCACCACGAAGAAGGAGAGTGGAAAGACCATTGAGATGGTGAGGAAGCGAGAGCTCTATACCCCACTGCTACTGGTCAACACCTGCCCGCTTCCTCCCGACATGCAAAACAGCCTCCGCAAGCTCCGCAAAGTACACCCCTTGCTCACCTGCATCCGCGCCCTTTGGGACTACCAACGCAATGGCCACGGCATCCTCCCCTCCCATTCCACTACCGATCTCCAACTCTTCACTACTATCGCCACCGAAAAGCACAAAGAGCTCCAACTCCCCGCCGAGACACTCAGGTCCGAGTTTCTGCGCAGCTTTCTGCAGAACTTGGGCAGTGAGTTGGCGCCTGTGACGGCGTTTCTCGGCGGTCAGCTTGCGCAGGATGTTATTAATGTCTTGGGTCAGCGGGAGCAGCCTATTCAGAATCTCATGCTGTTCGATGGTGAGGAGAGCGTTGGGCCGATTTATTCGTTGCATCCTATCTTTCCGGATAATCCCGTTCCGGCTATGCCAACTATAGCCCCTGATGTCCCAGTTTTGGTAGTTTAAAGAGGAGAGGTGTGGTGGGACACTCGATGGGTAGGCTTGGATTCATGACGCATTTAGCATTAGATTGTGGGAGGACATCATAGGTGCTGGCTGCGATCTGGGTTCATCAAATCGTAATTTTGGAATCCCTTCTGTAGGAGTGCACAAGGTGGTTATTTGGGGCGCATGGTACCATGGCGGGCAGTCGGGAGTAGATACAGTATCGGGATACCCTTGAAATCTCCAAGCGAGGGAGATAACGAGCATCAATCCAACCCTCGATTTATCTGATCAACCAGTATATGCATCTCTCCCGCCTCCATGATATAACTCTCTTCCTTTTCTTCCTTTTCTAATTTCACCCTCACTATTACTGCCTTTTCTTCCCCTTCCCAACCTTCTTCACACCAGCCCCACCCTCGCCGACCCCTTTCCCAAAAAGCACCCAACACAACCCCAAAAAGCTAACCAACACCACGCCCACCGTCCCCACCTCTACCCACCCCGCCTTCCTCAAATCCAGCACCGGAACATCAATCCACTCCACCAACTCTCCTCCGCCTTCCCGTCTCCCCCTCCCATTTCCGTTCCCGTTCCGGCTCGCTGCAGGCGGGATGTGCATGAACCTCGTTTTCGGCCCAAAGAGCGCCTCGTAACCCAAATGAATACGATCAAATGGATTCACTGACATTTTTGTTCCTTCTTCCGCTCTGCAGGCCCAGAACAAGACGGGCCAGGGGACGGCAAGGGGAGTGTGGGTTGAATTTGAGGGGGGGAAGTAGCGGAGATGCAGAGGGATGGTGATGTTCCAGTCTCTGCCTGCCTCTTGGTCTGGGTCAGGGTCTGAAGAAGGAGTATCGAGCTCAAACAAAGCAGCAGAGCCCCATTGAGGAACAACCCAATCCGGGGCCTCGAGATCCGTGGCCCCTGATATCGAGCGTAGAGAGGTTATATGGTGGGAGGAGAGGAACAGGGAGTCGCTGAATTGGTATTTGTCAATGAAAAGCGTGCGGGGAAGGGTGAGGTGTGCGTGCAGTCTGCAAGTCGTGTCCGGGGGTTCGAGATGCTTGGTCGGAAGAGTGAGGATGAGTGTCGGATGGAGGCCCGTCGGATGTGCGAAGGAAGTTTTGTAGACCAGACTGGATGCAGAGAGCGGGTAGTGCCGGGTGGGTGTTTGGAAACGCGTTGGTTTCGGTTGAGTATCTTGGCCGAGGACGGTTAGGAAGCCGGAGAATGAAATATCTTCGGGGTCGGGGTTGGGTTCGTTGTTGAGGATTCCGATTTCAATAGTTTCTTGGCTCCCGGGGAGCGAGATAGTTTCAGTCCAGTGATTCTCCTCATTGGGTGCGCGGGCCCAGAATGCGTTGATGATAAGGGTGTGTGAGATGGCGTCATAATCGATATCAACGTAGGATGCTGAAAGAAGAGTCGATGCAGAAATTTTACAGGAATTAGGTGATAGCGGACAGATTTTCGATTGAAAATAGGATACAAGAGATGCTAGATCTGGAATGCGGGTGTAGAATTGTGTAGATGAGGACATGGAAAAGCGCTCTGAAAGGATTGGCAGCTTTATAAACGTTTCCTTCGGGTCCTCACATACAAAGCCATTCCCAAATACCTCTTTTAGCAGAGGGCAAAGGAGGCTATCTGGGTGGTCTTTTTGAGGCGTGTAAAACACATGTAGTCCAGGAGATACACGTGATGTGAACGGTGGGATGGCGTCGTAGGGACTTTCTGATGCCCATCTTATGTGGAGTTCATGCCATTGGTTGAAGGCTTTTCGGAGCTATTGTTATTTAATTATCATGTCTTACAGTCACCGATATCAATTACTCACCTCGTCAGGTAGCTCCTCCAATCCCAAAGTAATGCGGTGTTCTTTTGCTGCGTTGACTTTTCTGAGAGCTATGGAACTGGGCTTCACAGCCAACTGCTCTGGGGTAAATTCATCCGGGTTCCGAACGAGGTAGGTTATTCGCTGCTTCATACTTGAGATTGGGATGGTTGCTTTGAAGGCTCGAAGTTCTGCGGTTGGGTTACAAGTTCGGCTCTAACTTGATTCGAGCTAGCGCCTTGGCTGGCTAAAATTCCTTCATGACGAACGCCAAGCCGCTTGCTTTCACCAATGGTGTGATAGCGGGCGACAACAGCTGAGTGCCTAGGACACGACCTCGCAGTCACCACCGTGTCCTTTGCCCAGTCCTCGCCACTTATGGGCCTATAAGTGCACCATCTAACTTCATTCAACTATTTCCTATTCACTCTCCACCATGCATTATCTCACGTTCCTCTACCCAGTCCTGCTGGCCTCCTCCGCCTTCTTCAGTGGCGGAGAAGCTCTCCGATCAGGACAGAAAATTAAGCTTTCAAACGTGCAGAGCCTCACGTTACGGAAGGGCCTAGAGACATCCCATCGGCGCGTCCCTGCACTTCCCCAGTTGAAATGCATTGGCGGGTCCGCGAAAGGCCTCTACGAAGTCGATGTAATGCGCTGCAAGAACTCGGGATATGACTACAACGAAGAGGATATCCAGTGGACATGCACCGCCTCTCTTCCCGAGGAATTCAAACTCGGCTCTACCGATGTGATTTGTGAAGGATACGATTCCCCCAACGATCCGTATATTCTGAAAGGTAGCTGTGGTGTGGAGTACAGATTGGTGCTCACGAGCAAGGGAGAAGAGAAGTACGGGAAGAAACGGCCATGGCATGGAGACGATGGTGGACATTACTCAAACACACTAGGAGAGAAGGTTGCAGCTGCGATATTCTGGCTACTCTTCATTGGCGTGGCAGTCTGGATTGCATACTCTGCATTCTGCACCGGGACACGAGGAAACGAGGTCGTTGGAGGAGCCAACCATCGACCGGGTTGGGGCGGAGGTGGTGGTGGAGGGGGAGGATACGGAGGTCCTCAGGATCCCCCTCCCCCATACGATTGGCGACCCTCTCCCAAGCCGAGCCCGAGTTATGGCGCAACGGACGGCTGGAGACCGGGCTTCTGGTCCGGAGCATTGGGCGGCGCTGCTGCAGGTTACGCTGCCGGACGGTCAGGAAACCGGGATAGCCAGAATCGGGGAAGTGGCGGTGGTGGCAGCAGCTGGTGGAACAATGGCGAAGGGAACTCGAGATCTGGATCATCAGGGTCTTCTGGCTCTAATTCTTCAGCTAGGTATGAGAGCACTGGCTTTGGATCTACCTCACGTAGATAGATCATCGAGTTCAGGTCAAAGTATAGGTCAAATTTGATACCGATACCGCCTTTTGTAGCTTTTGATCGCCTGGCTGTCACAGAGTTGTTTCTACTTCTCTTCTCATCCGTCATTGCAAGAGGTCTGAGGCAAATTTCGATAAAAGCTTTACTCGTACGCTGAGTATGCACGCCTGTCGAAAAGGATCCTTCTATCACCGAAAATGATAAAGGTAGCTCTTCTCATGGAAAATTGGAAATTGAAATTGAAAATCACGCAATCAGTCAGTAAGCTAGCCATACTCGTCGCCCTTCACACAAATTTTCTCAATACTGCCCAGCATCGCCAGCCGTGCTTGCCGTTTCAGAACAAAGCGACTAACCTTCGAACCGATCAACTCCCAAACGGGACCGGGTGCCAGGGCATATCATCAGCCTTCACCTTTGTGCAAGTCAGATATCCGATACCATGGGCATCGGGATCGATCATTAATTCGTTTGCAGCCATATCCTCCACCATCGCCGCGGCATATTCCTTCAGTATCTTCAGATCCTCTGCTAAGTCTTTCCAGTCAGATTGCATGATACCTCTGCACACACCCCTAACCTCATCAATCTCCATGTACTCGGATCCACCCTTGCGCAGCTTACGGTATACGACTCCTCGCCTCAATGTCATCTGCTTTGGTGTACGCATGGAGAGCAGTTGGGTAGCCAACGCGTCACGGAACATCTGCACCAGCATCCAGGTTTCCACATGGCCGTCTTGTGGCGTTACTGGTCCTCGGCGAACTTTGATGGTGACGAGAAGGAGCTCCCGCTCTAGTTCGGTGCACTTACTGTCTAACTCTTCAGATTTCCTGGCAATGAGCTGCTGTAGTTCGGTAGGTAGTGTCTTCTTGCTTGTGGGCGAAGTCCATCCTGGATGGGCTCCAACCAGATGGATTAAACATTCCGTATATATAGAGGTATTCTCTAAAGCCATTGCCAGCTGAATCCATCGCGCCGGGTCACTCTTGATGGCCACGAAGAGCTTCTGTCGGAATTGTCCGAAGACGTTACCCAGGTATGGTTGGATGAGATGCAAACATCCCAAATCCATCGCGACCTTGACCAGCTCCTCTGACTGCATTAAAGCCGCACCAATATCTGTCGTTGAAACCGATGGGGGGATGTTGTAGAAAGTCCCGAAGATCTGGGTATACGGAGTGGTGTCGAGCGTGCAACTCGGGTTGGAACGTGGCTTAACGAGAACAACGCGGGACTCGGATCCAGAGGCTATAGAGGCACCGTTCACGAACCCACAATTGATGAGTCCACAATTAAAGCACCCACCGTTCTCCAGCTCCCGCTCCCGCTCTTCTATAGTTGACCAACATACGGCACCTCCTTCATTTCCTGCGTCTTCGGTCTTGATAGGAACATTTGATCCTCCATCTTTATTGGGATAGGAAAAGATTGGATGCTCACCTCGAGTGCGCTGGCGGACCAGCTTGAGCACTCCGCCTCCAACATCCTCAAGTGTATAGGAGTGCCAAGACTGATTTGCATCTTCGGGATCGATTTCTCGTAAACTATCGGCAAACCAAGAAGAATGGCGTTTCAGGACTGAGCTGTTGAGCCGGAAGGTCTTGAAGTTGGTGTCGTGGTCCAGAGTGATGACAACATCACCAGAACGAAAGACTGGGAATTCGTCTGCTCTAACGAAAGGCGCAAGAGACTTTGCTACATCCTCTTGATTTCTAAGAGTTCTGCCTTGCTTGAAAATGGTCTTAGATAAGTAGTATATGGCTTGCAATCAATAAAAGAACTTACCATCTCGTCAGCACTGGGAGCCCGTATTTCTGGAGACACCAAGCCTGTCATGTTCCTGTCCGAGTCCGCGATTCCACCGGTAGAATCTGCAGTTTCCATGCTATTCTCATTGGTGACAGCTTTACCATCGTCAATAGCCTTAGGATCCGATTCTAAGGTCCGATTACCCAGTAGAACTGCCGATGTCTTTGATGGTGATAGTGAAGCTAAAGTAGCATGAGACCGACACCTAGCAGAATAAAACTCGGTAGACGACTCTTCCGGGCTAGAAGCTGTAGATGTGCTTCCTGTCGGGGATGAAGTTGGCACAGGCTTTAAAGTGAAAGACTTAGATCTGATGTCGGAGTCTTCTCTGGCCTCAACTGTGACGTCCGAGTAAGCACTGCTCTGTCCCTTAGAGAAATTTTCAGCGCGAGACAGATTTGGAGAGTTAGAAGAACGGCTTCTTTCCTGCCGTTTGTGCGACTTGGGCGCTGTTCCGGAGAGACACCGTTTTGGCATGATTGCTAGATGGGTATGTAAGATCAGCGTTGGGGAAGTTAGAATTCAATGCTAACCAAAATATGAGAGTCTTCGTGTCGAAATGGAAATCTGAGCCAATGGAAATCTGAGCCAATGGAAATCTGAGCCAATGGAAATCTGAGCCCGACGAAGAGTTATTTCTATGAAATACTGGTGAAGTAGGTAGAGATTCCTCGGGAGCTTGAGGAGCTTAGGACAGGTTGACCACAATAGTGAGAGAAAAGTCGATCTTGCGGTTGAGTGAGGAGAGAAGGTTGAAGTGGTAGTTCAGAGTGGAGTGTAGAAGTAATAGAGAATTGGATAGAACTGAGGAGACTTGGGGAGACGTGAGGGGAAGTTGGAAAATCCGCCGTTGTTCTCAATTAGAAGGAAGTGGACGAGTAAGAGTTAGGGCGAGATAAAGGGAAAAGACTGTAAATGGCTATGGTGGGTCATGACTTACTAACCTTGACGGGTTTACATAATGCGAAGAGCGCTCCTACAATAGGTTGAACTCGCCCTCATAAGTGAAAGCTAAGGAAATCTTGCCTCCTCCTCTTCGAAGAAAGGAGATCCGCAAAAATACGAACAGGAGTGATCAATTACATTGCACGATCTAATTCTAGTGCTAGATGCGAAATGATTTTTTGGGCTCAGCGGCTTAGTTGTTTGCTGATCTATTGTAGCTGCCGATATTGTAAAATGTAGAAGCTTGAGCTAACTACACTTAGAATATTTTACAGAGGAACAGATCCCGTTCCATTTTCCCCGCACAATGAGGAATATAGCCTTTGAATCCTGGTGAAAAGCAACGTAATATTCTAGCTTGCTCGCATATGGAGTACCAGTTCTCGAGTCACATTCTTCGTACTCAAGGGATGGAGAGGTCGGGTGTGTCCGAGACCGAGACGTGTGATCTTGGGCTAGATGAGCGATACTAGGGATTAGTGAACGTTCGATGCCGGAGTGACCAATCTTCCTTCTTGACGCCTCCCTGAGCCTTTATTGAAATATTTGGAAACTCCGTAGACTGGATATGAGAGACTGATTGAGGCTGGTGCTAGATAATCGCGTCCTCGCCTTACCCATTCACCGTGAGGACGACCTCGCGAAAGAAAAACCCAGTGTAAATATATCAGGCCAAAAATACCCCAATCATTAATTCAAACATCTCAAGTTTTCAATTCAGTGTAATTTCCTCGATTGTATTCGTAGAGATGCCCTAAGATGTGAAGCAGAGTGTTACCATTGTGGTGACTCCGCACATACGGGTAGAGGCATGAGTCTATTTGTTTGTCCGTGGTAGCGACAAGGCTAGCAACTCTATCCACGGTTGGAACGTATGACTGAAATTTTTTGTAGATTGTTAAATCGAGACTTACGAAGTAAAGGATTAATTGGTAGTCAGATTCCTAAATGAAAACCTTGTCTATAGACCAGTCAGATCTAGAAATCTTTCGCAAAGACCGAGATTGGAGGGCTTTGATTAACGTTAAGGCCGGTCAAATGTGTCATTTGATATTCAGCAGATATTTTACCCTATACAGGCATAACGTTGTCATACTCAATCTGGAGGTGTGAGTGCCGGTGGTAGGTTTTGTATCGCAAAAGGTAGGTAGGGGCTAAGGATAAGCGGTCTAAGTGGTGAGAGTCAAACTAGGTGAATGGAGCGAGAGGTTCGGCTTGAGGAGCTCGAGAACGCTACGAGGTGACTTCATAGTGTGCATAGAGGAGCCAGTCCTAATAGGTGACTAGTGCGTTGTATTGGTGCAGCATCACGTGTGGCATATTGCTGGCTCAGTATGCGGCAACACGTTTAGTCTAAGACATGTGGACTTTTCGAATGGACGAAGAGACACTAGCAGGATTTGGCTGGCAGGGATGTCGCTGTCTTGCAGGATGGACATTAGCCACAACCTTTCATATATTACCCCATGTCGCTTAAGAGACTATCGGTGAGGGATCAGGTCGCCTTGGTCCCCGCGATTGTAGTGAAGCCCCCAAGCCTCTGAAGTGTATTGAGCAACGTTTCGAAATCGATTTGTCCATACGACAGTTCCAAAGCTGAAAATGTGTTACCCTCGAGACTTTACCGAAGACCCAGGTTTGCCGCACGATTTTGGGAGCGAAAATTTCGGAACCTCGACAGGGAGATGTCGAATGGATACGGTCCAACATCGAGCAATCGGGTGGCCTTGAGATTTTGGGAAATGGGGCTGCCCGCTAGTTGACTCAAGAACTATTGTAGGCTATGGAGGATGGATGGGGTTTAGCGTGTTTACTTTTGATTTTAATAGGGGAGAGCCACCATGGGAGATCGCGAAATGAGAAGGGCGGTGTAGGATTGTACATGAAAATTTAGGTTCCCCCCTTACTACTCGTGGTCTAGATGGAGAGGTTTTGCTTCAAGCAGTAGTTAAGCATGCTCTAGTGATATATTTCCCCATAACAAAATCCCTCTAGTGAATTGACGGAGGATTCCTCAGACGGCGGAAGTTTAATCGGGAAGCAGAACAAGCGTTCAAGCAAAGAGAACCAGCTGATTGACATGGCCACTGGCAGCTCAAGCACGAATCCCCAGCGAGGGTACCTGATCGTGAATTTCGAATCGACGGAAAAAGCCGTGGCTGTGCTACATGAGGCAAATGCCATGCGGCCTGGTACTGAGCAGAGCTCGGCGGGGAGATAGATGGCCACGGCGGCCAAAGCGCGGACATCAATCCCCTTCACATGGCGACGATGGACAGTGAATGTCTGAGAGCCGATCGGACGCACTGTTCCCGTAAGCGAAGATGGCCATGGTGACATGAAGATGATGTCGTGTGGGGGCTATTGATATCGATAGCGAAGCGAACCACAGCATCGGGTCTTCCTGTGGGTGGTTCGGGAAGGCGTTCCACAGCACACGCCCAAGCGCCCCTGCCCTAGCCCCTGCCTATGCGGGCTGGCCTCTTTCAGGGTTAGCGCCTTCCTGCACAGTCTCTTATGTTCTGGCCATATGGGGCACTGTGCTTCCATTACCTGCCAGGGGCTCTTGCCTCACTGAAGAATCAGCCCACTTTCTATTCTCCCCCGCCGCTGCTCCCGTCGACTTATCAGAAAGCTTAGTTTCCCGTTTCCTGGACAGACGCCTTGTGCTTCGGCCCGTCAGAATGGCCTCGCTGGGCCGCACTCAACCTCCACAGCAAGCACACACACCCACATGCCCATCTCCTCTACTCTCCCTTAACACAACCCCTAGTGACGGCCAACCATCTTCTTCCCAGCTGTCGCAGCTGTTGCAGCCGCTGCATTCGTTACAGTCAGCTAAATACGGCGTCAAGCTGGAGGACAGCTTTGCACATGATATATTCTGTCGCACACTCGTTCCTTCCCTCTGGCTCGATTCGTCTCTTGTTGTTTGCCAAGTATCAGACAGCTTCCTAGAAGTCTCTGGCGGTTGCCGGCGCGAGCAGGTTGTCGGTCTGCATACCGATGATCTCTTTGGCCAAAGGGTGATTATTCCTTCACTCGGCTCGGCTCGCGAGGCTATTCGGTCCGCCCAGGAACTCAAGAAACCATACGAGGTCGAGGACGTCCAGCCCGACGGAAAGACTATCTGGACCATCCGGGCAGTGCCCATCTACCGCCATGATCAGTTGCGCTACGTTCAAATGGAACTCAAGGACACCACCGCAGAGCATCAGAGGTATCTAGATCTCGAAGAGCGCGTCTCGATTAATGAGACATTCCGCATCCTGGTTGAAACTGTCAAGGACTATGCCATATTCATGCTTGATCCTCACGGCAACGTCGCCACCTGGAATCAAGGAGCTCAGACGTTTAAAGGCTACGCGAAAGAGGAAATTGTTGGAAAGCACTTTTCTAGCTTTTATAGCCAAGAAGACTGCGATAACGGCAAGCCCGCAATGGAGCTAGAGACAGCTCTGCGCGATGGCCGGGTGGAAGATGAAGGTTGGCGCTACCGCAAAGATGGTACCAGGTTCTGGTATTTTCGCCCTGAGCCCTTCTCCTGACCTGTATTGACTTTATAGGGCAAACGTTGTCATCACCCCCGTGTATCGGGAGGGGACCCTCATTGGGTTCGGCAAGGTCACTCGCGATCTGACAGAGCGAAGGGCAGCTGAAGCCCGCCTCATCACTGCGTATGAGGAAGCTTCTAAATTAAAGTCTGAATTTCTGGCTAACATGAGTCATGAAATTCGTACTCCTATGCACGGTAAAATCCAAGCCCCACGACGTCTACCACAGACATTCATGATTCCTAGGCATGTTATCAGCTCTGACCCTGCTCTTGGACACCTCTCTGGACCCTAATCAACTCGACCTAGCACGAATCATTGAAGAGTCTGGTAGTGTATTGCTTCAGGTTATTAATGACATCCTCGACTATTCGAAACTAGCTAGCGGATGTTTTTCAATCAGTTCTGACATCATCAGCGTATCTGATATTATCCAATCGGTGTTCCGAAGTTACCAGAAGAGCGAGCCTCCGACAATTAGGCTTGAGATTAAACTTGATCCCAAACTTCCTAAAGCAGCGGAAGGTGACAGTCTTCGATATCGCCAGATCGTGCAAAATTTGATGTCAAACGCTACGAAATTCACCGACGAAGGATATGTTCGCGTAAATGCAAATTTGCAAGAAGAAAATGAAGATTCTTATCTAATACTCACAGAGGTCATCGACACTGGGATCGGCGTGCTAGATGGATCCCTCGGTTCTCTCTTCATACCGTTTACACAATTCGACAACTCAGCGACAAAACGATACAAAGGAACTGGCTTGGGACTATCGATTTGCAAAGGCTTTGCGGAGCTTATGGGTGGAAATATCGGCTTCCGCCCAAATGCTGACCATCGGGGAAGCATCTTTTGGTTTACCGCGAGATTAAAAAAAGTCAAACTCAAGCATATCAGTGTCTCGCAAGGCAATTACGAAGTCACGGCTATCAACTCATCGAACTCTCCATTAGAGGACATGAAACTAGCAGCCGTTAAGAGAAGAGTCCTACTAGCAGAAGACAATCAGATCAACCAAAAGGTCATGCTCAAAATGCTAGCCGGCCTGGGATTTGATAACATCGATCTCGCCGCTGATGGAAGAGAAGCTGTTAACATGGCGGCAAAGCTTCCGCCCCCTTATGATGTTATCCTGATGGATATCAATATGCCAATTCTTGATGGAGTTGGCGCTACCAGGGAGATCCGAAACGCTGGCGTCTGGACTCCAATCGTTGCAATGACTGCCAATGCACTCAAAGGCCAGGCCGAATTGTATATCGCAAAGGGAATGAATGACTACATCTCAAAGCCCGTGGATCGAAATCTCCTGGTCAAGGCCTTATTGAATTGTTTGAAGCATCATGGACCAGATCAATGGCCGGCGCCTCTTGCGCTTTCCTTGAGCGGAATTGATCTAACAGAGCCATCCACTGCTCTCAACCCCACCGAGTAGACATTAATGACGGCACAAAACGTGCGACCTGTAGTAGGCTCTACCGAGGGTTAATATCTCATTTTAGAGTCTTGAAGCCACAGCCGACCGAATTAACGTGCCACTCTGTAATCCTTCCCTCTGGTATTTAGTGATCACGATTTCTCAGAAAGAGGCTTCTAGTTTAAGCATCATTCTTGCGTAAATTTGGAGAGCGGGCGTTTTGGCAAGGACATTTTGGAAAGGGATGATACCAGGATACACAAATACCCCCGGTCGTGTTTAGTTCGACTCTTTTATTAGACGTAGAGTTTAACATATTGAATCGTTAGAAAGGAAGGGTGGTTACTATCACTTAGCTGGACTCTAGGCCTTTAAATCCAAAGATGCTAATTGCTGTTTGAGGCAGTTTTTGGTTTGTTCGGGTTAGTCTTGGCCAAGGGTGGATGAATTATATGTTGTTGCTTTCCCTGCCCCCAATTCGCCTGTCATGAATTGGTATCTTCTGTAATGGTTTGCTTAACTACTGAGGGGACGACAGACCCAGATTCTGGTTGCTTGCAAGAAAAGCCACGGCTAAGCGATGGGTGTGAACCTCTTCAGGCCATCTCCGCTCGAAAAGCTTATTTCTATTTCTCTCTCTCCTTCTATCCACTGATTTCCGACTCCACAACAGCCCCCTTGGCCTACTTCGCAATGGTAATACTAGAATCTCTAGCTGGAGTAGATCCTCCTCGCCGCCACAAGCTTCAATGGAGGGCTAGACATCGACCTCTCGCAGCCAGATAGAATTCCGTACCAACAAAAAGGCAGGCGGCTCGTTCAAGTCTGCGCACGTGCATACTCAGACGATGAAGGCTTTACATTGTTGTCGGTATTCGAGATCATAAAGGGTTGACAAGAGAAACATTAAGAACTATCAAGCATGATCGAGATGCTTTCTCGGCAATAGTAGCCACTCACCGGCGGCTTCGCCCTTGGTATACTAGAATCCTCTCTCTGAAGACACTGTCCGGGTGCTGGGCATATAATGGCATCGGCAAACCAGAAAAGTGGTGCAGCGACTCGATATCTCCGAAGTTAATATATGAAAAGCAAGTTGTCTAACTCTCGAACAGGCATTTGTACACAATTATCAGGAGCAATCAGCAGAGCCATTAACGGGATCCGTATGCCTTAAGAGAGAATTGCAAATCTAGAGCATGTAGGTGAGGATGACGACATTTCACGTATGATGAACTTGTTTCCCTTCACTGGCCTTCCCCGTTGTTTTAACGAATGTCTTTGGATATCCGGCGAAAAGTATGCGAGTGCTGATAAGCTTACAAAGCTTACACTTCAAAATCTTCAATATCACGACATCGAGACTCTCTTGGTGACCTCTCAGCACAATTCTGCGGAGCTGAACTCAAAATGTACGTACTGTATGGCCATTTCTATAAATTCCCCTTGTATGCTTTTCTCGTTAGTCTTCGTTTTCTTGCCACTTGGTTGCAAGGCGACGCACGCAGAGAGTATCGAAATCACAATGAAGTTCTTCCGCATAAATCATGCCCGGAATGTCCTACCTATTGTTCCTGCCGTTTCAGGAGTTGCCTTCTGGCGTACAGTCTCGAAATATTTCTCTAAGATCTCACCGGTGTGGAACCTCGTTAACTACAAGCGCTTGTTAGAGAAGCTCTCAACTCGCCGTCAATTCATGGAAGTGGTATTCAATGAAGACCTTGAGGGGCATTCTCGTGGTGAGATCTTCTCACATTATTAGCCTCATAAATACACCCTACATAGTTGCAGTATTACCGAAAGCCATCGCTAGTATAACTCCCATCCATGACCATCTATTCGTTCTACAGCGGAACAAGGCCGATAAGAATCAAGCATTCGCCAGCCTGAAGTTGCAGAGATGCTGAAAGTGTCTCTGGATTCTGTAATATTAATCTGCGGACGGTCATGTATGAACAAATTGACGGGAACAAGCTGTTCTCAAAGCGGTACTCGCAGGAGAAGATCGCAGACTTGATTAAAAGGAGCATTCATTTAATACCTAGTAACAATTCTCGACAGAGCCTGACGGGAATGGATCGTAGCAGTTGATCAAACTAGAGCAACTTGTGACGGGCCCTCTGGGGAGGGGTGTTTCTGTGACCTGGATGAGGACGAAGCTCAATATGTAATAGCTTTCAAAACCTCACCTCTTTCAATACTGATCTGCATTCCTGTCTCACAAAGAACCCTTCCTTTCCATCTCTTGACTTTGCGCCTACTTACTCGTCGTACTACTCATCTTTATACCCCCATCAATCTCCACAACAGCGCCATTCATATACCTACTTGCTTCCCCGAACAAAAAAGCCACCACATCCGCTACCTCTTCCGGAGTTCCCAACCGCCCCAATGCATTCCCATTCTTCATCCTCTCCACCGCCTCCCCACCCTTGACAATTCCCGCATTTGTCGGCGTATCAATATACCCCGGTGCCACAATATTCGTCCTAATCCCCTTAGGCCCCAACTCCAGCGCCATACATTTCGAAAAACCAATTACCGCGAATTTGGTGGCACAATAAATCGCCTGTTGCGCCGACCCACGGATTCCAGAGATAGACGACACATTCACAAAACTTGCACCATCTTTCAAATATGGAATACACGCTTTCGTGACATTATACACGCCCTTTAAATTCGTATTAACGAGTTTATCCCAGTACTCCTCTGTCGTATCCTCCAGCGGATAAGATGTAGGATTGACGCCGGCGCAATTGAACACATGGTCGATTTTGCCGAATTTGTCAATAGTCGAGGATACGAATTTAGAGACTTCTTGCGAGGAGGAGACGTCGACGTCGTCGAGGTGTTTGGGCACTGAAGGACAGGATTTCGAGACGTTTGAGAGGCTGTCGTAGTTTATGTCGCAGAGGGCGAGGGAGGCACCCAGCGAGGCCATTTTGATTGTTGTTGCGCGGCTGGAGAGCCAGAGAGTGTTAGGCTATAAAGGTGTGCAAGTTTGGGGGAGAGGATTACCGCACCCAATTCCGCTGCCAGCGCCGGTTATGAGGACGACTTTGTCTTGGAATTCGAGGGCCATTTGGATGGGATTGATCTTGATATGTGGAATTAAGGGAATTAGGGCTTTTGTAAGGCAATTGAGTTTGTGAAAAATGTTTGCACGTAAAGGGCTTGAAAGGTATAGTTGTACGAAGTGGAGAAGTGGGGTTGAAGTGGGATGTTTCCACGCGAGTCGTGCTATGGTTATTTATCATGATAGCCTGAATCAGTATGCAGCACAGTCGAAGCACGTTGAGTTGAATTTTCTCGACAGCTTTGGAACTTTAGAAGTGAGTATTGGTCTATTATATACATAAGTATTACAAAACTGATGGTTTGTTTATCGGTCGCCATGTCATCGTCTGCCTTCTCATCTGTCAAACAGAAACACCATGCAATACCTCAGCCAGTCCAAGGCACTTATCCAGCTGGTAGAAGCTTCCTGATCTTGGCCACCAAGTCATCCACCTTGAAAGGTTTACTTATGATTGCATCCATCCCAGCATCCATCATTGACTTCATCTGTCCCTCCCGTACGTTCGCTGACACTCCGAGTATCAGACTTCTTCCCGCATTGGCCTTTTCCTGGAGCTCTCGAATCTCAATGGTAGCTGTATTACCGTCTTTAATTGGCATCTCTTGGTCCATAAGTATGCAGTCAAAGTAATTGTGAGCCGTTTCTTTGTCCGAGACAGCCTTCCCTCTCGTTTCAACGGCATTGATGGCTTCCTGTCCGTTGTTCGCAACGAAAACCTCGAATCCGCGGAATTGCAGTTGACGCCGCAAGACTTTTTGATTTATGAGGTTGTCCTCGACAAGGAGAAGAACAGGGTGGCTATCGGATGAGTGATTGTTCTGAATCCTTCCAATGATTTCTGCGCCCCGTGCTTGTCGCTTTGTTTCTCCCTCCTCGAGATCTGGAAGCTTGTTCTCGATCGCGCTTGTAGTTGACGAACCTTTCGTTTTGATATTCTCCGCGATAGGCTGGTTCTCGCGATATCGCTCAGCTTCGCTTGCTTGTGGATGGGCTTCTCCCCGATATTCTGTCGGTGGGTCTTTCAGAGAATTATCTACTTCATCTGTGTCAATACCACGGTGGCTTGACAGAGTTGCCATGTTCCTGAGCTTCGGTCGTTCATTCGGACTCTCCTTGATCCCCACCAAAACAGAATTTGAGCGACTATAAGACGGTCTTGGTGATTGCATGGGCATGTTTGAGGCTTCCGAGCTGGTCCTGCTGCCGAATGGTGGCCTTCCACTTTCTCTTGTTCCATTGGAGCGGCGGACCTTGAAGAAGAAACCAAATGTAGAGCCTTCACCCTCTTTGGAGCTCACTCCGATGTCTCCACCATGTAATTGACATACTAATAGACCACTGTCAGTCACTTTATGTAGTTAAACAGAACTGATACTCACATTTGCGCGATATGAATAGACCTAGTCCAGATCCACCATATTTCTCCTGAGTCTTGGGCGTAGCTTGTCTGGAATTGAGAATATTAGCCTGTATCTAAAGATCACCCTGGCGGTTGGTGTATACCTAAACCGTTCGAACAGTTTCGCCTGACCCTCGGCACTTATGCCAATGCCCGTGTCTTTCACAGCTATCATGAGATAAAACGTCGGTCCATATCCCCATTCAGCTGTCATTGTTGAGTCTATACGAAAGACATTCTCATCTTCGCTGAAGAATATAACATTGGGGGGGTAAGATGATGGTCGCTCTATCGATGCTCCCATGGAAACTGTGATGTTCCGCTCACCGTCCTTCTTTGCCGTGAACTTTATTGCATTTGTGATCAAATTTACGAGAACTAGGTGATGTTAACAAAAAATCAAAAATCAAGTAAGGATATGAATCTACCTTGCTGCATTCTGTTCAGGTCGGCAACGACATGGTCGACTTTATACCCATCATAGGACACGTCCATGGCATAATGAAACTTGATATTCTTTGCCTTGAATTCGGAATGGAACACCTTGAGCGCCTTGGAGAAATCCCACTTAGGACGAATTTCTAAGGAAGAGTTAGACTGCTGCCTGTAAAGCTGGAAATTACAGTTGGAGGATAAGGAACTTGCCTCTTGGCACCAGAGTGAGCATCATAGAGTCAAGCTTCGAGAAAGATAGTATGTCATCAACTAGAACATTTTGGTGTGAGACACAGAGAAGTATCGTATCCGCAGCGTCCAGAATATCCGCGACTTTGTCGGAGACATCGTCACGATTGGCCCTAATATCTCTTGCTATATCTTTAACCTCTTCAGCTAGATGTAATACGGCACTAAGGGGATTTCGAATTTCGTGGGACACCATGTCGATGAAGCGTTCCTGCTGTTCTTTTCGTTCTTGGGCTTCGATAGCAGTCCTCTCCTGGGTAATTTGAGCACGTTTGATTTCCGTAATGTCCACCACTGCGCAGATAAAGCCGGCTTCGGGATCCTCATTCAATGGTTTTAGCAGGAAGAGCCTCCACTCCTCATCATCAATCGAAGAGTTGCCAGTACATCTAAACTCGACCCTCAATTCTTGGCGGGAGGAAAAAGCTCTACGATACGCATCCATGACCCACTCATAATCTCTTGGGTCAATGCTTTCTGGCCAAGCGCGGAACTCTTTCGAAGATCGATTCGTCGTGAGCTTAAAGAAACCATCGTTCACGAAGACAGCCTCGGCGCCGCTGTCGAGAATTGCCAGCCCGTTTGGCACTAGCTCTGCAAACAATGAAAACAGCTTTGTCTGTTTGGAATCGGCTTGTGGTTCCCCATGTGTCTGCTGGGCGCCCTCTTGCTTCGTTTGCCGCGCAGGATGCTCACGATGCATCTTATCTAACCCAGCCATTGGCAGATATCTCTCCACAGTTGGCGAGTGCAATATCTGTGCATATGCTCCCTGGCGGACGCCATTGTCATCTAGTATTGTGCTCAACAGAATTACTGAGTCCGCCCCACACTCTGGGGTGTCCCTGAGGAAGAACTTGCACGCTGGAAGAGCATTAGATTAATCTGGAGAAGATTAGGATAGAGCAAGTAAGCTTACCTACCTTGACCGTGCGGCCACGGACTGCAGCATTGAGGGCACTGAGGGCCTCTCCAGAGTAGCTATCGTGCGCTCGCGCTCCTTGGCCACCAAAGTTTCGGGTGACTTTGCCCCAAGCTAGATTATGTATGATTGCGAGATCATTCCCCCAGAATATGGCGGTGCAGTGAGGGATGGGGAGGATACATGAAAACACGAGACTTCTGAGGGCTAATGGCCATGAGTCCCGCGGTCCAAGTGGTGTTTGGGACCAATCAGTACGCTCAAGGTACTCTAGATTGAGGTCAAAGATAGGTAGACCAGCGGCCGTGAGTTTGTCGAGATTCTCCATGGCTCTGTGAAAGAGCGCTGGTCGCACATTGCTTGCTGAAGAAGTTGTTGAAAGCTACTATTTTGGCGAGTATGGGAGAAAGACTGACGTCATATGCCATAGACGTTGACAACTCATCCCTGCTCCCTCCCTGCATGAGCCGCTACGAGTACATATCTAGGCCATGGCCCTGGCCGCTTGGCCCTCGAGGATGGTCGTCGCACGCCACTTAAAGGCACCATTTGGCGCTCGGATGGCAATATCACGAGGCCCTGGAAGGCCGTTTTCTTAGGCTGCACCCTTTCGGAGGATCTCCGTTACCCTTGTCGCGGGCGTGAATGGGTCCCGGACGTAACCGGCGATATCTATGGATTGGTGGGGCTTGCTCCGACCACTAGTCTCCTCCCTCAGCTTCAACAACTCACCCCTTCCCACTCTTCAAGGTCACACCAGGTCCATCCCCAAATTCATCATGTCGCCTCTCTTGACGGCGCCCAGCAGGCTTTTGGAGCTGACACCCGAGCTCCTGGAGCTTGTTCTGTCGTTCCTCAACCCTTGCGACCTCACCCGTTTCGGGCAGACCTGTCGTTCGGCAAACGCCTTCATCCATCCTGGGAATCAAGTCCTCTGGAAATCCGCATTTCTTCATGTCTTCGACAATCCAAAAGGAGCCTGGGAACTCCTTCAGCCCACTGCTCGAGCTGCGAATCGCACTCGCGAGTCTGAGTGGGATTGGTTCCACGAAGTCCACCGGAGGTGCACCGCTCTCAACGCAGTCTGTGATGGTGACGCCGTCGCTTTGTCAAATCCTGAAGACATAATCACCACATTTCTGGACATCCTTGAATCGGCCTCTTATTCCAACGTAATTGGTTCGAAGGCCCGGATTTCCCTCAATGTTGACTTCCTGGAAAATCTCTTCCGAATTGCCCCTCGCCCCGAGAGAATAGTCCACGATTATCATAGAGATATTGATTCACAATCTCTGCCTCTTGAATTCATGACTGACTCGAATCGTCCACTCACTCGATCAATGCTGGGGCGGAGATCTCTTGTTCCTGATTGGGCAAGTCGCTTTCACGTAAGCTTCACCCTGTTCCATTCACAGGTGTTGTCAATCAGAAGCCTCCACGTTAACCTCTGAATTAGATTTTCTATGGGTCCACAAAAAGGGAGGATGACTCAACTCGGGCGAAATCGTCGGCAAGGGCTCTAGTGTACGATTGGTCGATTACAGGCGCAGATGCTGATTACGGCCCCTTCAAAAATGACAAAAGCGGCGCAGTTAATTGGCAGGTCCTGGAGGCAATCACATCACTTATGCTCCGCATCTTCGACACTACATGCCCTGCCGGTCTGCAGACCCCACACGGATTCAGGCACAGCATCCCTTTCTCCCTGCCTTCGGATCCCTTTGTTAAGGATGACTGGGCGGGTGTTACTGGCACTTTTGTGGGAACTTATGCTTTTCTTGACTACAGAGCCTTGGTTCACTATAATTTTGCAAATCATCTCGAGTACCCCATGGACTTGGGGCAATATGAGGAAGCTTGTGGCGACATCATGCGACTGAAACTAAAGCTCAGCAATGCTGAGGACTTACGGAACGACAATAGGCTCCAAACAAAAATGCCATATTGCGCAGACCTGCCTACAATCTATTTCACTGGATCTTCCAATGGCCGCCCAATCGGGCGGCCGTCAATCCTTGTTAGAGGATCTGCCTCTCTAGTTCCTGGTGGACGGCAGGTACGCTGGAGGTTCATCATCAGGTGAATACACTCTGCGTACTCTGCATGCCAAAACACTAACAAGTCTTAGTTACGCTGGTCAAGACCAATGGCAACTGGAGGGTGTGCAACCAGGCGGAATTCGTTCGGGTGGTATATACGGTCTTTGGAGCCATGTTGAGCATGAGGAACATGGCCCCGTGGGACCATTTTGTTACTTTCCCTATGATGTCTGCGCCCCTGCTCAAAAGTAAGGCGACTTCAAATTGATGCAGCTTTACTACATATATATGTAGAGAGCGTCACTCGCCTTCGATTATTGCTCCGAGCGTATTCACATCACAAGCCCTCATCAGTAATCCCGCACAAGTATTACTTGCCATTTCAAGGCTTTCCTTTTTCTCCTCAATATTCCTCCATTTTTCCACAATATGTACGGCAAGGGAATTCCGCAAAGAATGGCCACCACCCCAGCCAACAAGTATTGCTTCAACCGCAGCCGAGTACTGAAAACAGTCCTGGTGTGAAATCAGGAACACAAAAGCGAGTGCATTCCGGAGCAGCATACCGACTCGAAATATGTCCACATCCAAATACAGCGATACCGATGTCTGGAATGGCCCAATGAGCCTTCGTTTCTGCTGCTTAACAATACCATAATATACTAATAGGAATAAGAAGTGCGCCCGGAATCGTAAGCGGCACGCGGTGCTCCGGTACAGTTTGGCCTTCATTCCTCTCCTTTCGTCGCGCCCAAACACGATCCATGCCGCCTACATGGGCGGCGATTGTGTACCCCAATTACCATGGTGAGATGATGAAGGCAACTTATGGAGGAAGATTGCGTTACCGACCAGTCCACAAGCTTGAGAAGATAGAGAGGGCAATGTATAGAAGTCCAATATCGCGGGCCAAGAAGAGCGATGCCAATTCAATCATCGGCTGAGTCGACAACAATCGGTAGGGTCGGGTTAATACGACTTTGGATTTATCGACCAACGTTGAGGATAAAGGGTCAGCTTTAGTGTAGTAGATGCCTTCAGTTAAATTTCGCAATGCGGCCGCTGTCCTAGACAAAATCGTTTGTGCATTGGATTCAGGGAGAAAAACAATAAGCAAGAGCACAACGATGAGGTCGACGATAGAAAATATCCAAAAAAGCCATCTCAAACTCAATTCTTGAACAGTCACACCGCCTACAATAAGACCTAAATTAGGTCCTAGAAGAGGCAAAAATCCTCTGTCGGCATACGATTTTCCTCTTTCCTCTTTATTCCAGCAGCCCATCACACTGGGGCTAGACACCTGTTTAAGATTAACAAGACACTGCTTCTAGGAGTGTGGCTCCGCCTTGTCTTACTTCAAACTTAGTACTTGCAACGAGGACCACCATCAGCCTTTGAGTGATCGTCAATCAATTGCTCCGAGCAGAGCAACACAGCGTGTTCTAGAGGATGACAACATATCACCTATGATCCATGCTAGCCTTCAACCGGAAACCTCGGAGCACGGAACAGGGACGATTGACCCAGAAGCAAAAGCAAAGAGAAATATTGACAGCGTCATTAAAACTTCCGGAACGGAGATTTTTAAGCCTTCCCCAATGCCATCTAAGGCTGGGGCAAGCATTGGGCCGGACAGCAGCGTCATATATCTACCTAGGCCTGCAAAAGGGGTTACAACCATTTGCACCTTCGACTTAAGTTGTGGGTATTCGAAGGATCGGACGGCCCGTACCAAGTAACCTTCGCAGCAGGTGTCAGCTTGCTTTTCCGTTTTACACAGATAGTTCAGATAGTTCAGACCAGGATGTCTTACGAGTAGCACATCCACTGACTACGTCGATGATTGTTGTGCATATAGACCTTTTCTAACCGCGGCAGATTGTCTCCTTCTAAAGGTGTGGGAGTCCCTGAAACCTCCATTCAATTCCTAACCGAACTTCATGGGCAAGGCTGGACCTCATTCTGTACTTATGATGGGCCACGCTTCTACAATTCGCCGAGCTTCCTGAACCTTTGAAAGGCCTTCGGCGCTATGAAAAAACATCTCCGACTACTCCGAGCTGTCTGAGTTCGGCCTTCCTATCATGACCTAGCGTCCTAAAGATTATTCGGATATATGGGAATGCAGCCCCCAGACTTGTCCGACAGTACTGCAAACTACGAAATCTCTCGGACCTACGCTCTATTTTAATTATTACCTCTGAATTCTCTGCGACGCCACGGTGTTAGCAAAGTGCACCGTTCGTTCGAGGTTGGTACTTAATGGATATTCCAAACGCCTCGGAGATAAAGGCACGAAAACGGAAACGAAGAGCTGTGCTCTCTTGCAACGATTGTCGGCGTCGCAAACTTAAGTGTGACCGAGAACTCCCGTGCAATAGATGCATTAATGGCGGGATTTCCAACGCTTGTGCCTACGGGCGTTCAGAACAAGAAACCAGGTGGTTCATAGAGGACGCAGAAGCCGTAAAATCTGGGCATGGGCTTGATCAGACTCAATTGAATCAGGATGAGCGTCCTGCCGGAGGATACAACTCTGCAATCAGCCCTGATGATGCAACATTGAATGAAGGGAAGCAATACTTGTCCCAAAACGAGAAGTGGGATGGCGCCGAGCTGCTAGAGCGACGTATTGCGTCTCTAGAAGCACAATTATCATCGCTCTCTAATACCCATGCCCTTCGAATACCATCAGCAACCAACCAGCCACTTCCTATACCAGGTTCCGAGGAAAATGTCGCTTTGCCGGGTCTGTTCAAAGGGCGCGGCTATTGCACCTTCGCATATGGTCCAACAAGTCCTACGACCATTGTCTTCAATGTTCGTGCAGTTTAATTCACTGTAGCAGATCCAAGCTAATAGATGTAGTTTCCTCAATTAAGCCCGTTCATGAAGAGCGTATACCCAAATTCTACCCTAGCTCGGCTGCGAGGGGACATGCAAGCGTTAGAGGAGCGAGCTCGGTTGAGCAATGTCGCTCCCAGAGTACTTACTGTTCCATACCTTCGCAGCCTTTTGCCAGACCGTACAACTGTTGAACTATTGACCAAGCGGTATTTCGATACGTTTGAAACGACTTACCGAATTATTCACATCCCAACATTCTGGGCTGACTTCCAGACGTTTTGGGATTCGCCTCCAGGGTCGGACTCGGATATGGAAGCTGTTCTGCTTGCAGTTTTAGCATGTGTTCTTTGTACTTCCACGCATGAAAGCACGAAGTACAACCCCAGTGGCTCCAACTTTCGCAGCAAAGCGATAATATGGATCAAGGCTTGCGAGGCATGGTTGAAGCGGCAAAGCAACAAACATAGAACCCTAGCCACGCTCCAAGTCCGATGCCTGCGACTACTAGCAATTAAAACAACATGCCTAAAGACGAAGGAATTCTACCAAGAAGTCCAGGCACACATGGGATTTATGAAAGCGATCGGATTCCACAGGGACCCCTCAGTTCTGGGGAATAAGTGCTCCGTGTTCGAAGGGGAGATGCGGCGCAGACTCTGGGCTACGACTTTGGAGCTAGAGATACAAGCTTCGATAGACAGAGGTATAGGAGACCCTTTTACGTATTCTCTATTCACTCTCATGTAGTCTCAACATCACTGATTGAATTTCTTAGGCACACCTTCAATCCTTTCGAGCCTCGATTATGACTGCACCCCACCAACTAATATAAACGACTCTGATATTCATAAGGACATTGTACAGATACCCGAGTCACTACCTATGGCTGTCTTTACTGATACGTCCTTCCTGCATTGCTTAACTCAAACTGCTGCTCTCAGGATAAAACTTTGCAAATTGACAAACAGCTTGCGCTGCAGTCTCGACTTCCCAGATATCCTTCAATACGAGCAGGCTGTTCAAGATGCCCTTGAAAAACTCCCGAAATGGTCTGATCCTAGATCGCTACAAGCCTGGACGCACTTGGACCTTCACTTGCGACAATTCCTCGTCATCTTGCATACCCCGAGAGTTCTACAAACCCCACTTCGAGCAAGGACTACCTTCCGACTTTCACTATTGACTGCGCTTGAATCATCTGTGACCCTAATTGAGCGGCACACTAACTTGGTGGATTCAGGAAATTTTGCTCTTTGCTGTATCAGATCTGACTACTATCGCGCCGCACTTTTGCTCTGTCACATTGCCTATCATGCCTGCGGAACCCAAAGTCAGTGCATCACACATCTTCTTAATCAGCTACTAATTATACCTAGATGAATTTCTCTTGCGTATCGTCAAGTTAGTCTTTGAAGATGCCATAGAGAAAGCCTTGCGTCTTCAAGAGGAGAGTTCCATGCGGCCTGGTCGAGGGAGCCATCAGTACTGGTACCTCAGCGCAGCAGCCAGTCTTGTTCAAACCAGGTTCGAGCCTGAGCATGAAGCTGTTCTCCGAATGCAGGTCACAGACCGGATTTCAAAGCTGTTCTACAAGATTCTCTCCCTGCAGGAGGATCATGGTGACGAATACTTGGCGAATGAGGTCAGCTCTCCCATGTGACCATTTGTCTAGACTCAAGAATGCGTTATAACCGAGTTTCAGGTAATTCTCAGCAATGGTTACCCAGCTCCGCAAGGTGAAGCTCCCGAAACTTCTACCTTTTCGTCAGATACTTTTACGAGTGGCAGACTGGATTCGTTTGAATTCCCTGACACATCTGAGTGGCTGTTGGATGATTTTTGGTCTCTCAATGACTTCCCGCTCCTTCCGTTCGGCAATTAAATCTAACTAGCGGCTTTTGTGTGCATATTTTGTTGGAATATTAGGTGCACATGAATTTGATCTCTCTGTCAAATCAGTTCCCTCGAGCCCCAACTCTCAGATCGCTTATGAAGAATGCGCATCTTTATGTGGCCATAGAAGATGGAAATGTGTATCCATGGCCCACAACTTCGGTTTTGATCACGATTTAGGTGCTTCCGATGCTTAGTAGGCTTCTCCAGGAGCTTTTCGAGAGTAATGGTTTCCAGAAACTGTCAAAGCAATCAACAGGTGAATTTGAAGTCCAATCTCATGCTTTTATTTCATCCTTTAGGATATCAGAGTCCCTCGGTAATGTGTGCGCTTTTCGATATGTTCAACATCGCTTCCAATCGCAAGATCTAACCAAAGTAGTTGACATGAATTCTCCGTACGAGGAGGCAATAATGGACGAGAAAGCAATCTTGCCAACATTCGGGACTCATTCTACATTTTTATGAACCCCAACTCTTACAAAACGAAACCCGTCATTTCCATGATGAAGCAGGCTGAGAGCATGTTGAGGATAGCTTTATCCAGCAAAGATTAGAAGTTACTAGCCACGAAGACACAGCCAGATGCGCCTCAAGCTTTCACAGGATCTCTAGCACAACAGGCATTAAGAAGTTGTCCCAGTCCTTGCAAAACTTTTATCAAATTAGAGTCCTAGAAAACCCCCTAAAGACTCACTACAGGCTTATTGCTCGTTAGAGCCCTAAGCTTCTTAAAAGGGTAATATAATCTGTACTACGTAACATACCTAGGGTATCATTAAGCTTACGGTGCGGCCCACAAACTGTACACGTTCGTACTGAACACGTGACCGTTACGGCTCACTTTGTACGGACCTCAGTAAGCCCTGTTGGAAGCCCTGGGGCTTCTTCCATCCTTCCTTTTGCCTACCACGGAACTCGGATGCTGCACTGGACGCTCCCTCGTCTTAGCTGTCATCGCTCTTGCAACTGCTATCTTTGGAAATTCTAGTTTGGTGGTTCACACCTCCACTACGGAGGCAGGATGAATTCCACTTTCATGTGCAGTTATTCACACAACGGATGACTGAGTGAAAACCCCGGGACCCGAAGCGCATCTCATTCCCGTGTCCTTCTTATTCTAAAGCCATGCTTGCGGGGAGTCATTTATTTCTGGAGGATGCGATTCTGTGGTTGTCTGGTTCTAAATTTGATTGATACTGATGAGAAACAAAGCAGCAAAGGTGACAGTAACTAAATGTACAATATGGCATCACTTTGAGACCCTGAATAACCCGACAAAAGAAGGTGACTGCATCAAGGACTCCTTAAACCTGTCGAGTTTGCGAATATTCAATAGTTGTGTTGTTTAGACAGTTGGAGCCGTCAACAACTGCGCTTGAATGGCAAGTATTGAGGGACCAGGTAGCGGCTCCCTGGACTTTACAAATACAGCAAAGCTGATACCTCATATTTAGCGAAATATTGGGTGTTGGGGACAACGATCACATGCATGGTTGTGAGTTTAGGTAACGTACGTTATACTGTATATATATCTTGAGATCAGTCGCTTCTCACAAGACACCCAGTTACCCTCATCTGAGTGATGGTCCAGTGACTACTTCAATACCATCTTAGCACTGAAACTACCGCGATCTAGCTATCGGCCTCAAGCGCGACCACCACTTCGCCACTTCATCCATTGTATCCATTATCCCTGAGACCTTCTCGTCATATTGATCAACAACTCAGTGAGCCTTTCTAAGATTTGCAGAATGAGTGAAAGGAAGCTACGCATCTGGGCGGAAGAGACTCGAATTAAACCTCGGGCAGGGCAAGCTAAAGTGCGTCTTATGAGGGTCATATAGTATCGCCCGTTTTGAGCTCGGGGTTTGATTTGTAGTTGAGATCTCCGAAGACGAGGGAAGAGAAAGCAGATGGGAACTGTAATAAGTGAACGCCAGATACATCTAGTAAGTATAGAGAAGGGAGGGAAGGCATAGATCGCGCTCTTTTGGCTGGTGGATTAGCATGAGAAGGTCGATTACTAATGGTTCGGCGAGCTGTATAGAAGAACTACCCGTGGTAGCCTTAGGCCAACTCATCGTGCCTAAGATGAAGAGCAAGGTAAAAAAGACGCCTCGGGTTGAAGAAGGTCAACGCTTTTAGATGGTACATTGGCGACTGTAGCGTGAGCGTTAGATACTTGCTTCGTACAGCGATCCTCATTACTAGTTGCTACTTCCGAGAGGATGGTGTGCAGACTAAATCTAATTAAATACTACACCTGTGGCCAGAAAGCTTCCTCCGCATCCAACAATTCCTTCCAAACCTTCTCCACCCTTTCACAAACCTCGCTCTTCAAGTCCTCATTCCCTCCAACCGCGTCACCAACCGCATCATTCAGAATGCCCTCTAAAGTATCCACAAAAGCAATAAACTCTTCGTTCGTCCAGTTAGGAATAAATTCCTTCCTCATCGCGCCACCATCCTCATCCCCGTCAACGGCCTTCCGAACTCCTTGTCCAGCCTCCTGCCTCTTCGCCCAACTCCACGCCTCAAAATACACTTTTTCGGTAGCCCAAAACACCACTGCACCCTCTAACCATGGTAGGAAATCTGCCGGTTTTGCGTTGGTGGTAAGACTCCCAAATAGTTTCTCAAATCTCTTCAACCCCTCAATCTTCCCACCTCCAGCGATCTTCGTCCCATTTCCGACAAGATCGAGGTCTAGTCCATACCTCTCAGCAACATCAATAAAAAACCGCTCTTCGCGCCGGATATTGACGAGTGCGTCGACAAGCCAATCCAATAATCGTACTTCAACGGTGTCCTTGGTGTTGCTTGGCGAGGATTTTTCGGGTAGGGAGAGGAGCAGCATTAGTTGGCCGGTTAGTCGGATGTAGCCTTGCATGTATAGACGGTCATTTGCGAGCCAATGCGAGATCGTGGGTTTGGGGAGCTGGCCGGCGGCGGCGAGGCGTAGGAAAGGAGACTGGGTTACGCGGGTGAACTGGGGTATGTGGAGGGTGAGGAGGTGGGTTGTTAGAGACCAGGGTGAGGTTGAGGATGCCATGAGGGATGGAAGAGGAGGGGAAGCTGTGGAGATGGTTGCGAAATTCATCCGTAGATGGTGTTGATTTTAGACCTGATAGTAGCCTCGTTGGCCCCACATTGTCGGTCACATGAGAGCGTGTTTTCAGCTCGCGTCTTGCGCAACAAGAACGCTGAACTTACGTTGAAGGACTTGGGGCTGAAGAGGAGAAACTATCCTTATGACTGCTCTAACTCTATTTCTAGGAGAGTGGTAGACTTGCATTTTATTATCTTTACCCTCAAGTCAGCGCTGTAGCATGTCGCGATGCTTGACGTCATTCCTCCCATTTGCGAAAGAGTGGTGTTTACAAACGTGCCCATACCAAAATAAAAAGTCGAAGGCACACCATCATGGCCAGGGTAGGATGCAGAGGTAAGGATAGAGAAGAAAGATATCAAGAATACGAGAAGCTCTCGAAAAGATTCATTGGTTGCTAGAAGTGTCTTGCCAGCCACACAAGTCAATGCAATTGGAATTAGTTCCTTCCTCGACCAGTCAGACAAGCCAACTGTATCAATGAAAAATATATTCGCGACAGCTGGCGGTAGTGCTAAATACATGTCAATTGAGGTTGTTGCAGCATGAAAGACTGGACTCACCTGGGGCCAGCGTCACTGTGTCCGCAACTATGAGCAAGCTCAGTGAGAGGAGGAAATTTACAAAAATAGGAATAATCTTGAATGCGGCCGTAGCCACGTTTCAGAGATTAAACTGTGCAGGGTTAGCAAAGAGAACAGCCCGAAGAGAAGGATTTACAAGCCTGAAAAGAACAGATACTACACTACCCGAAAAAGTTAGTGTTGGAAAGAGAGTTGACGAAGATTGTTGGAGACAACATACCTTGATCTAAGCCAAAAGGCAAAGGAAGCTGAGGAAAAGAAGAAGAGGTTTGGCGGGGGAGATAGCGGGTTTATATAGGGGTGTGGCGACGCCCGGGCCATGGCACACGTGACTCGGTGCTAGGCTCCAGGGGGTTCTGTGGAAGGAGATAGATGGTGGGGGAAGGTTCTGGTGGGTAGGAACGGCAGCTGGCGGTAATGGAGGTGAAGGAGGTGAAGGAGCGGCCAAAGAGGGCAGTATCGCAGCGGGCAAACGAGCCGAGGAGCAAAGGACACCACGAAGATGAGATAGAGGATAATTGGATTAGAATGAAGATTAATTGTAGCGCGTTTATGTACTAAATGCGGAGGCTCGAACTCTACTGTGAGCCGATTCAAATCTAATAGCTACTAGCTACACTCACAACATTCAACGAAGAACGAGCAACTATGCGTGAGGTCAAACAAACGAATTCGTTTGAGGAAACAGATTTAATATGGAGGTGAATCCCCTAGATTACTTAACTCCCGTCTTGAGGTGACCTTCTTGTGTGCTCCTCGTGTTTGAGGCCTCCCTGTCTTCGATACCTAGTAATAGTCCTCTCTTCGCCATTTTTAACACTTTGGCAACCCAGTTTCCAATGGTAGGCAGCTGTGAAAGCTTCCTCCGACCGCGAAGTATAGATGTTGAAACTGCGGATGCTTCTTGATGAGTTAGCCTTGAGGAGGCGTGATGGCATTCCAATATAGCCGTCAACATCGTACATCCCTCTTAATATAGGTGAGTATTGTCTTCCTAACGATTGCCTGCAAGGTTCCTTGCTTTAGCTTCTCGGGTACAACCGTCTGACTACGATCAGGAGGGACGGAGTTCTGATGGTCGAGGCTGGGGTCACGGTGTTTGTGAACAATCTCGCATTCGTGAACCTCAGGAGCTAATTGCTTCTCTGTGGAAGGAGAATCCCTCCTCTGTCTCCGCAGATGACGGCAGGCATATCTTTTATCTTTTTATACTCGGGGTCACTCGGTCTATAATGAACCACGCAGACACCGGCAGCTGTATCCTGCTTCTCAATCCTATCCTCTTCTGGAGTTCTCAACTCATCTTCAAGAGGTGACAATAGCTGGCTCGTCCAAGCTCCAGTAACCAGAAGGACCTTCTCAGCTTCAAATACCTGCCCATCTTTGGTTTGGACCTCTTGAATCTGATTCCCCTCTCTCAACAACCGGTATACACCCCCATCCGCATACCTCACCCTCCTCTTCACAGCCAGCTCCATCATCTCCTTCACGGCATCCCCAGCGTCTGCCCACCCGCATCGGGATTCTCATATTTCTCCACCATTCCTTCTAACTCATTATCCCTTAGTAGCCTATTCCGCTTCTCTCCTAAGCCCTCCCAAGCCTTAATGTCCCTCGTCATATCACTCCCTCTCCCCCTAAAATTGTGCCCCTTTCCGCAAGATCACTCTCTTCGTTACTGAGCATGATCCAGTTGCTCGGGTGGAAAAATAGTCGACCCTCTGCATCCTACAGCTCAGGCCATGCCTTCCACGCTTCAAACACTTCATACGCTTCGTACGCAAGGTCCATGCAGAACCGCGATGTGTAAGCCGCGCGCACGATCTTGTTGATATCGGTGGAAGCAGCATAGTAAGGAGGTTAAGCAGAACGGTCAAGGACGCTTAATTTAGAGGGGTCGAGGTGCGAGAGTGAGGCATGGTAGGTGGTAGTTGTGAAATATGCTAGCACCGATTATGAGGATGCTTGGAGCGGCGGTGGGGGAGTCGGCCAATGGTGGCGACGGTGGTTCCAGCTGGCGCCAATTAGAGATGGGTCGTTAGTTTTGGAAGGCCAAGGATAGTTGGTTAATGAAGTATTGAATTTCTTCGAAATAGAATGAATTCCAGGAGTGAATTAATTGCATCGTGCATCCGTCGATGCTTGGTGGAAATGCATTGTGCGATGGTGTCAACTTTGGAGATCCAACAGCCCGGCTTAGTCATCCATTTCGAGCTCATTTGACTTGAAAATCAATATTTAAACCCAGCCATTTCGTAAACGAAAGGCCATGAACCCTGCCCGAATACACTTCGCCATCGATTGCTTAGACATTGATCCCAGGGCTAATCAACAGCTTACACGTGCCACAATGCATTTGAAGCACCCATCGAGTGCTTCCTGTGAGGCTGAAGCTGAGGGGCTAAGCCTCCTGCGCCTCGAACCACCCACAGTTCTCCTTATATTCACGTTAGAACCGCGGCAGCCTCTTTCTCTCGACCTATCGATCGTGGCTCGATTCCCCCGGCTTCGTCCTTTTCCCTAAATACGGCGACAATCAACAGTTTCAAGTGAGCATTATCAAGATGGAAAGCCCAGCTGGGATCACTTTCATAGATGAACAATCGGAATTGAAGAGACGGGGGTTTCTGAGCTCACTGTTCACCTGGCTTGCGTGGTCACGAAAGACCCTCGAGACTATCAAGAGAGAGAAGTCTCTCAATTATACGCGTGTCGGTGAAGCTCGAGTTAATGCCTCCAATTATCATGTGTACCCAACTGAAAACGCCAAGACCAAGTCTAGAAAGATCAAGACACACCAAGAACCCCGCTCTGTGCCTGGAGAGAGCGATAACCATCAAGTATCCAAAGTCCGTGGTGACCCGTTGCCCTCCTCTTCTTCTCTGATCGACGGAACACATCAGCTTTCGCGACTAGTTGAGTTCGCACTGCAAGACCAGCCTCCCCCAAAGGATGCCCTCTATAGAAGACCCAATAAGTTGACAAAAAGTCCGACTGGACCATCTGTTCAATGGCCAGAGGATAGAGCCGATGCTGCCACATCTTCGGACCCGACTTTAAGTCCAGATATTCGGCTAGTACCATTAGAAGAAAAATATGGCTGGAAATATGGACATCAAGTATACGGGTCATCTGACGAAGAGCCTCTTATAGTGTGTAACATCCTCGGACACGGGTCTTTGGGCATCGTGGAAGAAGTTAAAATCAAAGGAGGCGCCTTGCCCACTTTTGTCCGTAAACGCGTTCAGCTCCCTGTAAATCGGCGTCGAGCAACCCTAAAGGTTATTCAGGAAGAGGCTAAGGCCCTGGAAAGCCTCACACATCCCCACATTGTAACCATGCTCGGATCATACGAGGTTTCCAAACAGAACAGTCGGTATTTCTACTGCCTGCTAATGTCGCCTGTCGGAGACAACGATCTTAAAAACTTTTTGGACACTGCGGGAGAGGGGGAGCCGGTAGAACTTGAGTGGAAAGTCTGGGTTTGGAAATGGTTTGGCTGCCTTGTATCTGCGCTAGCATACATGCACAATGAAGGCATTCGACACCAGGACATCAAACCGTCGAACATCATCCATAGAGGAAGCGACATATTCTTCACGGACTTCAGCTCTTCTTGCCGTTTTGAGGTAGGACGCACCACTTCTACCGAAGATCCATCTCGCTCCTCGCCGATGTACAGCGCTCCAGAAGTCGTGGAAAGATTTTCCGAGACTGGTGCTCTTCGTAAACATGGACGTGGATCGGACATCTTCGCATTGGGTTGTGTATATTGTGACATGCTCTCCGTGCTCTACGGAAGACCAGTCTCGGCTTTCCACCAGTTTCTGCGGGCAGAAGCTGTTGTTTGGGGCCCATCTGGACCCAGTGCTGCGGCTGTAGGGGATATCCTCTACAGCAGAAAAATTGACTTCATACACAAATGGATTACACCATCACCCTTTTTCGATGCAATTATTGCGCCAATGTTAGCAGAGGATAGAGCATTGAGGCCAAGCGCAGCCGAGGTTCGGGAAAAGTTTTTGCTGGAACAATCACGGCCACCAGTTTATTGTAGTTGTATGACCGACCACACAGTCCCCATTTTGGTCCAGGAATTCGATGAGGCAGCGGAACATCCCGTCATTGAACCTACTGAGAGGAATTGAATACTTTCGTGGCGGAGCTGAAAATAAACCCCCAGATCGTGCCCGATATTCCCGTACAGTAGCGACTACACAAAGTTATATGATATGTTCTGCTACGGCAAGTATCATATAACGCACAACATGACCAGGGTTGACTCTATCTATTAAAACTCTTGCTATAATCGGGGAAAACATCAGCACGATGTAAATTTCTCTCCTATATTAACCCTAGCCTGTTCTATATTAGGCGATAAGATGCAGCGTATGTTCGTGACAGAGCCTCAGCTGATTATCTTGGTCTAGGGAATATCCTGCAAACGAAGTTTTCGTGACTGGTACATTTAATGATTAGACATTCTCTGTGTGGCTGCATGACAGAGCGGTGTTTTTAGCAAGATTTTCATGTTACTTCTTAACACGATAACTTTCTACAAGGTCCATTCTCAATCTAGAAATAAAATAAACTGCTCTTTTTACTGACCATTGTAATTCAGTTCGTTATAGATGGGAATTCGAATATAAGCACGGCTCTCTCGAAAGGCTTCAACAGGGCTGGAAATTGCAAAGATAAGGCTAACTCACATGATATACAAGTCTCTCCCCGGGAACGCCTCCATTATTCCCTCCAGAGGGATGGCATAACTTAGACATATTCTGAAGCTATCTCTCCAATTCTCCCCCTCCACTCAAATCCTTTGATGAACCCAACCCCGCCAACGCACGCTAGTGCTACGAAAACATCTGGTCCGCCGCGAAGAATTATAGATCGCCGAGGGGACATGTGGAGGTGTCCCGCTCATGATTAATCATGCACCGTGGAGAGGTACCTGTAGGAAAGTTCCTACTTTTAAGCCTTTTTAGACTACCTTGTCTCTCATGAATACGGCCACAAGATACGTGTTGAATACGCTTGATTGAGTTTCTGCAAAATATGAACTGCGTGAGATACTTGGGAGAACGCCTACCGCTTGTCAGTTACAATGAAACATAACAAGATCCAGATGTACAAAAGACATTTGCATTTCGTTCACCTCCTATTAAATGCCAGAAAGATGGTGAATGGATTAAACCTGCTCTGGCGTGGTGGGCGATGACCTTAGCACGAAGAGCTTCTCGTCGGCAAACCATGGACAAAAGCACCTCAGCTGCAAATTTTTTGGAAGATGGGCATCGCCCATGTCGAAAATAACTCTCAAGCGCCTGTACGGCAAGGAAGCCAATAGATATCTTCTGATCGAAGGTAAAGTGTAATTCGCAGCTCCTTCCCTAATTTGGCTCATAGATCATGACTCATCTTGAGCTGAAATCATCTCTTTACTTGAGTCGCACAACGCATTCAGAGAGACAAAGTCAAGGAGAAGCCCAGCCCAAAAGGAAAATCAGTACCCTATTGTCTTAGGCTATCATCTCAAGCATTGAGAATGGTAAAAAGACCCAAGGATGTCGTGCTCGCTGATCGCTTCACGAAAACGCTTCACACCCAACCCACTCCTCGCATTGATCCTTCGAAGAATAAACTTCCATTTCCCTTATCCGTCTGTATCATCGGGGCTTCTCGCGGTATAGGTGCTTCTATTGCTTATGCATATGCCCAAGCTGGCGTAGGCACGATTATTCTTGTAGCAAGAGCATCTTCATCATGTGAGCTAGGGTTAGTGGAGCAACGCACGAAGGAGCTCAATCCTTCTATTCGAACGACCGCCATTGCATGCGATATCACATCTTCCAAAAGTGTGTCTGAACTTTTGAAGAAGGTCAAAGACGACTTCGGAAAACTCGATGTTCTGGTCCTCAACTCCGGTTACTCAGGCCCTGTCGTTCTCAACATTGACGATGGCGATCCACAGGATTTTCAAGACGTCTTTAATGTCAATGTACAAGGCACGTATCTTGTCGCGCATTACTTCATCCCGCTTTTGAAGGAGAGCAATGGAGCGAAGACGTTCATCGCTGTGGGCTCACTTGCTGCGTGTATTAACAGCGGGCATATTGCAAACACGGCATACTGCATCAGCAAGTTTGCGCAAAATCGGCTTGTGGAGTTTATATCGGAACAATATGGTGAAGAAGGGATATTAGCAGTTGCGGTCCATCCCGGGGCGGTTGCAACGGAGATGGCGAATGCGACAACTCCGGATAGTTTCAGACCTTGTGAGTTTAGATATAGGTTATACAGCAGATTACTAACAAAGTAGCAGATCTTACGGACGACCCGGGCTTGTGTGGAGCATTTTGTGTGTGGTTGAGCCAGGAGAAAAGAATGTGGATGAATGGGAGGCTTCTGTCGGCAACTTGGGACGTGGATGAGTTGTTGGAGAGGAAGGTGGATATTGAAGAGAAGGATCTCCTTAAATGGGGGTTCAGGGTCGGCGATGCATAGGCCTGAACCAATGGTAGTAAATCAGTGTGTTTGGCGTCCTATTCTACGACGATCCTCGTTGATGAAACCCGGCGCACCCGAGCTCGGTACTCGATGAGGAGTCTACAAATCTCCGGGTTTCTATGTGGTGAGAGATGATCAAAATAAAATGCCCGTCAACCGAAGGGGGTGGGGAAACCTTTTCCTCCCGCCCTCTCCGCCAGAATCCTAACCCTTCTAAGGTTGTGGTTATTTAATTTGAGGAGCACGATGAAGGATGATACTCACTTAGCACATTCACTGAGAATTTCTTACTTCTTGGTGGGCGGTATCTGTTTTGCCAAGGATGACGAAAAATCAATGAACATCCATTTCAAGTGCCGGGAGCCGTTTACGCGAGGTCCAGTCACCTTGAAGCCTTCGAGGGCGATAACGCAGACTTCGGCATTCCAGGTGTCAGAGGTGATGGGCAATGTGACAGGGTACGCACTTCAGCTTGCACACCAGCCAAAGCTGAGTATCCCATCACGCCGCTCTCTAGAAAATAGCAGTTATCCACAAAAGGGTACACTAGAGAATGGACTTAGAAGGAGGCCTTGTTCTCAAATCGGGTTCTGGTTGCAAATGGCCGTGCAGCTTAGTATTCATCTCTTTGCTTTTGGAAGGAAGATATGATCATCGTGTCAGTCGATTTTAAGTCATGGCGTCCCGATAGTGGGATAGCACACAAGCCGCGCTTTGATTCAACTACAAAAGGACAACCACTAGTCACCTAGGCTTGTCCGGTTAATGATTACAACGAACGATGTTTAGCTCTGGATGAGAATATATTGTCAGTATTCCCTGGAGACTCCGCAGTGATGAAAGCGTATTTCCAGGATAAGTCCTATTACGACATTCTATTCAGATATCTTTATCTTGGGACGTCTTGGGAACCCTTAGGATATCTCCAACAGAGAGTACCCTCTTATCCACCTTTCCTTTTTTTTTTTTTTATCCATTGAAATGTCTAGTTGGCCGTAAGTCTGCTGGCAAGGCAACCTCGACCTCGGGATTTGGGAGGATTATGGCACTGAAAGTCTATATTCACAAAATAGAGCTACTATCATCATACCTTCTACAATCTCGGAAGCCCCTCAGATTGTTACAAATCCGTTTGTTATTCCGAACAGCAATTTTAATCGCACTTCTAACTAATCGATGGTGGATTGCGGCAGAGACAAGTCTACATGCCTGCACTTTCAATTGACTGCAACTTCATATGTACTTTCAGCGAGGGCTGGTGTGTGTGTTGTGGAGATGTATAAGATTAAAAGGGATTTTGGAAATGTATTCTCGACCGAAGGGCGCTCGATTTAGTCAACCGCGCAAACTAGGATAGTTTGAGCCTTGAAGATACAATTCTATTCCAGTTATCAATCCCCCTCAAGAGTGTAGGGAGCTTGGTGATTCTTAGTGGAGCAGAGTGACGGTTTCCCGTTCAAAAGGTCTCGCATAACGCGGTAGTCGTCGTAACAGATATGCGTGAAATGCGGTGGTCTCCAACAGTGAAGATTCCTGGGGCATTGGTTCGGGGGTATTCGACTGCTTTTACGTGTCCAGAAGGAGTGAGCTCCACTCCGGCAACGTCCAAGCTAGAATCCTCAGTATTGGGAACACGAACTCTAGTAACTCGTAGTTGAGATTCAGTAACTTCAAATGACTGACGGTTTTGAGTTCTTTTCAGAGTAACAGACTGTTCTGAAGTCTCGTTGACCTTGGATATGATTGTGGAAGTACAGAACTCTACACTCTCTCTTTTAAAATATTACCTAAAGCAGTTGACACGTCTTCATGTTCTCGCTTTAGAATTCGCTCATTCCACTCTAGAACTGCGACTGTGGCACGAACCTCCGCATTACCTGGGCGAACCCTATTCTAATATAACCACCACTTATAATGACTAGATGCTTCAGAACTTCGTCTAATTCCAGAAGCTCGACATGCTTGGGCGGTTCGACTTCTTAAGTCTAGGAGTATCATCCATCTTCGCCCTCGACCCCTACAAATAACAACATGGTCTGGCGTCATAACCCTCTCCCCCCAATCTTCCAGTTCAACCTCTATTTTTCTCTCCCTACCCAACTTCCCATGCCCTAACACTAATTCCGCACCACTCCCTTTGAACACACCCTCATGCATCTTGACCAACCCTTTAACCAAACCTCTCTTTCTCTCTCTGGCTAACCCTATATCATTTCTAGAAGTAGTAACTTTGAGCATACCGACCGATCGCGGCACACTTTGCGGAATCGTGCAAGACCGGCAGAGTAGGTAACATTTTTGTTGGGAAGACACGCTATATTGGGATAGGACCCACCAAGCCCTTTGTGCTCAATTATAGAGGTCTTTTCCCCTCCTTAGGCACAGGTCTAACAGAGGTATTTGCCGGCTGTGCCGGAACTAATAGATAGGTGTCGTAATGCCTGGGGTGGTGGCCATGGTGGATGGAAATGAAGTTGGCGAACGATATTGCGGTTTGCAACGGAGGATACTTAGACTTAGTGGATCATCCACCTCTGGAGCCCTATCTAGAAACGACTTTTCTATCTCTTTCTGCTTTCCCCTCCTTTCCCCACATTCCCATTCCACCAAATACTTCGATGTCGACTATGAAGCCGTGATGGTGCCGCTGATGAAGCATTTGTCACACACTCTCGGAACATAAACCCCTCCTTACACAGGAACCCTTGAAGATAGCTATGCGAAGCTATGAAGATGGCAAAATACGGATTAGAATTGTTTGGTGTAGCAGAATGATAAATTTAGTGATTAAGCACTAGGCTGCCAACTCACGGTGGGTTTTGACGGTATGCCGAACTGCCGAAGAATGCTGATGCGGCGGATGGCTTGGCGGAAGTGCGTTTATTGCAAACGGCGAACCCATCTTGATGCGTGTAGCTTTGAAGAATGGGTTCTGAGCCTCTCCGTACATTCCCTGCTTTCCTGACCTTCTGGATGTGATCCGACGGGAAATCTGCGTCCTAGCGCTTGGCTCTTCGATCTCTGCATCACCACCTGGATCCCGAATCAAGCTGCGGAAACTGTTCTATCAGCTGAACAGCTCTGATCTCGCATCGATTCTCCCAGGCTTGAAGTTCCGGTGGAGCCGTGCAGACGGTTATGTGGCTGGACTCCCAAATTTCAGTGGCGTCGCTGTCCTAATCCCCATCGAGCGGGCTGAGCAGGAGAAGTGCAGCCTGGTAAGGCGGATTCAGCGAGTGCTTCCCATCAGTGCTTGAAACCATCACAATCGCTCATCACCACCAAACGACACATATCTTCAAATTAGATGCCTTTGTCAAGAATTTAATGAAGATTCCAAAACATTTCCACCACGTCGTAATTCAGGGAGGATATTGTGAGCGGCTCCGGTCCCAAATCCAGGGACTCCCGCGCCTTACGCAGATCACTAAGCGCTCCTATTTATAACTGGCCTGTCACAGTTGGAATGAAACGCGATTCGCAGTCTTAGCTTGGTCCAAGACGGACCGAGCATTGACCGAGCATTGGCACAGCTTGTGACTTGGTGGTGCTGCGGCGCCCGCGCTGGCTGGGCTGCACAGCTGAAATCGGAATGAGGCTGATGGTATTGCCTTGACACTGTTTCGATTCCTTTCCTTTCCCTCTTTCTCCCCACAGTCACTCCTGCTTCGTTGCTCTGAATACAAGCACTTCACAAGTACGCTCATTAGCTCTCGCGTGAGGAGGAAACCTTCATACACTTTCTGTCGTAAGACTAGCGGATTGACAACCCAGTTTGACCGACCGACAACAAACATTGCTTTTGCAGCCTTCCGAGTCGTCTACCCCAAACAATCCCCAACACATCTCTCCCCAAACATCTTCTCGTGGAACGGATATACAGAAGCCCCTGGTGACGGGCTGACAGGGAGAACAAAATGCGAATTCCGCAGAGCTACATCCAGAAATGCAAAGTCGTAGCGCACGTCTTCCAAGTGCTGTTCATCTTCATAGCAGCATGCATCACCATTGGAGTATTTACTAAAGGCGGTGATACGGGCGGCGCGACTAAATTCTTCTTTGCTTTGGTATGTCTAATTCTCTCTCCTTCCAGGCCTACCTTCCCTAATCCCCGATTAACTACGACGACACATTAAGGAGACCCCCAAACTGACACTTCCTTCTCAGTGTTTCCTCTCCATTCCTGCGCTAATCTACCTCGTCATGACACCTATGTGGAGCCGTGCAGAGCGCTTCGTTAACGCCTACGCCTTTGTTGCGCTCGATGCGCTCTACACGATATTCTGGTTCGCCGCCTTCATTTCCGTCGCGATGTGGAACTCCAAGGGGATTAAGGAAGGCGAAAAGGACAAGAAGATAAACGAAGGTGATGGGAATTGCACAACCTTCAAGTTCGGCCCGGAGGCCATGTGTAAATTATCGAGGGCGACCGTCGGATTCGGCATTGTGATATTGTAAGAGTCCCCTCAATTCTGAAGAAGCCTACCTATGGATAGGAAGGACCCTAGCTGACAACTACTCAGTATATTTTTTGGTCTCACAACCGCAATCTCCGCCTACTACCTCATAAAATTCCGCAGAGACGGCATCCTGCCCTTCCAATCCGCAACCCCGAACCCGCGCCATCTGGGCGGCGAAACTTCTGGCGGCGGTGGAGGCAAAGATAATACCTGGTCATCCGAATACGAAGCCCCCGGTCGCGAATCTGATGAAGAGGACCGCCATACTGAACGCGGCGGCAACCAAGAAGAAGACGAATATGCTTTGCTGCATTCGACGGAGACAGATGAAGGACGCCATCCTGGGCGCCCGCTAAGTTGGGGCGACGATAGGTATAATAGGGCTCCTGCGCCCCCGTATGCGGGATATGATGATGACGCGGCAGCGAATGCGTTGAGTCCGGGCGGGTATGAGGAGTATAGACGGGAGGCGGGGGCGCCGCAGCCGCCACATGGGGGAGGATATGGAAATGGAGGGCAGGGGTATAGTTTCAGTGGAGGAGATCGGTGAAAACGAGGAAGAAAGGACTAAGCGGCGAGTAATGCCTTCGAAGATGGGAAGGTAGCGCAGAGATAGTGGGAGAGGAGATTTGTCTGGATACCTATTTGCGGGTTTAGATGTTGCTTGCCTTTGTGTTGAGTATATCAAGAGGACTAAATGCACTGTGCACTGCAGTAAATGAAGAATAGGAGAGGAGGAGGAAGAGGAAGAGGAAGAGGCATTGCACTCTTTGGAGTTTCAAGGTTCTGGCATATGATCTTGCCAAGATGATCTTAGCGCTTCAGCGATTTTTCTTGGTGGTTCGAATTTTAACTGCATATATATCCATTCCTAGAAGCCTTATTCTGTCAGCAGGTGAACTTTTTGCTAATGAGACTGAGACTCAACAAATATCGCGGAAGACTAGCTAGATTGATGTTTGAGGATTTATAACCCTTTGCCGCTTGTGTTGGTGGTGAGGGGAAGGGGGGAGCCGGGTGAGGAGTATTATGGTGCGCACGCGTCGGAGGAAATGGCTGTTGTGGTGTGTTAGACCCAATGAAGGAGCGTCATGAATGTAACTCTCAGTAAACCAGTACTATTTTCAAGCCATATCTACTCTTAGTATACACCAAACTAGGTTAGCCTTTTTTATCAGATTATATTATCAAAATCTTACTTGGCTCAACTTTGGCTCAGTTTTGCTCCGCCCGAATCAAGCTTGCTCGGGCTTGCTCGGGCTCGCTCATGATTCAAAGCATGGTGCCTCAGGCTACTAGTGACTAGTTAGTTAGTTAACTAAAAGAGCGGTATCTTAGGCTGCTCATGCTCAACTTCTCTTTTGCCCTTGTTCTGATTCCGGTCCTGATTCCGGTCCCCCAACTCCTTGCTCATCCTATCCAAATATCAGCAACTTTAAACGGATGTTCACATAATCCGAGTAGAGATGGGCTCCGCGAAGAACCTCTCCGAGAAGAGAAGGTCGTCGAGGAGCGAGGAGCTCCGGGGAGTGAAAAACTCCTAGGAGAAACCTCCGGGGAGAGAAGAGCTTTGAGGAGAAAGCTTCCAGGGGAGGGGAGCTCCTAAGAGAGAAGCTCCGGAGAGTTGGAGACATTGTCTCTTATGAGATCCTTATATGGCTTCAACAATACAACATGGATTTGGGTCACTTTTAAAATATAGTCACAGTACAAGAGCGGATTCGGATCAACACTATATCCTGTTTAATTCCTTGACAGGTCAGATAGGCTTATTCGGAGGCCGCCACTATGCTGTTTCACATAGACGAATTACTATGGAGTAGTATAAGCATCGTTCATCTCATTTCTTACATCCGTTTAAAGTTGCTGATATTTGGATAGGATGAGCAAGGAGTTGGGGACCAGAATCAGGACCAAGATCAGGACAAGGATAAAAGAGAATTTGAGCATGAGCAGCCTGAGGCGCCATGATTTGAATCATGAGCGAGCCCGAGAAAGTCCTAGCAAGCGTGATTCAGACTGAACAATTGGCTAACCTAGCCAGGTGTATCCCAAGACTAGATTTGATCTGGAAATGGAGGCATTCTCTCTGTTGAAATCTAATGTCTATTGCATCTACTTCTATTCTCAAATATGACTTAGGTTGGGGTATAACGTGACCTATGAGTAAGCAGCTCGAACTGTGTCAGAGCATGTCTGAGCTCGCCCTAAGCTAACTTGAGTCAGCGTGATTGTGCCTGATTTCATACTTGAGCGGCATGAAGAGGGTCCGAAATTGGCCCCTAACAGCTCATAGGGGTGTAAAAATTCTAAGGAACTAGGTCCAGAATCAGGCCCCTAGAAGACGCCCTTCTCGGAGTGAAGCTTAGTTACCCGGAATGTAAAGGGGCCCAATTTTAGGTCTTCGATTGTCAAAAATGCTTACCCTTCAAGAGGTGTGAACTGTACAAAGTAATGAAATTGCTGATACTCAAGCGATGCCAGGTATACGTCACATTTCTGTCTCCATTGCTCAATTACCATGATATTGATCATAATAGGCTGTAAGAGTCGCTCGTCTAAGTCTTACTATCTTAATGATTTCCAACTAAAAGCACAAACGAAAACATAAAGCCCGAAGAAATAACTGAGGGGACTAAGTATCCATCATGGAATAGCCAGTGTTCCCTATGCGGTAGACCTCGGTCAGGCTTCGAGGACCAAATACTATTGGGTTGAGCTTATGTCGAATGGGTAATCAGCCGAGTAGATATGTACGAATGATTCCAGTAGAATCTTAAAATGAACTGATTTGAGAAGCTACGAGAGTTGTCCGGAGTGGCTGAGTACCCCTAGCACTTGGAGACTATCTAAGGCCGTCTCTGCACGTGGCCACATTTTGAGCGCAGAGATGATGTTTACCGGGGGCATTGTGATAGGGATGTGGTTGCTTGTGAATTGCGCGTCAATGGCGAAGACCCAACTTATCACAGTTAGCCAACCGCCAAACGACACTGAAGGGGGTCAAACCTTATCTGTCAGCAATTTGGTGATAAAGTCTTTGTGGAAGCTTGCACTAATATGGTTTCGAAGGAACGTGAAGAGATTGTTCTTATACCAGCTGATTCTTCCAGGGTCATTCGGATCGTCAGTTCTTCGTAGCTATTATTTCTATCTGTCTGATTAAGCCGAATCTTTCTGGGGTCCATCGAATCCTCAGTTTTCCTTTTGACTCCCTTAGCTAGAATATCTCGCTTGAGCCATGGTACTGCTACGCTATTGCGCTGCGTACACCAGTGAAATTCCAGTAGATCCCCCAGTCTTATCCAATGCATACATTCCTTTGAGCTAGCCATACCGGCCGCATCGCGGTGTGGAAACCGCTCCACATCGTCACCTCCTGCCCCGTACTTTGCTATTCCCTACCAAACACTAACAACAGTTTTCGCACTGGATGCAGAGCCTCACATCATCATCCAGATACAACGTGATATGCAATGTCATCGTGTCTGGCCGAGACACTCCACAGATGGTAAAGTTTATGGAACGGAAACAATGTCTTTCCTTGAGCAGACTATCTACTTCGATACGCTTATATATTCAGGAAAGATTTCAAGAATTACGGTTGGAACTTTAGGACATGAGATACAAAAGATGTTTGGGTTGCTTCCGTGGTCTTCAGTGGCCCAGCGATAATGTTCAAAAGTATCCAAAGCGAAACAGCGAGTGTATTATTTGTGTCCACTGTGTGACAGTAACAGAAACGACGCCAGCGTTCATCCCATTACTAATTCCGAGTCCTAAAATTACATATGCCTATTTTACCGGTGATTACCACAGAAGAGCACCAACCAGTTGGTGACACTGACATTGCCGATCAAGGTAATAGATGGTACTATTAGCGAGAACATCAGCCGTTTTAGCGGTTGGATTCCACTCAAAAAACCTGACACACTTGCCTACCGCAATCGTTCCGAACTTTCTCTTGCGACCGTTCTTCCCTATGGCGATTCCAGCAAGATAAGCATCCAGCTGGTCTTTCGCCTCTGTCCAGATGCTGTCTTGCGACTCAAGACCAGGAGCTTTGTAGGATCTGTGATATCGGGATTGATCTTGTTAGCGGTTGTTACCGCTAAGCGGCTGGATATCCAATACCTCGGATTGTATGTACACTGGCCTTGTTAGCGCTTAAGTTCTGGCCAACAACCGACCACATTCAAGGATAAGAAGAGATGAAAAGGCCAATTCCAACCCAAAGAACTTCCCTGTGAAGATCCCACACATTGCATATCTCATATCATTCTTCATTTCTCGTCCCTCTAGCAAGCATCGTCGTATCTATTCAGCATGGCTTCGAGCTCGTCAAGTTATCAGCTCCTTACACAAGAATCAGTTGATGGAACGGCCAGTTGCAAAGAATGCCCGTCGAGCTGATATTACTAACACGGATCACAGTACATTGCTAATCAGACAATCGACTGGCTCATCAAGAACCGTCTTGTTAAAGGTCAAGCAGAAGGAGAAGTTTCTCGAGCCTGGAACTCCATTCTCCAGCTTGAATTCCCCGTAATGACAGGCTATGCCACGGGACCAGAAACCCCGATCAATGGTCGACGAGCGGACCTATTTACAGCGCACTTGTTTTTTGAAGGGCAGACTCAAGAATACAAATTCCTTATAATTGAATGAAAGCATTAGCTACGCTAATAGTTACAGGCTTTGGTTGGGCGGGATGAAGAGATCACTGGCCCTATAAACGCCGGGATTTAGCTTCCTGCTCGTTCAAGGGAATATCTCGTTCGGAATGAAGAGATGGCTTTGCATCGCCGCCGCCTGGGCCGGAATCCGGTTGCAATCGATGTGGAAGCGCGCGGTTTTGCAACCGCCAGCACTTGGGGTGTCATGAAACAGCATGGCGTGCGCGCGTGGCTCAGGCAGTTCTATTATTGGATGCTAGAAGTCAGTGCGTTCCAATTCAGATTTGTTACTTGGGATAATCTCCACTGCACAAAAGCTGTTTTGGTGTTCGTGAGGCCACTTCGAACTACACGACGGCTTGCACGTAGCAAGTTCCGCCAAGCTAATCCTGTGCCCGCTGATAGCACAGCTTCAACCTGAACTTACTTCCTACCTTGGCCATGAAAGCCAGCAAAAATATCTATTGGCATACCTTGTGATAGCGCAGAACCACCACCTCTGGACTGTCATCAAAATAGCTCGTAGCTACGTCGGGTGTGCGATGTGTGAAGGCGAAGTCATACACGGAGAACCTCGCTGGATGGGTGAATTTCGAGCTTGTGAATTGCAAGTGATTACAATCCGTAGTCGATTGCCTCTAATTCTGGGTAGTGTACGCAGACGATTAAAATTGGGCCGATGCTTAGCTCTCTGGGGTTGACTCACGGCTTTCCGATCTTGATCTTGCACCGCGAGATGCCGCTGCGCGCTATGATGAGCCTGGCATGGATTCAAACACTTTGATTGATATTTGGTTCCTCAAAAAATCGTTTGGGCCACTGCTGCCTGGGGCACCGGGGACACCTCCAATATATTCTCAAAGCGCTTGGGGCTTTCCTTTTCATACATCGTGTTGGCATCTGATGGTTAAACTATTCGACTACAATATAAACCAACAATGCCTCTTCGATGTCCTCCTCTCCCTTCCAATTCAAGATGGCTTCCTTGGCTGGGATCATGACTATGAGGGTCAACAGTTCGAAGCTGGCATTACCCCAGATGTAGCGTGTGGTAGATATTCCGGACAGACAATGCTCCCAGGTATTGACACTATGCCAGCATTTTAATATGTCTCCCCTGGCCATAATTACTTGATAAGTGTTTTGTAAGAAAAAATACCAATTTCTCTTCTGACCAAGTACTCTGATACACCGTCTTCGAGAGATAGAAGCTGAATAAAGGTAACGTTGACATAGACCGTCGCGTAAAAACTTCTACCAGTATGCGCCATACAGTATTGAAGATAATTCAGGGGAAAGAGATCTTGGGGATCCAAAGTAATGGGCACTAATACTAGGACTGTTGCAGAGGCTACCTTGTATTTGGATCCGTCTTCTCTCACGTTCCACTGTTCGAGCTGGGGTGTGTGTCGTATACAATTATCCGCCTATATAGATATCCTTCTGCTGTGCTAGCTGGAAGGTTGACCTTTTGGCGACGCAACAAGGACTAATTGATATTTCGGTCTGCTCGTTGGCGCAATGGTATAAAAATAATCAGGCTTGGAAATATGCCCTTCGAAATGTTCTAGGCCCACTATGTCCGGTGTTTCCGTGCTGCACGGACGAGGAATTGAAAGACTATCTGGTAGAAAAAGCTGACCGGACGCTTCCATGATTGGTGAGTTGAACACTCCACAGTACCTATTCCTTATCTCTTCTAATTCATTGCACTTTGGGACGCATCTTCCACTGTCCCAGAATTGTCCTTTGTGAAAAATCCGGTTCGTCTAATATTGAATTTGACTCTGAACGGCTGAGCGACTTTTGCTTTCGGACCGGCTCTGTGCGCACCGCGGAGTAGTCTACGAAATTTGTGGGCGCGTCGTATATCGGCCTACAGACATTGCTCCAGAACCATCTTCGGGCGGGTGCTGGGAACTGGTAACGCTATGTTGTACCCTTGTGTAATTCAAGGTCAAATCTAGAAAGAGCTTTATGTGAGGGTAGATTTCACTTTATTGTTTACGGCTATTTAGCGAAGTCGCTAGGTTCTAGCTAGCATGTAAATCTATTAAGATTGGGCTCGAAGCAATAAGGCTTAAGTTGGGCTTGGGGTGAGTTGGAGGTCAAAGGCCATCGAGTATTTGAGGAGCGGAAAAACAGATGATGAGGGAAAACCAAGGGCATGCATTAGCTAGGCTGAACAATATAAATGCCTATATCCTAGGAGCTCTAGAGCCCAAGAAAATCTCCCAGCCCAATGGATGCGAAGCCTCGCTGAGCCTAACGTTCTGTCGGGTCTCTATCATTGCACGCTTGCCAACCACACTTGTGGTCCTACTTGACCCTCCTGCTTGACCGACTCCTGCTTGACTGGCTGTTGGCGCATTTCTAAATCCACATCTTGGATATCGTTCTCTAGTTCTTATTGGTGCAGGATGTCGGTTTGGTATTAGTGGAGTCGGAGGAAAGCGTTCCGGAGATCCAGTCCCGGCATCCTAGAATAGAATTGGATTGTTGGGAACGTGCAGGATGGTTGCTCCTTCGCTGATGGGTGGGGAGGGGTAGTCGCGAGGTGCTACGTTGTGGAAGAAGGAATGAGAGCAGCTAGTAATTGAATGCAGAAATATGGGCATGCAGAATGCGGGGTAGACTCTAAGATGCTTAAAAACTAGACACCCTGTGAGTTCAGTGACTGCACAGGATGCTTGAAAGGCCCTAGCACTTCTTCGCGCCATGAAGGGGCGGGAGGGCAGGATTACGCTAAAGCAACGGTTGGCGATTACTGAACGGCCTCGAGCCAAGAAGCGAGATGGCTGCATTGTGACGGAACAAGAAGCCCAAGAACTTAGTCTCCCACACTGCCGGTACCTGCCGTTCTTGATTGGTAGTGCGTAGCTTGTTCGAACGGCCTAAATAGGAAATTTGCCTCTGGGATCATGATCAGTGGTATGATAAAAGTGATGCTTGCGAATAAAACCCACAAACAACCGAAGACAATTTAGGTACCCAACAACGGATTCGAATGTCTGAGCACATATTACCCCCAACTCCAGAGACACGGAGCACCAATGAAGGGGGTTCAATCTGGGATCATTCGACATTCTTGATTTCAATGATGAGCCCCGCTCGGTGGGTAATGAGAGCATTCCATTATGGGCCCTTATCCTTCAGTAAGAGAATCTGGCGCCACCTGTGGATGGCTAGGCGAGGGATTTTGCCTTGGCCGTGTAGGGCGAAGGTTTCGGTATTAGTGATTGTGACCCTCTCTAACATGAGGGTAGTAATAGATCCGTGGTGATGAGTAAACGAAGCGATAACAAACTTAAATTGTGCGACGGAATTTGCTGAGTGGCCTGACGAGAGGAAAAGCGTTGTGGCATGAATCTAGTTCCAACTCCTGTGTGGACGATTGACACACCGCCCCTCAAGATAGGAAACTGCGCGAGATAGGTCTGCGGTAAACAATAATTGAAGTATATTTCTAGTACTATGATTGAGGAACATGCTGTGTCCAAGGCGAAACCATTGATATGAAGTAAAGAATTTTCGTAGCATCTGTGGTTGTCCGCCCAAACGGGGCAAACAATTGTGTTGAATAAAAGAAAATGAACTGTGAGGTGACCGGTGGAAGGAACTGTTGAACAGCTCTATGAAAGCCAGACAGTGAAGTATGAGGTTGTGATAGCTGTGGGAGAGGTTTCTTGGATCAGAGAGTCTGCGGGTTCCTGGGCTGATGTAAATGAGGATTAGTTGGATCAGGAATCATGGACGCTACCAGTATGGCGACGTGTCATCAGAAGGACAAGCTGGACTCGTGGTATGATACACGAGCAAAAGGGTGAACATAGCACTCGACGCAAGTTTCGTGCGTGTGCGAGCTGGACGCAGGGCTGAAAATGGTGTTGAAGTAGATAGGTGTCGGTGGGGCTTGTCGCTAAAATGGTCAACCGAGCGCGTAACGCGGCTATTCGTGCCTTCTTGGCCTCAGACGCCGGGTCGCGAACCTCGCCATCAAGCCCGAAGTGAATGTTACAGCGATCCTCCCTCTGTCGCGATGTCGGCTTTACACCATACTTGGTGTGTCCCCCGTTTATTCCTGCATCCCCATTCGGCGCACGACGGTCGTGATGCCCCTACCGTGGGGTAACCTCTAGCTCCGACTAATCATCTTTTTCCGGTCCACATTGTTTTGTAATCACCCTCCGTGATGGCCCCAGTAGCGCTCAATTCATGCGAGCAGCCGCCATGGAGGCCCCACCGCTGTGCTGCTCTGTGTTATTGCTGTCTTTGCCATCGGGCGGCTTGGAGTTATTAAACGCAGCAGCATGACGGCGGACCAAGTGAGTGCTCGATCAAGCGTTCCCTATGCAGCTCTCAGGCATCTTACTTACTGGTGACCGCGTCACCAAGATCTCCCAAGCTATAACAACCAACACACAAGCCCATTGGAATCGGATGCCCTCTAAGTTTCGCAACTTCATCCCCTCCGAATCCTTCCCCGCCGAGAGGGGCCGCTATGTCCTCTACGTTAACTACTGCTGTCCTTGGGCACACCGCACCATAATCGTCCATGCATTGAAGGGCTTAGAGGACATTGTGGAGTTGGTCGAGGTGGACGCAAGAGACAGGACACATGGCTGGTGGTTCTCTGGGAGAAGAGGTCCGGACCGAGACCCCTTGTACGGCGGCAGATACATGAAGGAGCTATATCTGAGGGCCGACCCGCAATACAATGGAAGGATTACTGTGCCCATGTTGTGGGACACGAAGCATGGTGCGGAACTTTTGTTAGGTCGTGTAAACATGTAGGCTGACGCACTCTAGAAACTATTGTAAACAACGAGAGTAGCGAGATCATTCGGATGTTCTCTGAAGCATTCGATGATTTCCTACCCCCCGAGAAGCAAGAGAGGAATAAGGGAGCGGCTGCACTCGTCCCAAAGCATATCCAGCCTCAGATCGACAAGCTGAATGCGTGGGTGTACGATACCATCAACAACGGTGTTTACAAGACTGGATTTGCGGGGTCACAGAGTGCCTACGATGAGCATGTCACCAGGCTTTTCCAATCTCTCGATCGACTTGAGCTCCATCTAGGCGACAACACTCATAACCCTTATCTCTTTGGAGAGCATATCACGGAGGCAGACATACGGTTGTACACGACCTTAATCCGATTTGATGTTGCATATTATACTCTCTTTAAGTGTAACATCAAAATGATTCGACTGGACTACCCTCTAATTCACGCATGGCTGCGACGACTATATTGGAACGAGGGTCCGGAGACAGCAGGAGGTGTCTTCAAGCACACCACCAATTTCGCAGAAGTCAGTTCGGCTTGATGTCATTCGAAAACTAGCTAACTCTTTCTAGATTAAGCGTGGTTACTCAACGGTCGCCGCTGGAAACGGAGTAGTACCAGCGGGGCCTATGCCGTACATCTTGCCCCTATGAGCGTTCCTATCGTACTTTCGTGGATTCGAATTTCTGCCATTCCGAACATTAACCGTACATAACTCTTCTGGTTACCGTTTCTCGCATAGCAGCTACACTTGTAGCTTTACTTGTCAATAGCCTGACATCGCGCCCTGCTCGCAAGAATGAGACTCATGCACTGGATAAGCAAGTCATTGAGAGTGCAATATAGACTAAGTGGCCAAGATTTGTGCCACTATGCCCCTGATATTCTTCTCCTATCCTGAATGTGAACAAATACCAGGTTTCCGTGTGATCCCGACGGTTAACTACTATGGATCCACTATGTAACAACCCTTCTTGCTATAAGCTTTACATATTTCGCGAGTATAGCGGTTTGAGGATGCTTAGCCTCATACTGCTTGATCATTACTCACTTCATACTATTTTGTTGAACTTCTCACGTGCAGCGCTAGCTAGTCTTTGCCTCAGCTCCACTGCCAAGACACGTCATGCCCAACCCCAGCTTCGTACTCCGATTTTCAAAACGAAAACCTCCTCTAGCGATATCTCGGTAGCAACACAAAGGTAAACCAGATTCCATGAGGTAAGCGGCCCCTAAAAATGTTGTGAGTTTTATGTCGATGACTCACGAGTCCATCCATGCTACGCCCACCCACTTCAACTGCTTTCTCCGAGTTCGTTTGATCTCGAATTGGCCACAACTTTAGGCTCAAAATTATTCCATATCTAATGGGCTTCAGTTCACACTCTCCTCGCATCTTTGCGCGACTCCCCCATATTGGACGGACTTCCCTTCAAACAGAGGCCGTCCAGAAGTCTGCAATCGTGGAGCCCTCCGCTGGTTACACTGCCAGCATGGGAACTTTCGACTTCTTGAGCCAGCTCCCAGGCGAACTGGTTGACGACATCTGTGCAAACCTAGAAATCAAGGACATTCACAGTTTCCGCTTGACCTGCAAAATGCTCCACAAGAAATCCTACCGCCAATTCGCCGTTTGCCATTTCCGAATTGCACAATTCATGATCACCCGCGAGAGTCTTCAAGCCTTAAGAGACATATCGAAAGACGAAAGATTTAGGGCCCACATTAAAGAGATTCAATTGTGCCTGATTACGTTCCCGACGTCAAAATTAGATCAAGTGGATTCTAATCCATTGACGGCTGAAGAGAAGGACAGAGAGGTTTATATTAAATCACAACCAAAAGGGGAAGCTGTGTCAGAAATGAAGATTAACTTAGCTGAATTTAGGAAACAGCTTAAGAGACGGCGACGCAGACTCTATGGTCGACACATGCATTCTCAGCACACCATCCGAAAGCGGGGTATTGATATAGAGTTGCTCTCTGAGGCACTCCGAAACCTTCCCAAATTGGAGAGTTTCACCATTCTTGAACATCTTGACCGAGAATATCCTCCATGGGGTTGTCGGAAGATTCGCGATGATATCGGATTCTGGCCATTAACAGGATCCATGTCCCAGTCGCAAAGTAGTGACTGGATAACTCCTTGGCAACTGGATTACGATCTACTGCGTCGGCATTGTCTCAATTTCTGCTCTCATGCCCTGTCCCTCGCCTTAGGTGCTATTGCCAGGAGCCAAACTAGGCTGAAAGGGGGGCTCAGAGTGGAAGGAGCGGTCTATAATTTTATCGTAGCCCAGGACCGATCAAGGAGTCGCTGTGCAACTCCTGCAAAGACATTTTCTCAGCCTGACATTGAGAAACTTAAGCCTGCCTTTTCGGAGCTTACAGACCTTTCCATCAAGTCGTACGGCTACTACCGTGAAGATCTACTCTTGACTGGACACAACACTCCGTTTTCGTGGCTCCCTAAGTTTATCCCGCTCTGGCAATCCGTAAAAAATTTTGAGTTTAGAGGAGCAGGACTTGCCGGCGAGGCACAGGTTTTTAACATGTTGGCTGAATCCAAGGACTGCTTCCCGCGCATGCAGAGCCTCCTACTACGAACCACTTATTTCCAGGTTTCCGCCTTGATTAAGGTCGTCATGAACCATGCCGGCACCCTTCAATACTTGAGCATCCACGCCTGCGACCCAATCCATGGCGAGTTCCCCCATTTATTGCACGGCTTAGTGGGAGACTTTGCACTTATCTCGCTGAAGCTAGTCAATGATAGGCGAGTAGCGTCGTGGATTAGAAATAACCATAATCAAACGCAACTACTCACTGGTCTTGGCACTTCATTTCTGAGAATACAAGAGGGCACACCTACTGCCTTTCAGCTGAGACTTGAAAGCACTTTGGCTGCCATCCGGAATGGGTAAACTTTCGAAACGAATTATTGTGCTATGTAATGCTAGTATGTCTATCATAGCTTCCGCCCTGTCTTGCTTATTCCAAGTACCAACCAAGAGCGCCATGTCTTTATGCATACCAAAAAAGCTACTTCATTTCTTTTCCGGAACAACATGGATTTCCCAAGCCGCGCCTTCCGTCCCTCTGATTTTCTTCCGCATCTTCGAATCTCCAAGCGGGCCAGCCGGACTCAGGATACGACTTTTTAGGACGCCCTTCTTCTCTCCATTTTTTAAGTAATTTAGAAACTCAACCGACACATCAACATATTCCGCCAGCGCGACTTTCGCATTAAGCGACGTCCATGTTGCAATCTTCATAATCCAAGGAATTATTAGCGGCACGTCGGTACACGATGGATGAGCGCTCCCAGCTGCAGCCATTATTAGCCTTCACATGCATCGAGGATCAGTTTTCGAATCACAGGGCCACTTACCCAACGTCATAAACCACCCCTCCCTAATGTTTTTAACTAAGTCCTTCACCACAACGAAATGCCATCCCAACTCGTAAAACTTGGTCTGCTTCTCCGTCCACGCCCCCGAATTCATCACCAAGACTGGAAGCCCAACCTCCGTATTTAACTTCCCACTCTGCTTCCCCGGATCTAGGGCAATTGCCCCATTGATTGGCATCTCTTCATTTGGCGCGTTCTTCAAGGCTTGAAGCGTGCCTGTTGCACCGTACGAATGGCCTACTACGGTGACTGCAGAGATGTTTAGGCGGTCTTTGAAAGCTGGGAGAACGGTGCGGGGGGAATCGGGTTTTAGGTTGATGAGGAGGTCTCCGTGGCCCGCGTTTAAGAGACGGAAGAGGCGGATCGTTTCTTTGATTTCGGCTTCCCGGAAGGCGAGTTGGGCCGCTATGAGAGATGGGGCTGTCATTGGGGGGTCGTTTCTAACTTACGGTTAGTCGACTACAACGTTCGTTTAATTTTCACTTTATTCCTCTTGTTCCCTTCCCTAATTGCGTACGGGAGAATTTGGGGAGAGTAGAGCGACATAAGGAGATGGATGTGTCAACATACTCTAGATCTTTAAGCCCCAAATGCCAAACCGTCCTCTCACTTCCATCACTCCGATGAATAATGGTTCCGGGCCCACTCCCATCCCGATGCTCAATCGCGGCAACTACAACACCATAGCTCGCAACACTCCCCAGATAATGCGAGTAACTCTGCGACATTCTACCCATACCGTGCGTAAACACTACGCAGGGCAATTCCCCCTTCTCCTCCCCATCCCTGTCTCCGTTCTTCCCCTCTCGTAACTCCACCCCACCACCCCCATTACCATTCCCATCCCGCCCACCCTCTCCAACCACCTGACCTAACCCCGCAACCCGCCCCTTCTCACCAACCGCCAATTTCGAAATCTCGCCGGGGGATAGAAGCGGCGCGTCAACGGTCCCAGGGATCATGATATTGCGACCAAAGAGCCATAAACCGACTGAGAAGAGCGATTGGAGAGGTGGGAAATAAATGTTAGCGATGCGGGCGTAGCCGGTGCCGATGAGAGATATGGGTTGCGGTAGCCAGGGGCGAGCGTGCGGTGGGGATCGCGGGGATTTGGGGGATGGTGCGGGGGGTGTAGAGGGGTAGTAGAGGGTTAGGGCGAGGGTTTGTAACTAGGGGTTTGTTAGGGAGGGGTTGCGGTGGGGTAGTAAAAGTTTGTACGAAGAAAAATGAGGTATTGGGTGCAGTTGTGAGACAGACAGCAGTCCCAAATTCATATGAAATCTTGAAACCGAAATACGTAGAATACTTAATAAAGCAAAACCAGAAGAAAGTAAAGCAATCGTGTTCTGCAACCTGAAAATGTTCTTTCCGCTCAGAACGCAACATAACGCAGACAAAAATATCCACTTACCTCAAAAGCCTTCTCTCCCACCCCCTTCAGCATTACATCCCCAAATCCCTTTATCACTCTCTTCTCAACCTCGACCTCCAAATCTAACACCCCAACATCATACCTTCCCGTATACTGTGGCAACCTCCTAGTCGCGGGCGTTAAATTAACCACTAAGATCAGAAATATTAGCAATGCAGACCCCAAAAGAATCAATCGCCGCAACGAGCATCTCCGAAACCTTGGCCGGAACATGTTGAGAAAGAAAGTAAGAGAAGAAATGAGAAGGTAGACCGGGGGCCCGAGCATGTGTTTATGTCTGGTAGGAGAACAGCCAGGCTGGCAGATGCGAGAATAGGATTTCGAAGGAATGGACTTGAAACTGTGAGATGGCATGAGTGGATCGGAGTGGTTGGTGCATGATGACAAATGTGGCTGTGACTGCAGCGGATGACGCATGACAATCTTGGCGATATTTTGGGCATCAAGAAGGATTGTGATTGGTTGGTACGCACGTTAAGGGGTACGAAGATTGTGGAAATTTCAGTGATAATGTTTATAGATATAGGTTCGGGGGGGGGCAGAACGTGGTGATTGAAGTTTGGCGCCTCTATGTGAATTGATGACTGTCTTGGGACTGCTGGAACTCCGTCATGTGTATGACATTATTTTCAAATGGGACTCGTATTATGATGAATTCAATTAAGATTTTCTTAGATACCCCTGCCCGGTTTCTTTAACCGCGTGCTAAAGCATTACGGGGAGAAGAATGACACACACTGTCTCCATTCCCCAACGCTAGGAGACTACACAATATCACATAACAGAATTCTGTGTCGTAAGTACCGCAGCACCGAGGAAGAGTCGAACAGCTGAATACTTAGAACTAACTCAAAACTCAAAGTAGGAATCGAGCGCCGGACGGTCTCCCGCTCTTGCCTACAAACACCCCTCGGCCAAGCTGGTCCTCCAGCGCAGATCAAGCTACATGAAGTTTCCCTCCGGTTTGTTTACTGCCTGCTTGTTCTCCCACCCCTGCACCCTGACCTTGTGTCTGGAGGAAACCTGAATCTTAGTTGTGCCGAGAAACCGATCTCTTTTGCCTGCTATTTTACCCAAATCTCATGCCATCTCACTCTAGATTGTATCAAACCCATGAATCCTTGTCCACTACCAAAGGACGCTTTCCCAAAGCATCTCGTTTTATCTTCCGCGAAAGTTATGAGTCTTGTACTGTACACCACCATGATAGGGCCCCTTATCCGAAACTTAAGGCGATGGCGCTGCTCTTCGGAGAAGTTTCTAGAAGTTTGACAGGTGGAGGGATTGGTTTGGTAGATAGGGCGGTTCTAGAGCCATCGCTTCTGAGTAAGAAGATGGGTTTAGTTGTACCGCTACGGCAGAGGTCTGTCGTGCCCATGTCGCGGCTTGTAGGGGAAGAGATCCCGCAAGAAGGATAAATGCTTCTCGTGCCCGAGATCTTGCGCCGTAATATAGGAACGCTTGGAGCGCGGTTAAGCTATTATTTCGGCGTACAGATATGGTCACTCTTTCCCGGACGTCCAAGATGTGTCCCTGGTAGCTCCAAGCTCTCTTGCCTGTTTTGAAAGCAGTCGGCTTGAGGTGTAGGACAAAGAAGGGGTACCTAAAAGAAGTTCTGTGGTTGAGATGCAGCGCCTCTGCTGCTGCTCCTACCGTCTTCCTTCGCTCGCGCGTATAGCGGCTTGAGGCGCTCTAGATAGATGGTGTGTTGGGAGCTTCTGAAGATTCTTGTGTTAGCGCGGGATGGAAGGAAATTGATATGGGATTCATCTCCCCGAGGACTGAAGGCGTAGTTCGCCTTCTGTATGGTGTATCAATGGCGCCAATTGGACTCCCTTACAGAGGCCTCCGCATAATGACTGGCGTTGGCGTGGTCTGGTTGCTCGGCCCCTGCACTGCTCCTCTAGTGGAGCTGTCCCGGCGGTTGTAACCACGTGACGGGCTCCCTTCACTTTTGCATCTCCCGACGTACAGCTCCTCAGACAGATCCATCGCACCCTTGGCAATCATCTCGTAGATCCCTGGCCCATTCCCACCACCATCTCCAATGTCTCTAGTAATTTCCCACTCCCATTACAAAGCTCTCCGCCCCTTGCTCTTGCGCTGGGTTTCTGAGTGTCAGAAAGAGGCTCTGCAGATAACAAGCAGCTCCTAGCAATAACACCTTTCAAACCCTCTACCTCTAATTCCCTCTTCAGGTCCTCGCCGCCAAATCAGAGAGCTCGAGCAAGTAGCTCTCAGCTGTCCACACCGCCTCTGCCTCCTAAGGTATATATATACCTGCTACCCACCAAGTACCTCTTGGCTCTCTCCCTCCTCTGCCCCATTCCACCCCAACAATAGCAACAACAGCGCGTCTCTCACAGATCGTAGCTTCTCATCATACCCTTCCTCTGGTATATCTTCGCGATGTCTTGCAACAGCAACTTTTGCCTCACCAGCGGCCAGGCTAATTGGATTAGGGGGAGCGACAACATTCCTGCTCCAATTGGCTTCCTCGGCGACAAGAGTATGCCGACGTACACTGACAGCAGCGCCGCGCCATCTTCCAATAGCGTTGAGCGGAACATTGGCTTTCCCCTCAATAATAGCATGATGGCGGCTGACAACAACGTCCTCGCCACCAAGCTGGAGCTCTTTGACGAGCACCTTAGTGCTATCTTGAGCGCTGCAGATTATTATGCGTCTACGTCTTCCATGACGTTCCCTAAGTTTCCGATTCCTGGCGTCGACGACCGCAATGGACGCGCTTCTAGCACTGTGCCTTTGACTTCGCCGCCCCCCAGAAACGTACCGGGACCCTTGACTGGCCTCAGCCTTTTTGATGATATGATGTCGATGCAGCTTGACAACGCCCCAAGCAACTCCGGTACCGCTATGTATGAGAACCCTTTCAAAGATGGCTCCCTCCCTCCCACTCCAGCTACTCCTGAAAACCCTTTCTCGGATAAGTTCCAAATTCCCGAGAGCCCACCAGTAACTCCACCGGACCAGAGGACCTCTGAAATCACAACTCCCCCTGGCATTCTTTTCACGAATTCCTACGTAGTTGTTCCCGACGGTTGGGCTACCGGCACTTCGCCATGCACTCGCCGTTTCGAGGTATCCCCAACTCCTATGGGCCCACTCGGGATGGGTCGTGAAGACCTCTCGATCCCTAATGATTCTCCCGTCATCACGGTAGACGGGAACGGGTATGGACATTGCAATGATGTCGGCCTCGATGGTATGAGAGGTGACTATGTTCCGGTTGACGACAGCGCCGACAGCGACTACCACGACGGGTCCCCGGAGAAGAAGAACAAGAAGAAGAAAGCCGGCAAGACTGGTAAGAGTATTGGCAAGGCAAAGGCAAAGGGTAAGGCGAGGGCGAAGGTGATGTACACACCTTTGACCGTAACAAAGCCAGCTCGAAAGCGGAAGAAAGCTAGAGACTGGAGCGAGAATAAAACTCCCAAGAAACAGCAGGTTGATGAGAAGAGGGTCCTAGGTTCTGGGGGCGGGCCTATTTCTACCGTCAACAAGTTTAGGGTTGCGATTCAGCCTACTCTTCCGTCTCCCACCTTTCATCCCCTTTCCGGTGGATTCTTTCATGGAGATCTCGGTGGTGGAAGCAATATACAAGTCCAAGAGTTCCGCCCCTCGACATCTAGTGCCCCAGGTACTCCAAAACCCCAGTCCCAAGAGTTCTGTAGTCGCTTCAGCGGCCCAGGTCAGCAAGCTAGTTCTTCAACCCCCAATGTTCTCAGCTCACAACAACTCCAGTTCGAAACTTTTAATAGTCATCTCAACGATCTGGGTCAAAAGTCCAGTTCCCCGTCTTTGAATATTATAGGTTCCCAGCAGATTCCTTTCCAAGAGTTCAGAGCGTCTATCACCGATCCAGTTCAGCCGTCTAGTTCCTTATCTTTCAACATTTATGACCTAGATCGTCGGCAATTTTCTTTTCAAGAGTTCGGTACTTCCAGCGAAAATCCAGTTCATCCGTCTAATCTCTCGCCTTTCAATATATATGACCCAGATCATCAACAATATCCTTTCAGTGATCCTATCGACGATGCAGTCCAGCAATCCAGTTCTTCCTCTTTCAATGGCCCGGATCGTCACCAGTTTTCTTTCAGAGAGTTCGGTACTCTCAGCAACGATCAAGCTCAGCAATACAACTCCCCCTCTTTCAATGACCAACTTCCTTTCCAAGACTTCAGCAATTTCCTCAACGATGATCAAGTCCAGCGTTCCAATTCAAATTCCCCCTCTTTCGTCTCTCCAGAACGTCAAGCTTGGTCTTTTCAAGAGTGGCATCCTTCCACTAATGATGAAGCCCACCAGTCTCAGCCTAATTCTCTCGTGACTAATATATCCGGTGATTCCCCTTCTCGGTTTCAGTTTCAAGAATACGGCAATGGTTTCGGCGGTCCGGGCCAACAGGTTAGCTCCTCCGCTTCGGGATTTCAAGGTCAGGCCTTGTTCCAAGGAGTTGGGATGAATCCTTTCTCTGGGGACCAAGACAATGACTATGCAGGAGGATACGATCCGCCACCAACCTTCCATCACAGTGTACAACAGAAAATGAGCATGGGCTCAAGCAACACCTCCTTTCCCCTACCACCACTGAATGCCTATCAGCAAGCCACCGGCTCCATCAAGCCCTCTGGTAGCCAAGGAATCCGAGATGAGCAAGCCACCGGCGATGTCTGGGATAGCGATTGGGAAGACGCCGAGTCAAATTCCACGTCCGAGTATACTGAAACCCCACCCTCGAAGCCTTCTAAGACCTCAACGAAGCCGAAGTCCATCACCTCCACGCCGAAAAAGATCCCGAACCGCAAATCCCGCGCTCCCCGCGAGAAGTTGCTCAACTGGAAAGACTCCGACAACTACGAAATGCTGCTCCTCGGCATAGTTGGTGCCTGTGGCGAGCACAACATCCGCATCCCGTTTGCCGCGGCGGCGGAGTTCGCCGGCTTCAACAAGAGCCGAAAGAAGCTGTGCAGCTCGGGAATGATGCAGCAGGCGCTGATCAAGTTAAAGGAACGAAAAGTCAGTCAGGGGAAGCGGCTACGGAGCCTTCATATGAGCTGGACCAAGAAGGCGGACGCCGGGTTGCAGCGGCCGGCAAGCCGCGACGCCGGCACCCAGGCCTTAGTGGTAAGTCGGAGGATTGGGAGTTAGGGGGTATTAGGGGAGGAGGGAGGAGGGAGAAAAGGGAGGGGCGGAGACGGGGGCGAAGTTAGGGAGAAGTTCGACATGAGATTCTGCAGCACTGCTACAGCAGGACCACCCTAGCAATGAATCGTGTGCAACTGTACCCTGCGTCATATCTCAGTAAGCGTAGTCTAGGTAACATAACAGAACAGTTATAGTACCGTGGGATGCTTGCTAGAATTCACCTTTCATAAAGGGGATTCAGACTTCCTGCTATGCGAAGTAGCTCGGAGGTTGCAGTTCTCGACTCCAGTTTGAAAAAAATGCTGACAAGTGTGTTAGGAAAATATGCTGTAAATCCCTCTACTTATGTTAGAGCTCCGCAGTGATAATTTGGGTACCATCACAGAACAGGGATAGTACTATAAGATCCTTGCTAGAATTCATCCTTCGTACAGTGAATTAGACTTCCTGTTATGGGCAAGCAGCCCTCAAGTACGTGGTTCCTAACTTCTAGTCTTAGAGTAATGCTGATGAATGTACTAGGTAAATATGTAGTGTGTACCTGCACTAGGGTCAAAGCTCTGCAACGGTAGCTTAGGTACCATTCCCGAACAGGCATGGCGATTTAAGATGCTTGCTAGAATTTATCGTTTATACAAGGTGTTTAGGGTTCCTTCCATGTATCAGCCTTCCTAGGTATGCGTTTACCATCTCTAGTTCTTACAGGAGTGCTAGCGTCTATCTTGTTGCAAGGCAACTATGTGTTCTGAACATTCTCAAAATACCTTGTCGGTGGTTTGAGTGGCATTATATATTAAGCAAGGGCCTATTCGACCCTCGCTAGAATTCGCCGTTAGAATAGTGAAGTCAGACTTCCCACCATGGATCAGCATTCTAAGGTATGAGTCTATTTAGTTCACTCACAACTGCGTATACCCGAAGCCCTACAACGCTTCGACGATGCCTTCGTTATTGTTATGGAATACTGAATTGTCTGTAAGATTGTTGATGGAATTCACCGTGGATGCAGGAGCGTTAGGGTTTCCCTCAACGGTTAGCATAATTCTTAGACATATCCTTATTCCTTGCGGTTCCGAAGTCAATGCTTACACTCGTGAATATTCCATCTAGGAGCAGCACGAATCCACCGTAGAGGTGGTCTAGTTGACGTTACGGGACAGGCAATGCACCACAAGATCCTTCCTGGAACGAGTTAGAGATTGGTGACAATTAGACTTTCTACTGTAAATATAGCGTGATTCTACGATATGTACTCATTGGCCTGAGCTCTTACAGCGATGCTAACATTTGTGCTATGATGCAGCGAAAATTCCAGGCACTCCACGGCCGTCGACGGAACGTTGTAGAATAGATAAGGTGCGACCTGGCCCTTGCCGCAATTCGCCCTTCATAAAGGGAGGCCCGGCTGCCTGCTAGGTATTAGTATAAAACCTAGCTATGCGAACACTCACGGTGCATCATGACATGATGAAATAAAGTCGAGTAACATACTTTTACGGTGGTATGAGTGACGTTGCAGAACAGACGACGGGTTCCGCGTTCCTTACTGGGGTGCGCCATCGATACAGGGGAGCCAGCCTTCCTGTCGCGAATTAATGCCGTTTCCAGGCGTGGAAAGCTGACAGGGCATCATTCCATATAAGAGTGCGGTCCCCGACCATCTTCCTACTCGCATTCGATAGTTGTACAACACTATTGCTAAAAAGAAGCATCCGACCTGGCCACCATCGGGCCTTGTCGAACACCAAAGACAAAAGCACAAGGTAGAAGCGCAGGAATGGCTTAGAAAGACTGGGTATTTCAGTCTGCCTAGTCAGCTACGGGGGTGAGCTTAGGGGAGCCGGAGAAATGCGTAATAAAGTTTGGATGGGTGGAGAACGCGATACGCAAAGAGAAGATTAAAGAGTATCTCAAGGACAAAGCAAATCCTAAATGGGAACTGGGAAATCAATGAATGTTAAGGGAGGGCTACCACGGTCACCATAGATGTGATCGAGGTCAAGGGATGGGTCTTGGCGCCTTTGGAGGCATGGGCTAAGTAGGCGACATAGCTATCATGGGGGGTGATGGTGGTATTCCAAGTGGATGAGGCTAAAGGCTGTTTGGAGGACCGCAAGACGGAGGATTTGGAGGGGTACAAGGTGGAGGACTCGGAGAAGGCTTGAACACAGGAGTTTCCGGGTCTGTCTATCGAGGGCAAGGAGGACTCGGCGGGGGATTCAACGTGCATGCTTGGTTGGGTGGATTCGACCAAAGTGGAAGCCAAAGTTTTGGGCAGCAAGTGCAGCCGGCGGTCGACCACGACCCTCTGGTATGATGGAACCAAGGCGGCAACCAAGGTGGTGCCCAAGAACAGTGTTCCCCAGGGAGATCCATTCACACTAGAACCCCCCAAAATTGCGCTTCAGGGTAACCCGCTCGCAGGCAGGGGCCATCTCGACTTTGCGGTCCCTCAACAACCTAACCCGAACCCCGCGCACGCCCCGACAGGAGTTGCCAGCACGTACAACCCCGCCTTTACTGCCTCCTCTTTCAGCGCTAGTGGCAAGGAGGAATTGAGCTTCCAAGACAACAGTCCAAAGAATGTCGGTCTAAAAAGTGTCGGCTCACGACTTCCAATGGAGGCACAATGCTGGAAGACAACCCGCGTTGCCGGTATCTCGTCGAGCAGCCCCTTCGTAAAGAGTTCGAGGCTCGATTGCGAAAAAGCGGCAATAGCTGGCTGCTGCCAGGAGCTTCTCTCGGACCAGGTGAGAAAGAGGAGTCGTGCTCCACCTACTGAACGGGAAGCCGGACTAATATCTCAGCTTCATACTACACAATCATCCCGCAGTAGTTACACTAGCGAAAGAAGCCATGAATAAAGCAAGAGACACACGTAGTCAGAATCCTGGAGATGTTAAATAGAAATTGTCCGAGCAATGCAGGTGTCTAAGGTTTCGACGGAGCTGTGGGACAGTTCTTGGGGTAAGGCATACTTTTTGCAGGAGAATGGCTGCACCCTACGTTGTACGTTGGAGGTGGGGACACTGTAGGGGAGGGAGTGGCAATTGGCACGGGAGAAAGTAAGTTCAAAGGAAGTTACTTTATACTTGCAGTGAAGACCTGAGGACTACACAAGTAGATAACTTACGGTAATTGATTCATTTCAAGTGAAAAGGTCTAGGAAGCTTTAGAAGGTCTAGAACAGTTCAAGTAAAATAACAGAATAGGCCCCAGAAGGACTACAACGCTGAGGTAGACTCTCCTCTCATCCGGTAAGGGGAGCATTCTTATGACGAGGTTTTGTTTACAACTCACATGTACATGAAGCGTCTATTTCCGATCCCAACCACCAACAACTTCGATATACTCCCTCACGCGTTACACACAGGCAACGTAGTCTGCACAATGTATGTCAGGGGCAACATGGGAGTTGCGTGGATACAGCTAAGGTTGAAAGTTGAGTGGATCACGATAGAGCATGATTAACTGAAAGAAGATCAATATGACATGCTAAAGATGCAATCACTACTATGAATAATAGAGATGGTGATATTCAACGATTTGGTGGTAGTGGTGGCGGATAGGTGTGGGCGGTGAAGAGTGAGGCGATGTCCAGGCTCAACCGAGGTCATCTGTGACAGGGGTCCACCAACGCCAAGATATTCGAGATCTTTCCGAGCAATTTTTTTAGGAGCAGAGAGACCATCGCCGATATTCGTCCCCAATTCCTCCCACCATCACCAGCCATCTCTTGTTCTTCCCCTTGTGCATTCTACTGGAGTCTAGGAGCACGGCCTGAGCCTTGGAACTTCCCTGTCTACATCTCTCTTCCATCACAATGCAGCGAATTTTGACTTCAAGAGCGCGGTCCTCCGTCCTCAACTCGAGCTCTAAGCTCCGGGCTGCATCCAGCTTCAATCTCCAACAGCAGAGGTTCGCTCACAAGGTTCGTCTCCTAATGCATTATAGCATCACTTGACCATGACATTTCTTTTAAACAATCCCACTCGCTTATCTAACATGGTCCTAGGAACTTAAGTTTGGTGTGGAGGGACGAGCAGCGCTGCTCCAAGGCGTCGACACACTTGCGAAGGCCGTAGCAACAACACTGGGCCCCAAGGGCCGCAATGTCCTGATCGAGTCAAGCTATGGCTCCCCTAAGATTACTAAAGGTGCGTAGACTTCATGCCTGGGTTTGCTAGAGGCTACTTACAATAATCAGACGGTGTAACGGTCGCAAAAGCCATCACATTGAAGGACAAATTCGAGAACCTTGGAGCACGTCTCCTGCAGGATGTTGCATCAAAGACAAATGAGACTGCTGGTGACGGAACCACGACTGCTACCGTCCTCGCCCGCGCCATCTTCTCCGAGACGGTCAAGAACGTTGCTGCTGGGTGCAACCCCATGGACCTGAGGCGGGGAACGCAGGCTGCCGTCGACGCTGTTGTCGAATACCTCCAGGCAAACAAGAGGGACATCACCACCAGCGAGGAGATTTCTCAGGTTGCCACCATCTCTGCTAACGGCGACACACATATTGGCAAACTCCTGTCTAACGCTATGGAGAAGGTCGGCAAGGAGGGTGTCATCACTGTCAAGGAGGGCAAGACCATCGAGGATGAGCTCGAGATTACCGAGGGCATGAAATTCGACCGCGGATACATCTCCCCCTACTTCATTACCGACACCAAGTCCCAGAAGGTGGAGTTTGAGAAGCCTCTGATTCTTCTTTCTGAGAAGAAGATCTCTGCCGTCCAGGACATTGTCCCTGCCCTCGAAGCCTCGCAGCAACTCCGCCGACCTCTTGTCATCATCGCTGAGGATATCGACGGAGAAGCTCTCGCCGTCTGCATCCTAAACAAGCTTCGAGGCCAGCTCCAGGTTGCCGCCGTCAAAGCCCCCGGCTTCGGCGACAACAGGAAGTCCATCCTGGGCGATCTTGCCGTCCTCACCAACGGCACGGTCTTCACTGACGAGCTAGACATTAAGTTGGAAAAGGCTACTGCTGACATGCTCGGCTCAACCGGATCCATCACTATTACGAAGGAAGACACCGTCGTCCTCAACGGAGAGGGCAGCAAGGATGCCGTTGCCCAGCGATGCGAGCAGATTCGCGGCGTCATGAGCGACCCAACCACCTCCGAGTACGAGAAGGAGAAGCTTCAGGAGCGTCTTGCCAAACTCTCCGGCGGCGTTGCTGTTATCAAGGTCGGTGGTGCCTCCGAGGTCGAGGTTGGTGAGAAGAAGGACAGAATAGTGGACGCTCTTAACGCCACCCGCGCCGCCGTAGAGGAGGGTATCCTGCCTGGTGGTGGCACTGGTCTCCTCAAGGCTGCCGCCAACGCTTTGGACAAGGTCAAGCCCGCCAACTTCGACCAGCAACTCGGTGTTAGTATCGTCAAGAACGCCATCACCCGCCCAGCAAGAACCATTGTCGAGAATGCCGGCGCCGAAGGATCCGTCATTGTCGGAAAACTGATGGATGAGTTCGGCCAGGATTTCAACAAGGGATTCGACAGCGCCAAGGGCGAATACGTTGACATGATCGCAGCCGGTATCCTGGATCCATTCAAGGTTGTCCGCACTGCCCTTGTCGATGCCAGCGGTGTTGCATCGCTCCTCGGCACGACTGAGGTTGCGATCGTGGAAGCCCCAGAAGACAAGGCCGGCCCGCCACCAGGCATGGGTGGTATGGGCGGGATGGGGGGAATGGGAGGCATGGGTTTCTAAAAAGTAACAGCGTCACGACCCCACTAATGTCCTAATACCCTCCTCTCATAGTCGAGTCTTTCTCAGCGCTGGTTTTGTAAATGATATTGGTTGTTGGCACTCCACTCCTCTTCTCTCCTGTCTTCCTAACTCTCCTGCATCGTGCAAAGCGCGGCACCGTCTTGGGTGGTTTGAACTGTACAATATCACGTGTTTTTGGCATCTGAGAAAGACAAGATATAAAAGCAAGAAATTCAAAAAGTCAAATTCAAGCTTGACCAAGTGGCTGTGCATTGTGAAAGAATCATGCAAGGATAGGCTGCTGAATAAGGTTGGCGCGGTAACCCGACCCCACCAAAGAACAGGTCCAGAGGGCCAAAGACAATCAAATTCTGCCCCGCCGACGTTCAGCCTCATCAACATACACACTACACCTCTCCCGCGCTTCTGTCAACCGCAAATCCAGACCCAACAGGACATCCCAACCGCAGTCCCACTATTGATGTGAGTGACATCAACTTTTCGCAGGCAACAACAATGCAGCCAACGTCAAAACGCTCAAGCCACAGCCGCTGACGACGCTGACAGTCAACAGAGAACTGATAAAGCACTGCCTGCCCAGTCCTCTTTGTAACACCTCTCCCGACACACACAACACATCATGGTGAGTGCGCCGAGTGCATCTCTTATTGAATCGCGGTGCTAATGCTTGACTCTGTAGGCTCAATCCGGGTACGTACTTCTTTGATAGGCAAACGTGACCCACTGAAACAGCTGTCTGCGCGCTCAGGGAACACCGCCTCCCTTTCCACCTCCCAGAATGTAGCCACCTCCAATGCACACGCACTAACCATTGTCCCCAGTGTCTCTGTCAGCCCCGAATGCATCAGCACCTTCAACGAGCTGAAGCTCGGCAAAGAGCTGAAATACATAATTTACAAGATCAGCGACGACTGGAAAGAAATCGTCGTCGAGGAAGCGTCCAAAGACAGCGACTTCTCCGCCTTCCGTGAGAAGCTGCTGAACGCGAAGAGCAAGGACCGCCGCGGCAAGGAGGGCATCGGAGGCCGCTATGCTGTCTATGATGTTGAGTATGAGTTGGAGTCGGGGGATGGAAAACGCAGCAAGATTACCTTCATCTCTTGGTGCCCGGATGATGCGCCGCAATATGTGAGTTTACATTATATGATTGTCGTTGCCTAGTTCTAGATGGGCTGGGTGGGGTGTTAGCGGGAGCGGTCGTGATGCATAGCATGGGCTGATGCGACTCTAGCCCCGCATGATGTACTCATCCTCCAAGGAAGCCATCAAGCGCGCCCTCAACGGTCTGGCCGCCGATATCCAAGCCAACGACGCCGACGATATCGAGTTCGACAACATCATCTCGCGAGTCTCCAAAGGTCGCTAAATCCCCGCTTTCGCAAGGCTTACAATAACTCGGGTAAGAATACTGGATTAGGTGGCCAAGTGGCATGACGGAAAACTTGCTGGGGTGGTGGTTTTTCCTTTTTCTTATACATGCCTGCAAGGGAGTGGGACTCGTATCGGGCTTTGAGAGTCTGGTCGGAATTTTTGGGTGGAGTGTGCGGGGTGGTGATGCTAGTGAATCCCAGTCCTATTTGCATCGTCAGGATGTGTATGTTCTTGATGGGCGATAGAGAATGGGTAAAATTGTGACTTTTTCTGGTATGCGTTTAGTATCTTCGTTTGCTATGTGCACTGCAGCATTCCAGCCTCTACTTGTGCCTTTCCCACCACCAGGCTTCGCAAAGAAATCGAGCAGCCTCGTTGGTCAAACCATATCTTTACACTTACGAACGTAGGCTACACCAACTGCCGATCCTTCTCCCACGCACCCCTAAATACTCCAAGCAACCTGTCCGCTTCCTTCTCATCCCGTATCCTCTGCAGAACAAAGCCCCTCAAATCCCCCCAAAACTCCTCACTCTCGACGACGCTCTTCCCACTGGGTTCCTGCGCCGCCAGCCCCCTTCCCACTCCCAACCCCTTCTCCTCCTCCGTTGGCGGCGCCACAGCCGGCGGACTCGCAACCGGCGTTGCGCCACCCATCACCATGACCCCGAATTCCACGACACCTACATCCCCTGCGTCCGGGCCGATGACCTCAGCCACAGTCTTGGAATCCGGCACAGGTTTCTTTTTATAGAGCAGTTTGATCTTTGAGAGGGGCAAGGAGGTGGAGGTGCTATAGGCTTGCTTGAGGTCGTAGATGCTAGTCGTGGTAGGTGAGATGCTGGATAAGGGGACGGTTGGAGAGGTTAGTTTCAGTGGTTTTAAGGTTATGGAAATTGTGAGTTGAGAGGTGGAGGTTGAGGCTGAGGCGTTGCTAGCAGTGGCGGTAGTGGGGTTGGGTTTTGGGCGCTGGGGGTGGGGAGGGTGCGGGAGGCGGGGCAGGACGAACTGGATTTTTGTTAGAAAACTGAGTTCGCGAGGCAGGGAAGGGGCGAGGGGAGGGGGCTTTACGGCAGGCTGGGCGGGATAGCTGCGTGGGTCGGCGATGTGGTCTGAGGACAGCTTTATGGGTCGCGAGTCCAGGGCACTGAGGTATTGTTTGCAGAATTGGAGTTCGGACATCTTGGGGCGAGGTTCTGTTTGCTTGCTGCTTGATTGAGTTGTATCTGGTAGGGCTGTGGTGTTGTTGTGTACGTTGGGGGGAGTGTAGTTGATATAGTTGAAGGAAGGAGACAATAAACTGAGCAAAGTCGGAACTTCCCTTGGCTCTATCCTAGCAAGTGGTGATGACGCTGTCCTGTTGCGGGTGGGACATGCATCGGAACTGGTTTCTCCGGCCTCCGAAGGCGGTGAGGCAACGCCAAGCCCTTGTCGAAAATTATTCTCCAAATTCCCTGCGTTGATGCCCAGAGCTTCGCGAAGGTTTCAATTTCCATCTCACTTTGGTCCCTCGTCCCCACCTATAGAGTGTACGATTTTAAAATGGGTCAAGGTCGCCGCATGAAGAAGCAGGGCATTCCGCCTCCATTGGACGAATCGCTCGTCACCAGAAAACGAAAAGATGCACCTGCAGCTCAGGTTGAAGAGCGGGGGAAGAAGAGGAGGACCGACACTAAGGGGTCGAAAAAAGGTCCTGCGGTCAATGGAGGTTCAGGAAAGAGAAAGGCAAAGCCTGTGAAGAAAGTTACCCTGCCCCCTGTCTCCGACGACGAAATCGAGGATGTGTCCGACAGCGCTGACGGAATCAACGACCTCGATGTCATGGAAGATGGTCTTGAAGGTGTTAATGTAACGGGTCTAGATGCTTTAGGGAGTGCGTCGGAGTCGGAAGACCTAGACGATGATGAATTTCCGGATTCAGGGTCGGACGTTGTGGATTCGGATACGGAGGTTAGGAAAGCGGGAATGTGGTCGGAAGACGAGGATGATAGTGATATTGAGGAGAAGCTTACTGCGGCGAACATCGAGGGTCTGTCGAGGAAGTTGGACATGCGAAAGGCGATTGAAGACGCAGAGGCACAGGCGGAGTTGGAAGAGGCAGCAATACAGACAAATATTGCAGGGGACAAACCGAAAGTTCTTGAAGATGAGGATGGGGAAGGAAGGCCAATATCAAATCTGCAGGCTCAGGATCTGCAGCTGCTAAGAACGAGGCTTACGGATACGGTTCGAGTTCTTGATGATTTCAAAAATTTGGCCGAAGATGGCAGGTCAAGAGCAGAGTATACGGCACAGATGTTGAAGGATATATGTGCGTATTATGGGTACTCAGAATTCTTGGCCGAGAAGCTGCTTAACCTCTTTCCTGCCCGCGAAGCTTTTGCTTTCTTCGAAGCAAACGAAACACCTCGACCCGTCGTCATCCGCACAAACACGCTTCGAACCCACCGAAGAGAGCTAGCGCAAACGCTCATCAACCGGGGCGTACAGCTAGAGCCTATAGGTAAATGGTCTAAGGTCGGACTGCAGGTCTTTGAGTCGCAAGTCCCTCTTGGTGCTACTCCTGAATACCTCGCCGGCCACTATATCCTCCAAGCAGCATCTTCCTTCCTTCCTGTCATGGCTCTCGCGCCACAGGAGAACGAACGTGTTCTCGATATGGCGGCCGCCCCCGGCGGTAAAACAACGCACATCGCGGCATTGATGAAAAACACTGGTTGTATCTTTGCTAACGATAGCAACAAACAACGTGCTAAAGGTCTCATCGGTAACATTCATCGTCTTGGCGTCAGGAACACCATCGTTTGCAACTATTCTGCGCTCGATTTTCCAAAAGTCATTGGAGGTTTCGATAGAGTATTGTTGGACGCACCCTGCTCCGGTACAGGTGTCATTGCAAAAGATGCCAGCGTTAAGACGAACAAGACCGAAGCCGACTTTATGAGACTTCCTCACCTGCAGAAACAATTGATCCTCGCCGCCATTGACTCGGTTGATCACTCGAGCAAGACTGGTGGATACATTGTCTACTCGACTTGTTCCGTCACAGTCGAGGAGAATGAGCAAGTTGTCCAATACGCTCTGAACAAACGCCCAAATATCAGACTCGTCGAAACGGGCCTCACATTTGGAAAAGAAGGATTCACCAGGTTCATGGGCAAAATATTCCATCCTTCAATGAAGTTGACTAGAAGATATTATCCTCACGCCTTCAATGTTGATGGTTTCTTCGTCGCCAAGTTTAAGAAAATTGCCCTCACACCTCTGAATGCTGTTGGTGCAAATGCTGCGCCTTCGTCCAATGGCAAAGTACCGGCCGAGAAGCAAGCTCCAGACGAGTACGTAGACAAGACCCCAATTACTGAAGATGGAGATAATGAAGACTCCGACTTTGGAGGCTGGGACGAGGAGGAAGACAAGAAATACATGGAGCGAGCCCAACGTGCGCAGATGCGAAGAAAGGGCAAGAATCCGAGGGCGATGCTTGGGAAGGCGAAGGCGAAGGCCAAGGAGGGTCAAAATGGAGTCCAAAAGAACAATAGGAAAGAAAGAAAGTAAATGGAGTGATATAGTGGAGATGGTGGATCTGAAGCCAAGAACGTGGACCCAAATACCTCGATGTGTAGGGGATGCCAAGCCAAATTAGTGTGAGCGGGATAGCAGGCGCGGCGGAGTTGAGTCCCAGCTGAGGGAGAAGATGAAAGAGGTCCACGTAAAGCGTGCACAGCCAACTCGCGTATATCCTAGCTCAAAATTCCTTGGGAGGTCCGTATGAAAATGTACAGTTTTTACTCCACATAGGTCTAGCTTGGCCTGAGGTCTCCGGGAATCAAACATCCTGGATTTATCTCTGGTGGTGCCCTAAGAATGGTGGACCGGGTATCTGGGATTCCAGACTACTGGCCTCAAATCTGATTTGCTTTTACATCCTAGACGCACGCACGCACGCACGCACGCACGCGCGAACGGTGTATATGTGGATCACGTGTGACCGTTGGGTCCCCTCCTTTGAACTCAAGGAGTGTTGCACAACTTCTCGGCTGAGAATCAAGCAGCATCTCGACGACATCCTGCATACCACGTCCTCTCGCCGACTGTTCAATTCCATCCCTCCTATGTACATTCACATCTCAAGCTCACAAAAGAGTATGCGAGATAGGGATTTTTGCTCTGGAGGAGTTGTTCAGAATGACCCCTTGGCCTTTTCATACTCAACTCCAAGGCGATCTTTGGCTCACCTTCCTGATCGAACTAAGATCGGTGCACGCTGGCGGAGAAGACTTGTCGTTGAAATTACCAATGGTCAGTGTTGAGAAGCCGATCATGGTGTGCTGGCGCTATGACGAACTACGCCAGAATCTTTCTGACACAGGCATGAATCAGATCTACCCACTTACATCGCATGGTCGGCACATGGCCAAGAATCCTTGAACAAAACATGTGACGATACTGACATGTTCGAGTCCCCCTCAAAGCTTGTAAATTCCCCACTTGTTGCCGATAATCCTGAGGGTTGCTGCAACGCAACAAGCACGCCGAGTCGAGCTGTCGCTCGTCTTGCCATGGTTTCCTGGACAAGATGTGCTTGGCCGGGATGCCTCCTAACGACTTCCGACATCAAGGGAACAGGTCAGGGTAATGGGGTCGCAAAGTGGCTGGGTGGAAGCTCCCTACCAAACCTTGATTCTTCAGACGGAAGGTGTATTTGCAGGCATCACTCCATAATACTACTTTTCCCGCTTTTCTCCACTGTCAGCTCGTATACCATTTCAGCGTTTTCTGTTCATTTCATCTCCCTCCTGCCTCATGTGTGCTCCCGCCGTCTCATCCTGTTGAAAGAATTTTCTTCTGCAAATCACAATGCGACGTTGAGGATATTCCTTGGCTGACGTCTGCAATATCCCAGAAAAGTGTCCGTGCAATTCCTTAAGGAGTAAGGCTTCGCTTGGCCGACTTTGATCTCCTGCCTGCTTGGACAACACCCGGCCTTGTTCTTTGTGACCAGCCGACGACAATAGTCTCTATTGGTCACCCGGGGCACATCCTGGCGCAATTCCCGCCGTTGCAGCATAATGCGGAGGGTGCCGCCCACGTAGGTGGAGTCACGTTCACAAGAGTCTTGGCATCTGGGGAATCGGCCGACCGAGACGCCTTTGCCATTTCCCTTTACTCTATTCGAGGATTAGTCCGGTCAGCGCGTCATTAAGTGGTTTGCGTTGTCGCCCGGACTGGTGCTGTTGAGCACGCGTATGAAAGAATTCACGATGCGCTAGCAGATAATACCCAGGATTGGTAGAGTTGGCAACCCTGCGGGGCGTCTTGGGTTTCTCCAGATAAAGAGCCGATGACGCTTCACGAGGGAAACATTCGCACGCGTCTCCTCCTCGATCCCTTCAGCACCTTTTTCGATCCAATTAGCAATAGGACTCATATATCATGCCTGGTAGATTCGCGTTGAAGAAGCCTGAACATGTCCCTGGCAAGGCATGGTAAGTTGTCCATCGCTCCCCTTCTTAGCCTTCATAGCTCATAGCCTGTAGGCCAGCTATTCTCATTGGCCTTTTCGTAGCCTTTGGGGGCGTCTTGTTCGGGTGAGTATCCTTCAACTCCTCTAGCTTCAAGCGCATCACTCACATTAACAGATATGACACCGGCACAATTTCCGGAATCCTGGCAATGCCTTACTGGCTCCGCGAATTCTCAACTGAAGCAGACGGCGAACTCACTGGATCTCAGGATGCCCTCATTGTCTCCATCCTCTCTGCCGGCACTTTCTTCGGCGCGCTCTTGGCTTCACCTTTTGGAGACTTGATGGGTCGCAGGCTTGGCCTGATGACCGCTACTGGCATAGTCTTCAACTTCGGTGTTATCCTACAGACGGCCTCCACCTCCCAACCCCTGTTTATTGCGGGCCGATTCTTTGCGGGCCTCGGTGTCGGTCTGGTTTCGGCACTTAGTAAGTCCTCCAATGCGTCGTTACCGGAGTTCTCCCGTCTAGGACTCCCTGTGCAAGTAAGTTTGTTGTTGCGAATCACGCGACTGACAAATTCTAGTCCCCATGTATCAATCCGAAACCGCGCCAAAATGGATTCGAGGCACCATTGTTGGAGCATACCAGCTTGCTATTACTATTGGTCTCTTCTTGGCTGCCATTGTTAACAATTCCACGAAAGACCGTATGGATACAGGGTCGTACCGCATTCCGATATCGATCCAATTCCTCTGGTCCTTAATCCTTGTCATTGGGTAAGGTTGTCTACGCTTAGCCATTTGCATCAAGCTAATTCATCCAGTCTCATCTTCCTTCCGGAAACGCCTCGCTACCTCATCAAGATGGACAAATACGACAAAGCAGCAATTTCTCTCGGCCAACTTCGCCGACTCCCGGTAGACCATCCCGCTGTTCTCGAGGAGTTGAACGAAGTCCAGGCGAACCATCTCTATGAGATGAGTCTTGGCAAGGCTTCCTATATGGAGTGCATCAAGGGGACCGTCGGCAAGCGTCTGTTGACTGGATGTCTCCTGCAGGCTCTGCAACAGCTTACTGGAGTCAACTTCATCTGTACATAAACGCTCTGAACAATCTGGAAGGCTTATTACTAACGATGCAATGCAGTCTACTACGGAACCCAATACTTCAAAAACGCCGGTTTCCAAAACCCCTTCACTATCCAAGTTATCACCAATGCCATTAACGTCGCCTCCACGTTCCCGGGTCTCTACATGGTCGAAAGGCTTGGCCGCCGCAACCTCCTCCTCATGGGCGCCATTGGCATGTGTGTATGTCAATATATTGTCGCCATCACTGGGACCGTTGCCGGCACGGCCGACCTTGGTGCCCAACGTGCAGCCATTGCCTTCGTGTGTATCTATATTTTCTTCTTCGCCAGTTCCTGGGGCCCTGTAGCCTGGGTTGTGACGGGAGAATTGTTCCCATTGAAAGTCCGTGCAAAATGTCTTTCCATGACAACCGCTAGCAATTGGCTGCTTAATTGGGCTATTGCATATTCTACGCCTTATATGGTCGACCAAGATCATGCGAACCTGCAGTCCAAGGTGTTTTTCGTATGGGGTTCTTTCTGCTTTGTTTGCATCGCTTTTGTGTAAGTCCCTTTCCCCCTTCCCTTCCCTTCCCTTCCCCTACCCTCCCACCCCTCACTATTCTCCCTCCCTCCCCCCTCTAGATCACCCCTCTAACAAAAAAATTCGCAGCTGGTTTATGATCTACGAAACCAAGGGGCTTTCCCTCGAACAAGTGGATGAGCTCTACGGCATAGTCAGTAAGGCTTGGAAGTCTAAGGACTTCCGCCCTGCGCTGAATTTTGCGGATGTGGATGCAGATACGCATAGGGGTATGTCGTTGGCGGATATTGCGGCGAATCAGGAGAGGAAGAGGAGTGTGCAGCATGACGCTGAAGTCCCGATTACGAGCGAGAAGGTTTAGGTTAGGCTAAGGGAAAATGGTGAAGGTATGGGGGTAGAGATAGGAATGGAGAAAGGAAAGAGGAGGGTGTATAGATTGGATGCCGAGTCGGCGGCTAGGGATTGGTGATTCAGGGTTATAGAGAGGGGTTCATTTACCCACTCCGTAGTTGTGAGTCAATTCTTAATACCAAAACTTTAAGTTATAATGGGATCATATTCAGCTCGAAGGCCGAGTACGATCGAGCGGAATGTGGGCCTATCATAGTCATCACCGCTATTTGAACACTCCAATTTTGAGATTATTTTGGTTTGCATATAACAATCGAATTTTAGTTCCCATCGAAGCCTGTATGATATTTGAAGGTGAGAAGATCGTATGTTTTGATAATTTTAAATTTCATTTCAAACAAATATGGATGTATGTCGCAAGATGAACATACCAAAACGCTCCTTGAAAAATACAACGTAGAAAGCCATGCTTTCGAATCAATGGACTTTCCTTTCATAGCCCCGCCCCAAGGCACCAAGAAGTGCGCTTCTACCCACTCACCCCCTCATTCCCATACACAACCGAGCCCACCAATCCTCCCTCCTACGCCCTCTTCAATCCCCTCAACTTCTCTTCCACCGCCGCCCTCACATCAAACCCCTGCACCAAACTCCCCCTCCTCTTCCTCTCCTCGATCTCCCGCTTAACCTCCGCAACAATCTCATCAATCTCGGCTTCTGGATCCTCTGCAATCCCGAGTGTCGGCGCTCGTCTCACCCCCTCGCTACTTTCTCGTCTCAACAATGTCTGCCTCCGCTCCTTCTCCTGTTCCTCCCGCGCCACCTTCTCAATCACCGTACCGGTTGTATCGACATCTGTAGTCGCGGCTTTCATCCGCGCAGCCTGCTGCGCCGTGAGTTTCGCGCGGAATGGGAGGGAGCGGGAGAAAAGGACAAAGGAGGCCACGACGCCAATGAGGGTGTAGAAATAGACCCGTGCCCAGATTATCATAGTGGAGGTGAAAGAGAGGAGGATGAAGGGTGCGACAGTGAAGGCAAAGGCAGTCTGCGTTAAGAAGATGGTGATAAGGTCGTAGTAGCGTTTTGTAGGGAGGGGAGTGGGTGTGGTGCTGGAGGGGGTCAGGAAGAGCGGGCGGATTAGCCGGCGGCCGTCTAGGGGATCGTTAGTTGGGTTGGAAGATGGTGGGGGAAGGGGAGGGGAGGACTTACTCTTTGCGATAGTTTGGAGTAGGGAAGCTAGGACAAATGCGAGATAGTACCCTGGATAGAAACCATGCCAGAATGCGCTGGTGACGAACGTCGCTAATGTAGCTCTAAATCCAGGCTTCTTCCCCTTGGGAGTAACGCGGAGGTACATATAATTCCGCAGCCATAAATTTGTGTTGATGTTCCAAGAGCCTAAAAATGCTCTGGTATTTTGCGCTAATTCAATCTCAAGAGGTCGAATGTTTTGAAGTCGGTCCCAGTTCGCGCGTCCAGTCTTGGCGTCAATGCCATTGTAGCCGATTCCAGAGAGGATACAGGCTCCTTCAGTTAGTGTCCATACGCCGTAGTACTTCATGCGGGTGGTGACTCCAAGCATGTATAAGATGAACACGCGGCGAGGAAAATAGTAGGTCATATACTGGTCACTAAGCAGTCTTTCGGTATTATACCAACTGGAGAACTTTAAGAAAGCAATAACCCAAATGGTGCCGTACACTGCTTTAAAGGTGGCAGGTGTACCGCTTCGAGGGATCTTGCGCTTCTTCCGGGTTGGCGGTGCTTTCGAGGGGTCGGTGCCTGGAGGAAGTTGGAACATCGTTGTGCTGATGTAGCGGCTGTAGTCGCAGTAATCAAAGGCGGGGCCGGCCATGAGAGCAGGGAAAAAGAAAACGTAGCCGGCGTAGTCGAGGAGGTTGGGCAATTCCTTGATCATATGCTCCTTTTGGAATTCTGAGAGCTCGGATTTGGGGAGGCGGCCGTCTTGGACGTTCCAGCAGAATGCTGTGAGCTGGGGCCTATCAGTCGTTGGCAGGGGAATGGAAACGGTGAGTACAATACCTTCATAATCAAGACCATTTGCGCTCCTGAGAGGAATTCTTAGCAACATCATATATGCAAAGGCGGCATGGCAGACGAACCCGTGATATCCACTGAAGAGGGGTCATCAACCATCATCCGGAAAATATGGTTGATTGACATATGCCCCATTAGGAACACGAATCCTATCCAAGGCATATACGGGGAGTTGATCTTTGAAGCGATTAGATATGCACCTCCTGCACTAATAATCAGGGTCCGAAGGCCAGTCCAGAGATCGAAAAGGCCAACGAGGTAGAAGAGAGATATGCTGTTCTGTCAATACTTGCGAGAATACCACGAAACTCGAGATAACCCACGCTATTATGAAGAGGTTCTTCTGCCATGGATTCTTGTCCGGTATACGCTTCAACACAGCAGCAAGTGGGTATGACAGGTAAAATGAGAACACCAGCTTGACTGTGCAAATTTAGCCACAAAAAGGAAAATCAAAGCATGAGAGAAATACATACGCTCATCTGCAGATGCGCCTATGGAACTGCCCACGTAGGCGAATGCTGCATCAAACCGTTAGCATGCACCGACCTTAAACTACATTCTCTGGACACTTGCGAGTGTTGATGTAGGGAATCATCCTGACAGATCGGAAGCTAATGCAGGATCGATGCAAGGAAGCAACCGAAGGTTGAGAGAGAGGAAAAGCAGGAAGGGTCGCGACAAAGGTTTATTTAACAAGCTCCCTCATTTTAAGACATAAAGTGCTGGGTGTGCTTGGTGTGCTTGGATGTGAATGTTCCTGGATGGGGGGGGTGCAAGCTCTATAGACCTGTGACGTCGGCCACATGGACGCTGGAGGGACTGGGGCTAAGCTCATGTTAGCCTAGCGCGTTAAGCCCAAACGCGTGGGCGGTGATGCAGCTCTCACTGGCAGAATTTCAGCACCCCACGGACTACGGCTCACGGTTACCTCTATATTATGCTCGTAGTGTAGGACTACCGAAGCTCACAACAATGAGCACAGTATACAACCTCGAACCGCAACCTACCGCGAAAGTCCTCCTCCAAACCACCTCGGGCGACCTCGAACTTGAACTCTTCGCGACACAAACGCCCGTCACCTCGCGAAACTTCCTACAGCTATGCCTCGATGGGTACTACGACAATACCGTCTTTCACCGCTTGGTGAAGGGCTTCATCATCCAAGGTGGTGATCCTACAGGGACGGGTCAGGGAGGGGAGAGCAGCTACGATGGCGACCCTTTCGCCGACGAGTTCCACAGCCGGCTAAAGTTCAACCGGAGAGGCCTACTAGGCATGGCAAATACGGGACAGAAGGACGACAATGGGAGCCAGTTTTTCTTCACGCTTGGCAACACGCCAGAGCTGACGGGGAAAAACACCTTGTTTGGGCGGATAGCTGGAGACACTATCTATAACTTGATGAAGATGGCCGAGGCCGACATTGCCGACAACAGCGAGGATAGGCCATTGTACCCCACGAAGATTACGGGTGCAGAGATTATAATCAATCCATTCGAGGACATGGTGAAGAGGGTGCGGGTGGCGCAGAGGACACAACCGGAAGCGAAGAAAGTAGTCAAGAAGCCAAAGCGGAAGGCTGGCAAGACATTGCTTAGTTTTGGGGGTGATGAGGGGGAGGAGGCAGCTCCTATTCCGAAGAAACCCAAGTACAACGCGCAGCTTGTTAGTGCGGGAGAAGAAGCACTTGCAGCTTCGAGGAAGACTGCTATGCCGAAGGCGCCAAGAGAGGAGAGAGCTATACCAATCCGAAAACCATCTCGAAACGAGCCCTCACGCTCACCACCTCCTAAACGAGCCCCTCAGCCCGTACGCGACCCTCCACCTCAAGATGAACGCCCCTCGTCTCCATCGACCATGTCTGGGGAAGAGTCACCCAAGCCACAGGAGCAAACACGAGTTGAGTCTGTGAATGCGCAGATCGCATCTGTCATAGCGTCAATGAAGCGCAAGGCACCAGTTCAGAGCGCGGAGATGATAAAGAAGAAATCAGCTCTCGAAGCAATGATTCCATCAACTTCAACCCGCGGCCGGAAGAGGGGCGCTGCCGCCTATAACGCCGCCTCAGAAAAGGCTACTCTAGATATCTTGTCTGCGTTCAAGTCGAAGCTTGAGTCTGCGCAAGTGGAAGACAAAAAGATGCTCTCGCCACCACCAATACCGGAAAGTGAAGCCCACCAAAATGGAGGCCATCAACTCATCAAGCCCACAGCGCTTGTGACAGAGGAGGAAGTGCCTTGTGATCTACACTTTATCGTTGGGTGCCAGTCGTGCAGCGCATGGGATAAGCAGGACCAGGATGAATCAGACGACGATGCCGGGTGGATGTCGCATCAACTAACATTTGAAAAGGATAGGCTGGGTAAAGATCTGGAGTGGAAGCGGAAGAACGAGCAGGAGTTAGTGGTCATTGATCCGAGGGAGAAGGCACGGGAATTGAAGGAGAAGGGAAAGGCGAAAAGGAGGGAATGGGATGGCTGAGTTTCCAATAGGATCCCGCGACAAACCTCTCCTGAGTCTTGTAGAATAAGATTTATTCTCAAATAGACACGTGGCTGACAGCAATTGACACAGATAGCTTGCACTTATTGACTAGGCAAACGGACGAATATAACCAAGCTTCCGTGGCTACCGTGACTGTCTTTGCCAGTAGATTATTATTTATCAGCTAACGGACAAGCTTAATCGGAGGCTAGCAAGCCAATCCTTTCTGCCATTGCAAGCCATGGAGTGATTTGTGTTGTGGCACAGCCATAGCTGTGGCATGTGGCTGTGTTGAATACGGACAGTGGGGGCAGACGCAACAATCCTGCAAGGGCAAGCATGATGCGTTGGACCGACGCAACTCATATCTAGATAAACCTGCCACTCTCAACTCACTATCGCGATACAATGACAGATGTGTCAAGTATCATTTCGATCTTCGCTCATGCTTTCAAAGTCCGCTGTTCGCTCCGGTTTCGCGACCCGCCACTGACGCGCAGCTGAACATGAGCACTCCACACACAAGGCCTTGCTTCAGCCTTGGGCTAATCCAGGCTCCATCAATTTGACTGCCTGCTTTGTTCAGCTTTCGCTCATCACCCTAAGCGTGACACATTTCTCCTGGGGCCTCAACAAGCCACATTTCTATCATTCGTATATGCAGCGCCTCACCTCATCCATTCATCCTTTGGCTAATTGTCTCCCTCCATCTTGTCAACATCCTTCTCACTTCCTTTGGAGGTTGACTGTCCGAAATGAGCTTTCTTACTGGGTTCTGGGGCTGGAGGCCGTCGAAGATGCCCGCTGCGAAGGAGGAACACACCATGGTTTGGCTGTGGGTCGTAAAGATGTTCATGGTCATTCCCGTTGCAATTGCTGCCTTCTCCGCCAAAGATTTATACAACCTCGTCCTCCACCATCACGAACTTCAAAAACCACCATACAACAAACGCGTGCTCCTGGCGCAAGAGCTAGTCTATGTCGGGGTATGTCTCTCGGGTCTCTTTCAACTTGTCAGCAACTCAGCCTCGTCCGTTAGAGCTTGTATAAGCAGGCTCTCCCATGATCCCGTGACTTCTTAAATATACCTAATATATTCTCAGTGTATGACACTCTTCCCATGGCTGTTTATCAGCTCCGGTTTAATATTCTTTCAAAGACGCTCATGGCTATTCGTATACGGCCTTGTTGACTTCGGTCTTGCATTGACAATCATCATTGGCGTCGCCTGGCAGGACAAATACCTACCAGGATCAACAAAGAGCTGTGGCAGTGGTATGGCTGAGCGATGGCAACGTAGTAGCGGTCACTTGAGCCTTTTCTCCCAAGCCGCGGCGTACAACAACAAAGACACGGCTTTAGGGAAATGCAAGGACTTCGTGTCATCTTGGGAACTTGCCGTTTGTGTCGCGTGCGTTTTCGCTTCCGCCAAAAAGCCAATCTAATTTGTTCGCAGCGTCTTTCAGATGTTCGCGTCTTATATTGGGATCTTCTTCGACGAACGGGAGTTCAGCATACTCAATCCGTATCGACCCCTATTCTACTTCATATTAGCGATTTTGGGACCACCTTATTATTTTCACCACAACATCACACCCAAAATTCGGTTCACCTACTTTTACGTCGTAAAGCTTATTAGACGTACCCGTGGTTTGGAGAAATTGAGTTTTGAAAAGGCTGAGCCGTATGTCCCTCGATACGAATCGATGATAGTGCCGAATGCCAAGCTCCAGCAGGTGCTCAACATCGAGCACGTCCTCTTAAACATAGTTGAATATTCTCACCACGAGGATATCATAAACCTTAGTCTCGCCTCAAAGGCTGTTCGGGAAGCTGTGTACCCAGGCAGGGACCTGGCACATAGGGTTCCAAAATTGAAAAAGTATTGCTGCGAGAAGGATTCAAAGAAGGGCTGTCTCTACTGTAATAAGAGGATATGTAAAGTATGTTTTTTTAATTCAATTGTCTGAGAATATCGATTTGACTAGATTAGGACTGCAAACTCAAACCATTCCTTCCTAGTATACCCGGACAGCGCCACGTTACATCATGTGTACCATACTGCTCCAAATGTTACTATGAGGAATTCTCACGTCATCAGCGGGGGTATAAAAAACCATGTATTTGTCGACCTATGGATATTTCCTTTCAAAGCCAAGACGTATGCCGCACTTGTAGCCGAAGTCCTAGACCTAATATGGTAAAAGATCGTCAGAAGCGTTACCAACAGGAAGCGAGAGATATTGCCTTCGGAATTCATCTACCACCTGGAGAGAAACCAAAGTGTGCAAAATGTCTGAAAGTTTTTCAAAGTGGAACACGATGGTGGAAATGTAAAAAGTGTAGTGGGGAATGCAGAGATAACATACATCCGCCTTTCGTTGGAAAGAGAAAAGAACTGGATGTAGAGAAGGCAGAGAGGGCGGCGGCGGAGAATGAGGAAACTGGATTTGTAAAATGGTTGCCATTGTAAGTGAGCTCTCTTCCGTTAAAGATTCATGAGTGCTGATTGGACGCGCAGCTTACGCAATCGATGAGGGAATTGCTCTCATTCAATGCCACCAGGGTCTAGTAACAGGAATGGCCGTATGATTGAGGTAATGCCCATCATATCCGGACCCGGTGTTGACGCTCGACGGGACCCGAGTCGAGCAGAGAGATAGACCTTTCTGCTCATGCAAGCCCATAGAAACGCTAAGGCTTAGCCTGTCGTAACACACCTAGAACGAACGATGACGGATGGGGAAGTACAATCGAGATGTATATGCGAATGGAGATTCTTCTTTAATGCTTCTAGATCCTGAGCCTTGACAATTTGTGTGCTGACTAAGGGTAAACCAGCCCGCAGAGGTGCAGGTTAGTTGCATGGAAGTTGTTGCACAAGCAAGCACTATCACGAAAGCAAGACAGAGTAGTCACACGATAGGCATCAGGTTCCGAGTGGTCTTAGGACACAATACAGAAACGCGGATCACTAGGAAGTGTGAGCAAGCTGTGACTCGCCACCATTGGCACTTCTTTCACCGCAGCTTCACCCGAGTATAAACCCTCGGCCCGTTCAACTAGCTCCACCTTTACAATAATCTACCCCAATTCGAAATTTCTCTCAACTTCATATATCACACGTCAAATTACTCTTAAGGGCTCCTTTTCCTGCAATTCCATAAACCTCTTCAGCAACCAGCTTCTGTAAGTATATGTATACTCCTACCCTGCTGTATCGCCGGTGTACAATGCTTCTTTACGCCTCACACGCAATCTTCATTTCATGGTTTAGATTCCTAGGAACAGGACCTCTCCATAGAATAACCGCATCTCAGTCCAATGGAACTACTACAGAACTAACATTCTTTGGTCACAGTTAACATGCCAATCAACTGGCAGGATCCTGCTGTAAAGGACAGGCTGCTCGCCGCAATAATTGGTTCGTTTGACAACAAGGTAAGTGAGACATACACAGAAGGCCAACCTTCACTCTTTTCCATGCATGCATCTACTACAATGCCAACACCTCGGCACACGTCCTAGCCATACATATAGCGCTCCTATCCATTTTTACATTTATGAGCTAACACCCAACAACTAGATTAATTGTCGTGAGGTTGCACGTCTCTTCGGTGGTGAAGCCACATATAACGCAATCGAAAATTTCTTGCGTGGTCCAAAAAAGATGGCCCAGAGCCTCAAAAAAGAAGCGAAAGACGACATCCCACCATCACCAGCTAAACCGCGTACTCCAAAGAAGCTCGGCAGTAGCCTACTCAATGGTATGTCACCTACTGTAATTACTCTTACCTGCTATGTATATATGCTAATGCGACGGGTTCGTAGGCGTCAAAGCCGGACGAGTTGCGAAGACTCCGGGGAAGTTCAAGGGTCCTCCGGTCAAGGAGCTCATAGACCATGACACCGATGATGGGGGAGATGTAGAAGGCCTCAGCGACGCTTAGTGTTGCATCCGTCTTCAGCCTCGCATTCAGCTTAACAACAAAATGATAAGGTTAGATGCAAGGGGCAGAAAAGCGGGGGCCGTGGTGGACTGGTGATGATTCGGTACACTAGTAGTTTTCTCTCTTTGGTGGCTTTGACCGGTGGCTTGGAAGGATCTTGCGCGCCTTCTAGGACCTCAAAGATGGCGTTTTGAATACTGGCAGCGGTATTTGGTACTGCGGCGACAGTAATGAAAGTAGCCTATTTGGATCCAATCTGATACGTCTTGCTAAGTATAAACTGTGTGAGATTCGTGTGAACATGCGCTTCCCTGTTCCTTCCTCTATCCTGCAGATGAATACTGTTTGTGCAGCTCAGAGCTTCCAACAGGGCGTACTACGGGCTATACAAGTGAACCGTAACGGTCACGTGTTCAGTACGAACGTAACCAGTTTGTGAGCCGCTTCGTAAGGTTAATGCCCTAGGTAATGTACGCAATATAATTATTATTACCATTTTAGGAAGTTTTTATAGTAATTCTAGAGGATTAGGAGGGCTCCAGCAAGCACTAGGCCTGTAGGGGGCGTTTGGGAGGGGTTCTAGGGCTCTAATCAGCTAGAAGTTTTGTAAGGACGCTTAAATCTCTTTCTACGTATTTTAATGTATTTTCCTACAGTCTCTTGTATTAAAAAACGCCTATTAGTAACTATTTTCTTTTGCAGAGTTATCTATCTACGTGCCTCGCTGCCTCACAGGCCTTATCTAGTTAATTAGATACTACTGTTACCCAGTGTTGTAGGCGGCAGAAGTCAAGAGCCCTCTACACTGTGGCCCCTGCCTTATCTCGCGATATTATACTATCCTTGGCTGAAGATTAATTACAACAGGGTAAGGTAATCTGCCTCTAGCTCTGCTGTTAGTACTGCAAATGTAGTAAGTAGCAGGCTTTTAGACCTCTCTGCTTATATTACCAGGAAGAATTAGTTATCTAATGGCTACATAGCCTTAACCCTGCTTCTCTAGAGATATGCTGTTTTAGCTAGAGTACAGCGTACTTCAATTAAATTGTACTACTTGTACAGATCATGTGAGTCGTAACATTTACATTACGTACACCTACCTCTCATCCTCCCTACCGTACGAATGTACACAAAACCCCACCCGTATAGGCATTAAAATTGCCTAATCATACAGCACGACACCTTGTTGGAAGCTCTGGTACAGCTACACAAAACGCATGCTTGGTTTTCTTTAGTCTTAGAGAGAACAGCAACAAGCACATATGTGTACTGATGTCTCTGCGACATCCACTGCATGAGACCTCAACCTACCCAGGTGGTTTTATGATCTTCTTTTTCAGCTTATCACGAAGACTCCACGTCTCAGCTCTGCCACGACAAGCTGATCCTGTCCCTCATGAACTGCACTCGAGGCTGCATCCTGCAGCACAAGACGGCTGAAACCTCGAAGCGCCCTTGGCTTGGCTCCTAAAATCCTGGTTGCCGGTCAGCCAGAGTGCTTACCATGTTCGTGTGCGGCTTCGGGACGGGGAAGCACAGCAGAACGCGGTGGATTACATAATTATCTCCACGAGGTGAGCTCGACATAAAAAGGGCACCGTGCCCTTCTTGTCGGTCCTGGCAACAGGCAACGGGGTTCCTATTCATTTCAATCGATATACACGCTGCCTTGGGATTCGAGCTGAAATGGCACTTCAACAAATCCATGCTCTTCAACACTCGACATCATCTCCACTCGCATCCGACTAGTGCTCGTCCGTGAAGACGAACAATGACTCAACCCTTCATTTCTCCAGGGTCCTCCCTGCCCATTCTCCGGTCAACACTCCTCGGTGATGCAGGAGAATCGTGAAAATGTGAGGTATCATGTTCAGATGTGGTTGCAGCAGAGTGGGAGTTGGAGGCGTTTTGGTACTGCGCTAGTGGGTACGTAGGGTTGCGGGGTGAACCGTGCGGGATTGCAGCAGGGAAGCGAGTTGCGTGCCATGCATCTGTTGTACTTGACTACGGCGGACGATAAGCGGGTGAGGGGACAAAACTCTTAACGAAAGAGTCAGGGACAGGTTGTGTAAGAGCAGGGCGATAATGTCGAGAAAGAGGGAGAGGAACGAGATGAAGAAGGAGGTCGGAGTGGACGTTAGGGTATGGTAGTGGGAGGACATAAGAAAGAGGTTTTTGGATGAGTGACTATTGGAGACGGGTTTGAGCTCGGGACTTGTACACAGTAAAGGATTTTTGACGGAGTGGTAGTTCATTAGGGTAATCAATTCGAAGCTAATCGACCGACTTGGCATCTAGTCTTCTGCCTCTCTCCGAGGATACGAGCGGCGGCGCACACGTCCACGGCAAGCAATCGTTGAAGTAATGCGCCCCAGACTTGATGGAGCTAGGCCATTTCGGAAGGACATGATTCGAAGTCTAAAGTTTGATTGACTAGATACAGTTTAGTCGGCCGAGTCCAAGTCGTTGTTTGGATGTGATCAGTCGTTTCAAGGTTTTATTAGAACTATCATGCATCTCAAGACACATTGTAGAACATTCAGGACCCATTGTACGGCCTATTCGACGCAGAAGTCCGCCGGACAGCAGCCTCCTGCAGAAATCAATGGCCCCATTCCCGAAGTACGATCAGGTAGAGGACAGCAAGCGGCAAGGATACTTGGAGAAGTTGCACAGCATCTGTGCGTGGTCATATGTAGCGCCACAGAGTGAAGACTCCGGTCTCGGATATCTTCCAGTGAACAACAATCACCATCACTACAGGATTACCCATTACTTGAGAAAAAAGCAGAGTTATTCGTGGCTTTGACTCTTCACTACACGCCGCTGTTCGCTGCCAGAAGCCATCGTTTCTGCTCCTTCACCTCGCGGCCCGAAACGCGTCCACCCCGCTAATTTCACCACGTCACTTCAAATATCTTAACTTACACAGAGCTTCCCTCCTTCACCACTCTTCCCACATTTAGACTTTCTCTCTCTTCCACCACTTAACATTCCTCTCTCTATCTTGAGCTATCTTTGCAAGCCAAGAGGCGAGTGCTCCTACCAATTCGTTATATCCCCTTCTTGCCACGTTGCTTCACCTATCGGCACGTGTTCTTGGGTTTCGAGACAGACCTTCACCTAGCTCAACTCAACCGGCACTCATCTGCACTCACAACAACTCTACAAGACACAACCACCCACAGGTTCAAACGAGGAACACCACAACAATGCCTATGAACTGGACCCCCTCGAACGATCAGATTCTGCTTCTGAAACTGATCGAGACGCATAATATCTCCGTCGATGGTGATAAGATCGCTAAGGCATGGCGTAAGTTCACACGTCCGTCTACTTACTACGCTATCCTACTCAGCCATTTTTATTACTACATCCAACCAGCTCCCTTCATTTCACATTTGCTAAAATCCGTGATAGCTCCGGGCGACGTCCAGCCTACGAAGCGTGCTATCACCGAGCGCTTCGTAAGGCTTCGCCAGATGAACAAGGACAAGGTACCCGGTACGCCTGCTAAGAACAAGGTCAAGATCGTCTCTACGCCGACTTCATCTGCCAGGAAGCGTAAGGTGAATAAGGCTCAGTCTGAGGAGGAGGAATCCGACGCCGAGAGTCACAGGACCCCGAGCTCGGATTACATCACCCCGAAGTCGCGCAGGACCAACGCTGGCGGTCATGCTTCGAATGCAATGAGCGAGCTGCCAAAGACGCCCGATGGAGAAGTTGATTGGAATGAGATCGCTCGCCGCAAGGGAATTGAGACGCCCAGTAAGAAGCCGGTGCCGATTAAGAAGGGTAAGCATACTACCTCCCCATTCATTCACCTATTCGCACCTAACTCCTCATCAAGAGCCGAACCCCGACGATCTTTTCGACGATGTCGAATTTGCTCGCCAGTTCCAGCATGCCCGTCAGCTCCGTGGTGAGATCAATGCCAATGCCTCCGGCGGCATTTTTGAGTCAAGTTATGCTATGGGAGGCTACGATATGCCGACGCCAATCTCCGGCACGCAGAGCTCGCTCGGTAACTCGCCTAGTGCCATGGATGGCAACCACGATGACATGGCCTTCAATCCCTTTGGCAGTGGTCATGGAATGGACTTGGGCATAGGTATGGATGATATGGAAAACATGAACGACATTGCTATGACCACAACTGGTATGGGCATAGGCATGAATGTCACAGCTGGTCAACACCACCTCGGCATGATGATGATGCCACAGGATTTCCAGTTCCACAACCCTATCCAATCCGCCGAGACTCTAGTCCGAGATGCGCAGCAGCTGAATCTTTCCCCATCTAACTCCTTCGGTCGGCCTTGTTTATCCGGTATCCCGACCCCGAGGAAGCTGTTCAGCTCCAGCGCTAGCGGAAAATCTGCAGTCAGACCCGCTCATATTTCTATTTCGGCCCCCCCTAGCGACCTCTCTTTCGGTCAATTAGGAACGGGATCCGGAGCCGCCAACCCAGGAAGCCACTCCCCAGTCCTCGAGCGTCGAGTCCGCACTCCACGTAAGGCATCTGAGGGAGTCCAAGCCTACATCAAATACCAAAAAGAAGACGATCGCGCCCACGGAGATCGCACCAGCGATGAAGACAGTGCCGAAAGCGAATTCGAAGAAGATTCGGACGAGATCTAGGTTCTTCATGCATTGAACATTCCCCTGAGATGCGGCTGATGAAGAGATCAAGATCAGCCACAGATAATATGAGCTTACGGAGGATATGAGGGTGGGGAGTAGACTAAAAGCGTAAAAATTTCAATACTCTAGGGTTTCGGGGGATCTCTGTCTCAAAGCCAGTGGGGCGTACCGATTGAACTTTGCGAATACGATGGTAATAGCATCTTCATCTTTCCCTTTCCTCTCTCCCCATTCAATGTGGACCCTGATATTTAGGACTCCGCCCAAATCTCCCTTCCCCTTACTGCGCATCCCCTATATCATGGGCCGTTGGTCCAGCAATTTTCGGCACTACCATCCCCTGCTTTCTCAGCATGCTGCATTATTTATCAGAAGCCATGAAATACCCCTTCGGGACAGTTTTCCGGTCGTCTGGTTTGCAGTTGGGGCGTTTGGTGGGGTTTCTTTTATCCCTGGATCGGCTCTGGAGTTAGGTGGTCTAGATATTCGAGCTCCCGTCCTCGTGACGAATAGCTTTCTGGTGAAGAGCTTATGGAACGAATCCATAGATGAGTTTTCATAGTAATTTGATGCGTGAATGGTCAGTGTGATGCTAAATATTGACGTCTTTACGTGGTACGGTTGAGGGGCTCTAAGAAACTCTAGTGTAGGCATCCTGAAGTTTGTCACTATGCTACAGCATTTTGGGGCCAGGTAAGAAACCTTGGCTAAGAGGACGTACGGGATTTCACCGTAAATCACAGAACGCAGCCAAGATATATTTATTCTTTGAACACTCTCGCCAGAGTAAGCGAAGAACTTACGGCTATGCTGTAGATTAGATCCTTCTTATATTCTAGTGTAGATAAGAATATACAGCACTACATCTTAGCATCTAACGCGGAACAAGATAGGGGACAATCTAGGACAGAAATTCGTATTATATTAACATTATCTCGAATATCAATAAGAATTTTAACAAGTAGACATTCCTCTAGTCAGGTGTCATATTCTAAAATAGCATGCAGTGGCTGTTAAGCAGAGTTAGCAACAATTAAGTTAATTAAGTTAGGGTAAATTGCTTAATTAATTAATAGATCTAGCATGTTTTAATTAACTTAATTAACTTAATAGCATAAATAAGGCTTAACTTAATTAACTTAATTAACTTAATTAATAGATTACATAGTAAATTAACTACTGTATATCTTATAAATAGTCTTTAAGTCTTTAGGAAAGATAGCGTTACTACATAGACTTTTTGCTAACTTTATAAGCTTTAAGCTAAGGCGCTTCTAACTACGTAGGCTTTATAGAGCAAAGAGGAGGTCTGCCTTTATATAGAGACGCCTTGTTTTTAGTAAATTACTTAGCTTAAAGAAGGTCCTCTTATAATTAGTAGCTGCTATAAAGATGCTAAAGATTATAAAAGTAAAGCGTAATAAAATAAAGTACTTATTAGCTTTTTTTATTTAGTATAAAATTAAGTTACATGTAAATAAAAACTTTTTTAGTATAAGTAACTTAATTATCTAGCGCTTAAACTTATTATAGTAATAAGTTAAGTAGGTGTTATTACCTTATAAGGCAGCTTTTATAAAATCTAACTAGCTTTTAGCTAGCCTTATATGTGCCTTCTTTAGCAGAGGCTTTAGAGTACTAATAGAAGAGGTAGCGTCTTTAAACTTTACTTATAAGTGTTAAAAGCTAAGGTAGCAGTTATCTAGCTAGCCTTTATATATATAAAGTTTTTTATAAAGCTTTTTATTATAATTAAGAAGCACTGCTTACACTTTATCTATATAACTTTTTATATATAGGTAAAGATAGTAGGTAGTGTAATAAGCTAAAGTGTTTTTTAACTTATATATATAATTAATAATTTTAATATAAGCTATGTTATAAGTAGCTTAAATATAGTCTTTTAAAGTGTTAATGTTATTAAAATTAATGTTATTATACTAAAAAAGCATTTTATTAAAAGTAGTTATAAGCTAATTAAGCGTAAAAAGCACCTTCTAGATAGCGCCTAATGTGCTAGCTACGCCCCTGCCCTCTATATAGGTAGTAGCCTTTTTAAAAGGCTATAAGATTTTTTAGTACTCTATAATTATTACTTAATTTTTAGTAAAAAAGCTATTTTCTTTAATAAACTAGTGCTTTTTAAGATTACTAAGTTAAAAGTGTTAATAAAAGCTTTAGTAATAATATTTAATAAGCTTATAACTAATATACTTATTAAAAAGCATATAGAGCTTAAGTGTATATGTAAAATAGTTATAATAAAAGTTTTACTTTATTTTTACTAGTTTAATAATTTTTAGTGTTTTAACTTTATAATTTAGCTTTAATTAAGTGTTATAGGTTATCTAGCACTATTTAAGAAGCTAGCAGGCTTATAGTGTATAGATAAAGGTAATAACATTAATTAAAACACTTAAAAGGCTAGCCTTACACTACTTATTAAAAAACACCTTTTTTTTTTAAGATGCTCTTCTGTGTTTTTAAACACTTTATAATTTTTACTAAATATAATTTATTAAGTAGTAAAGTTAATTATATATTAAGCATAACATAGTTATTAATAGTAAAAGTTAAAGTTATATTTAATAGCTAAAGTGTTAATTATAAAGTTATTATTAGTAGTATTATTAAAAATAAAGTAACTTAAGTTATATATAAAGATTTTAAAGCTCTTAAGTATAGTGTTAATAATAGTAGTAATATTAACACTTATATGCTAGCCTATTAATAAGAGTAAGCTAAGTATATAATTATAAGGCGCGCTGTTATAATTAAGGTAGTGTATATAGATTTTTATAAGCGCCTACTTACTGCCTATTAATGTCTAATTATTAAAAAAGATGTATATAGCTAATTATATGTTATAAAGATAATTAATAATAGTAGGCATATATAACTTATACTCTACAATTATATAAGCTTATAAGGTGTTATAGGACCTTTATAGCTCTACCTTAGCTAATAAGTTAGCTTACTATAACATAGCTTAAAAAGCAGCGCCCTTAATTATAAAAAGCGCCTAGTTATTAGCTACTACTTAGTTAAGCACTAATTATAAAAAGTTTATGCATAAAAAGGTTTTTATAATAAAGTTAGTAACACCCTAAGATACCCTAAGGCCTTTATAGTAAAAGTAGGTAAGCAGGGAGGATTACTAGAAGGGAGTTGTGACATAAAAGGTAGCTTTTAGGCTATTTTTATTAATGCTATAGCTAGCCTTACACTTAGTAAAATAGCATGTAATTAATATAGTTAATAAATTAGCTTAATAAAACTTATTAAAGTGCTTATAATAGTAGTAATAGCAGTAAAGCTAGTATAAGTGTTATTACTTATAGTGCTAGAGGTAATACTTATACTACTAAACCTAGCTTTTTTAACTACACTTTGCTATGTAAGCTAGCTTATAATAATTAAGTAAACATGTTTATTTAATGCCTTTATACACATTATTATTATTATTGTTAATATTAGTAGTAAAAAGGGTGCCTTTTATAAAGCTTTTATTAGTGTTAAGCTCTAACAGCATGTTAGTAGCTAAATTAGTAAAGCTATTTTTAAGAGTAATTTATAAGGCTGCACTTTTAAGCTGCTAAGTCTAAACTTTTATAAAGTTACTATTTATACCTTTTAAATAATTAGGCAACGCTATATTAATAGAGAGGGGCGTTAGTAGAGTAAGAGAGGTAGTAAAGGCAGGTAAGTTAGTAGGCAGTAGAAGTTAAGGAATTTTAGATATATAGCGCTAAGCCTAGTTAGGCAACTATTACAACTCTAAAGTCCCTTAAAGCTAAGCTGCCTTATACTATATTTACTACTCTTGCACACTAAAGGATTTTATATCCTCTAGTAAACCTAAGATCTTAAGGATTTAAGTCTATTAATTAAGTTAATTAAGTTAAGTTATTAAGTTAACTTAATTGTTGCCAACTCTACTGTTGAGAGGGCAGATTGTGGCATAGATCTAATATGGCTATTGGAAAGCAAGTATACTATTTCAAGCGCAATATTTGCAGCCCAAAACTGTGCGTAGCTAATCTGGTTACTTAAGAAATTGTTCCGCTACATGAAGGCCAGATTCATACATTAGAATCTAAGTCATCATCCGTTGCGTGTGCATTTTATCAGCATATAGTACTCTTCTGCTATGCGTGGCAGGAGGTTGGCCTTTTGCCACTTGCAACAGTTATGGCCCCGGCTTGTGGTGCAGATGAATAGTACGAGGAGATTTTCACAACCCAGTTCCATGATATGGCGAGACTTGAGTCTTAATTTAGAGCTGGGGAAATTCGAGGTTCGAATGCGAGGATATTTGGACTGTAAATTTCATAATAAACCTAAAGTACTAGGCTTTATTTTACGCTTAGGTGGGCGAGAATGACGACGGCAGATGTTCAGAGATGATCGAATGCAGTACTCAGGAACAGCATCTGTCAGTGACTAACAATCGCGAGGCTGCTCTTCGACTTCGGGCCTGAAAATATTTCCAAACATACCCGAATTAGGGCAATATGCTCGTATACTGATCGATCCCGAGTCAAAAGCCTAGAAATTTGAGGCTAGAACCTCTGTTTTCTGAAATGTTTAGCCTTGCGCATTCGCCTACTCGATTCGGAAACCTTGCTTCAGTGTTATTTAATAGAAAAATATATTAATACATTATTTCTACACTTAATTGCCCTTAGTTCTAATATAACTGCCTATCTATAATTAACGCTGTACAAATTTCGTCTCCGTTGGCGTTACTGATAGGGTGAGCAGTGGGCGAGTGCTGGTGAGGAGTGGGAGAGCTGGGCCACCGCATATTTGAAGAAACTCCGCGATAAGTTGACTGATTCTTTGAGAATAATCTTGGATAGCTAGTTTATTGATTTCTACTCTATTTTTGCCCTGGAGGCCCATGAGTCATGAGTGGAAGAGCTTTGGCCTGTACGGATGATGTAAGTGATGCCTTTTTGTTTAAAGTGAAGTACAAACTCCTAGTTTGAAACTTTCCCTGCCTAATAAACTACTCTTTTAAATATTTCTCTTTTGATAAACTTCATCCTGTACAACTAAACCTGCCACCCAGGTTTTGTACAGGCAACACACCTGTGATATTTTATGCCACCCATTATTCTTCCACTATAGGGAATGACACACCCTTAACCCCAGCCTCTGCAGCTATCGCAAGCCAGTATATTTGTCGAGTTTCAAAGCCTACAGGTATCATTATCTCCTTATTCTTACTCTCTCATTGCCAGATTGAAGAAAGCCTAGCCGTGTGATCCTCCTCCTCTTTGTTATGATGTCTTCTGTTCTCAAACTCCTTTGACATTGTAGCCGATCCGCGCCAGTGCTCGACACCAAAGTGTCTAAAGTTTCCTTCACTTCAAGACATTCAATCGCGCCTATTAATTTAGCTTGGAGGTGGCCCTAGAAATCGTCATTCAAATTAGAACCACCCATTGTACTATTATGCAACTCTAGAGAAGTGGTGGTGTTGACAGAAAGGTGTATTCTGGTGGTGGGCGCGGAGCCCGGTTGCCCATACTATCTACCCGTAAACTGCGCCCCTCCCATCCTCCACTCTGTATGTACTAGAGGTGAAGGTGAATGCAAAAGCAGTATCTCTTATATGTGCCTAATGCCCTTCTATAGGGTTAATCTGGGTATGGTTGGTAGGACAGGTAATATCTCGTTCGACTCGTCTGAACTAGAACGCTCCTGTGAGTGCGGTCTCGCAGCGGGAGACTTGTCGCTTTTGCCATCGTTTTCCGCATTGGCCTTCAAAGGTTGGTTTGGCGAATCATCTGGTCCAGATTCGGCTTTAGTAGTTTTGGTTTTTCTCAACGGCCTTTTAAATAACGCATGCATCCATCCTAAATCATGTTAATACCTCCCTTATTACGTCGATCACAAACACAACCCACCTGATAATCTACGCAACAGTGATGAGATACCCTGCTTCGACTTGCGGATTACTTTTTTCGGCCCACTGTACCAGATCTGTAGTATTTCTTGACGCAGTTTTCCTGGTAGCAGAGGAACAAGAATCGAGCAGAAGATTACGAACGAGCGAGGAATACTTCTTCCAGGGGTTGATAGATGTCGATGCAAGTAATCTAGATCCGCTGTGAATTGTTAACAGGTCTGTTAAATGCCAAAAATGGGGATACTGACAACACAAACCAATACCGAACTCGACGAAGAGCTGGAGAATCATGAAGAACATGAGTAGTTGGCCGAATCCAAATTCCAGTTCAGGATTCATTCTACCGATGGGGCCCCGAAACGCGCGTGTGATATGTATCAGTTGTACGTAGTGGAAGATAACAAGCACGGTCGACATTAGGATATACCCTGCCCAGCTTGACATCCGGTATACCACAAATCCTTCGGATTTGATCAGGGCTCCCGCTAGAAAAAAGACTAAACCCCCTGAGTGAACAACAGTTAAGGGAAATAACCAGTAATCTGCGGGAAAACAGGTCCTGAAATTAGTATCCTTTCCCCGCCTTACTATGGTATATATTATGAATGCAACATAACATATTGTGAGAATTAGGAGGCCGAAAGAGGTTATGCACATGCGAGGTGGCATATCGATGGTACGTCTAATCCAGTTTTTCAGACCGCCAGATCTGGCGGATGATGTGTGGCCTAAAGCGCTGGTTTCAGCTGAAGATTTCAATCTAATAAAAGATGTGACCTACGTAACAGGTTGACTCTTGTATACTCGCTGACAAGAGCCACAGCCATATTAATGGAGCTGAGCCCAAATATTATCCGTAGATGGTAGTACGACACCTCTTTGTGCTTTATGAATGCTACCACAAGATAGGCTAATCCCACAATGTATTGACCAGTGAATACTGCCATGATGGCTTCGCGGGAACGCGGTTGCCGCATTTTTGTACTGTCCCGGGAACTGGTTTCCTCTTCTGAACTATTATCTGATGGAGTCGAAGCCGTATCCTCGGCCCTACTTTCGTGGGGAGTGACGAGTTGATTTGGAGTTAATTGAGAGAGGAACATATGCATGGTTGGAGCAATAACGAGGCCGAGAAAGATGTAACAGCTGGTGTGCGCGAGGAAGGTTATGATAATCTAAAACTCATACAGAACATGAGCATTTGTTAATTCATATGTGGGATTCAGCGCCCCGTGTAAATGTGACTTACTCCTCTACCGGCTATATCTGGGTTTGGTTCATAAAGGTTTTCGCAGAAGGTAGCATTTCTCTTCATTTTGGTTTATTTTTTTTGAATGCAGTGTGGCTGAATGGTCGGAAGGGACTTTACGGCTCTCTAAATACTTCGCTTGATTTATGGCCCGCCCCTGAGGCTGAAGCCAAGAAGCCACAAAAGATGAAGCGGCTAAGGGACAACCAATCACTTTCGTAGGGTCACTTAGTCACTTGGCTGAAACGGACTAGTTACCCAGAAAACAAACATGCTTTTGTATAATATTCTTACAAAGGGGTTGCACAGTGGAGAACATGCTTTAACTTAGTGCCAAGATATCATAGTTCCTTTTCAGCCTCGGGGGAATTTAACGGCCTCGGCGCTTAGTAGTAGGTGCGTTCAAGGCATCTCGTATTGGCGCTTCCGAGTTACAGTGCGCAAAAAAGCCAGCTTCAGTTCCAGATATGTGATATCGGGCGCTAAGACGTTTGTTAGCGAGCGCAGTAGAAACATTCACTTACGAACTGAAGTGATGAGTTAGGATAGAAGGCTAGCTTAGGAATAGAAGCTCGTTTGAAGCTTGGAGACGAGGAAGCTAGTTTAGTCCCGCTACAACGTTTCTTTTCTACTTTATGTATACCTATACATTTACCTAATGAAAAGGCTATGTCTTTAATTAATTTGATACTATTTCAAGTAGTAACAAACCCCGATACTAAGAAGAGTAAGTAAACTCTGACCGAATGTGCTGAGAATTTGCCGACTTGCTAGTTTTCTCGGCGAGATTGATCAAGTATGCATACATGCCGATCGATTTTAAACAAATGCGTCAAGAATGGTATTTACAAGTTCTAGAGTCTCTGTCGTCCAGTTCTCGGAATCGAAAGGTGGTAGGTGGCCCACCTCCAGATTTTTTAGTGCCCGCAGGTGCGATGTATGAACGTTGAGGTTACTGTATAGCACCGTCCATATATTCCTTGTCAGGATTGCCCTTCTAAACCTGAGGCAACTTACAGATTAGCTTTATAGCAATTTAACACTATCTAATGCAGTTGTTAACGCTGACGATAGCCTCTTGGTACACTAGTACGGCAGTGGCATACTAATACGACGGTGTCTTCCTCTACTACAGTACCTAACTAGGGCTTTTATTAGCTTGATTAGGTATATAATTGAGCCTCAAGCACGACCTGTAGGCACTTGAAAATCTGTAGGTGCTCTACCTGCCGATTCCGAACACTGCACGTATGCCTAGTGTCCGCCTCCGGTTGCCGCTCTCAGAAGCAAGCAGAGACTGATCAGCTTATTTGGTAACAGATAAAAGGCAGTCATATTCTCGGGCCGATTCGGCAACTCTTACAACTATAAACTAAAAGGCATCAACTAGCTGGACTAGGCAGCTAGAAGCAATGCACTCAGTTATGCTATCGACTGTGTCCGGACTTGGGCTATACATCCTTTAGGAACAAACGCAGAGGCATGGCGGATTACGCCAGAACCAACATTCTAGATCATAACGCTACACGCTAGTCGGTAAATGTTACCCCCATCAGCCGGCACGGAGGTACTATCCCTGCTTAATTTGCTCGGGATCAAACAAAAGAACACATTTCACTCCCCACGTGAAAATGGAGCTCTTCTATACACATGTCCAGGATCAATACAGGCTTCCTCGAGAATTCTACAATGCCCAGATACGGTGAGCATTCAAGACACTATAGATTCTAGCACTTTCGGATAGGATATACAGATCTAGGGACATGGGCGATTTGAGCAATTGAGTGATGGAAAGGGAATATGCAAAGTGTATTGGGCTGTAAGGAGCATAGGGAGCTCAAAGCAAGGCTAGATAGTGGGCATAGAGGTATTCGATTGAGCTGGCACTGGATAGTACTGGATCTTCGAAATCATGTGCGAAAGCATTCAGGACGAGTTTATACTTTGATAAAACTTCACCATAGTCTTGCGCCACCTATCTTCAGTTTATTAAGAGAATGTAAGAGCGCACAAGAGCGATTTTTCATCCCTGCGATCCCTTCAACTAACCTCAGTAGCTTCTACTTCATCATCTCACCATATTCTCATCTGATTCTCCACACATCTTCTTGCTCTAGTACTTCTTAGCATCCGCCAATACATCCTCCGTTGCTTTCTCACTCAACATCATCGTCGGCAATACTGGGAAGCCGCCAGGAACCTTCGGGAACGAACTCGCATCCACAACCCTCAAACCCTTCACGCCCTTAACCCTAAACTTACTATCCAACACCTCCCCAATGCGACAACTACTCGTCGCATGATGGCTATATGCCTGCTCTTTAATATACGTCTTCTGGCTCTCGACCGTACAATTCTGGCTACCAACGACTCCTTCGCATGGATGCATTTCGGTAAAAGGCCCGATGGAACCAGCAGTAGTGGGAGCTTTGCCAAGCCAGGAACGCACCCATGATGTGGCTTCGTATATTGCTTGGAGGTCTTTTTCGGACCCGTCTTTGAAGAATTGGAGGTTGATGTTTGGCACATCGCGAGGGTTAGCGGATTGCAGGGTTACTGATCCGGCTTGCGAGCGTGGGTTCATGTGCACGATGGCGCATTCGTATTGTTTGGGGCCATGATCTTGGGGGAAGCCTGGCCAGAAACCTTCGAAGGAGAAGCCTCCACACCACATGTAGATGTCTCTGATCTTGCCGACGGTTGTTTTGAAGAAGCTAGGGAAGATCTGGCCCGGCCCATTCACATCACGTGCAGCGAGTGAAAGCATACTGGATTCGTAGTTGTCGGCTAGGTTTCGGCCGACATCAGGGTTATCGACGATAACGGGGATGTCGAACTTCTTGAGCTGGGCTTTGGGACCAATTCCAGAGAGCAAAAGGATTTGAGGAGTGTTGAAAGCACCACCGGAAATGATGACCTCTTTTGAAGCATATGCCTTACCGGGTGTTCCCTTGTCATTGGGGTTGGAGCGGGGATCGGCGCTATACAAGCTCTTGCCCTTCAGATACTCGACACCGATGGCTTTTGGGGTGTCGCCCTTGTCGAAAATCACTTTCGTGACCAATGACTCGAGCTGGAGGGTGAGCGGATACTTGCCGGCATCCACCGTCTCCTTTACGTAGTACCCAGGCGAAGAGCGTCTTCCATCAGGCTTGATATGACTAACACCACCAAACGGACCAACCAGGCTATCTCGATTCGCTTGATCTCCATTCATATCCCTTTGCTGGAGATCTGATGCTTCACTGATCTGGAAACCCGAGGCTTGCGAGGCAAGTTCGATCATGGTTTTGGCATCCGGGTTGCTAGAGAAGCCGGAGTCAAGCATGGTAGTGTCAAGCCAGCCGCTGTGACCATGAGGAGATGTGCTGTTATAGTGCGCGTTTTCGAGCTTAACGAGATATTTGCGCATGTTCTTGGCCGACCATGATTCATCGCCTGTGATTCTCGCGATGTCGTCCCAGTCCAGGTCGTTGGGGTTCATGGTAAGGCAGCCGTTGTGCATAGCACATCCACCCAGGGTCCCCGCACGGGGATAGTACTACGATGAATGTTAGCAAAGGCACTTAGTTTTCGAGTTTAGGAATTTATCTGGGGTCTTACGATCCCAAGTCTCTTCGATCCAGCTGGCGGATCCAGACCGACATAGAACCCTCCATCGGGCTTGCGCCAAGTCGTTCTGATGTACCTCGATTCGCGAGCCTCGTCATCGGAATGCTTGACGAAGAAGTCCCATCGAGTTGCAGGGTCGTTTCCAGAGAGCAAGAAGTTCGTCCATTGAGAAACGTTCACATTCTGCGTTTGGTCATCTCCGGCTTCAAGCAAAAGAACAGAATGACCGGCTTTTGCAAGATTGGCTGCAATCGGCCCACCCCCGGGCCCAGAACCTACGACAATGTACTCATAGGTGTTATTGTCGTGGGGTTTGTTCAAGGCCTCTGTTGCTGGAGCTGCTACCGCGGAGTGGGAGAACACCGCCAAAGAGAGGAGCCCAGACAGAAGGGGAAGAATTGGAGCCATTGTCAACGAATTGACCTAAGAACAGGAAGTTTTGGAGGTCAGGAAAGCACCTCAAGTGGCAAACATCTCTCCATAAAGTAGCTGGTGGAAGCAGCAGCTTTCGGCCCCTCAATTTCTTGAATTGATCGTATATGCACGTAGCTTGGGGCCCTTGTTTTAGGGCTGCCGAGGCGCCCGGACGATCTCCTGGCGAGGCTAGAGGCTTATATCGTTTCCGAATCCTGGGGCTGCGGGAGCCAATGTGGGCAATGTGGGACATTGCTTGTACTTTATTTAATGAGTTGGACAGAACCTGCAGCCTGTGCCTCACGTACCAAACTGTCAACCATGCCTGTCAGTTACGCCCCAGTGGGTTTGACGGCAGAATTGACTCGCGCGGCAAAATTGATTGCGTCTGTAGCTCCTATGCCACCATCCTCGAAGAGAGGTCGCTTGCGAAAAGGGTGCGTTCTCCGTTTTCTGGCTTGAAATTTCTGCATTTTGGGGATTGCGGAGGCTGTATCGCGCGTCAGTGGGCCGATGGAGGAAGTTGCCCAGAGACATTCTATGGGATCTGAATACAGGGACGAGGAGATGGTAAGGTTAAGGGCCTCCTAGGAAACAGAGCGGAGATACGTTCTGTCTCAAGGATAACATCCTGATTTGCAGGACAATTGAACCTACGATACCTGGATCGACATGGGTTCGAAGAATATGGATGAAGGAAGTTCCGTAGAGGTTGATTTAGACGACAATTAGTTGCGGAAACTAGAAGACGCGGGCCCGTCCGAGAAGCGCGGAACGTTCGGGCCAGTGGACAAGCATATTGTAGATTCGCTTATTGTCGTTTGCTCCACATTGCGGAAGAATCCTTCGTAATCGCGAGCGAATCCAACCTTCGAAATGGAATGAACCGCCGAGTTTGGGATAGACGTAGGCGCTTGTGTACCATTGCCGCGCGAATCGCGTCTCCAACACTCTCTGAATCCGAGTGCCGAACGAAACGCCTCTTCGCTGTGACAAGAAATATGCCTTCTTTGAGGCGAGTGCCTCTCGATTGATTTATCCATCTGTGTATCTGAGCACATTAAGGAGGTAGATAGTGTAAGAAACATTCCCGGTGTAAGCAAATGAATGATCCTATCCGTTTGTGTCAATCTGAAGCTGGTGTGTCGTTCACAGCCAAGAACACTTCATGGTTGTCGGGATCCCGAGACCGCATCACACAAGTCTTGGACTCGAGAACGGAAGGACTGGTCAAATCGCCCAGGTTTGCATCCTTCTTCATCTGGCTGATTGGGAGGTCGCTCACGGCATGCGCGAATCACCGTCGTATCCTCAAGGGGGGGAGGAAACTGGTGCAGCTCATGTGGGGTCCCCCAGGTGGAATTCGGCACCCCACATGGTTCTGAGCAGGATTTATCCCTGTGTGTTCCCCCTGGAAAATAAAGTGATGCAAGCGATCAGTGATCGTAGTTCGTCGAGAGATTAATGCAGGGCGTTCATTTATTCCAATGAAACAAGTTAAGAAAGGTATTGGCCTTAATTACTAACGAGAATGAAGGGCAGGAGAAAGGATGCTCAGGAGTTGTTGTTCAAGTAAAGCTGGAGGAAAGAGTGGCTCAGAAGCATTACCAAAAGAATGAGTCCTTGGCGCGTTTCTTCCATATCGACAGAGCTCTGTGTTATGTCCAATCGCGACAAGGTACTTTGATCGCTGAATTATCATGTTTTCATTTTGACTGCCAAAATGCGTCTCAGTAATACACAGATTTGATATGACATCTGAAAAGAAACCCGGAATCCAGGACCGCAACGCTCAATAATAGTCAAGACCAATTGAACCCCGATGAGCCTTGGAACGCCGCCGGAAGCCAATCCCAATCAACCATTCAAGCTGCGCCAGGTGGATATCATGGATCCTCACGCTTGGATCGCTCTCCTAAATGAACTGCGACATGCACTAGAAGTTGTTCGCGCCACTCCTCCCATTAAGATCACCTCCTGAGAGGAATTGAAGAAAGAGCCATAAGAACTGCAACATGCTCTCAGACGGGATTGCCCCAGGCAGCACGCAACCTTCTCGCTAACTGTATATCCTTCTGCTGAATAGTGACGCGTTTGGCGTGAATGGCGCAGAGGTTGGCATCGGTGAAGAGGCTGACAAGATAGGCCTCAGTTGCCTCCTGGAGAGCTTGAATGGCGCCACTTTGCCAGCGAAGGCTGTTTCCTGTCTGCTCATCCCAGTTGTACCTATTCGCTATTTCTTTGACCTATAGGGAAAGCGCAGAATTAGCTTCACATCAATGCGCCGAGAAAAGAAACGGAGAACAATTGCACCCACCACTCGCGCAAATGGCAACTTTCGCAACAACAGCTCAGTCCCCTTTTGGTATTTCCGGATCTCGCGCAAGGCCACGGTGCCGGGCTTGAAGCGTTTCTTAGCTGGGTAGCGTGTTGGATCTCCAGCTGCAGGTCTCGTCAGGATCCCAATTTCGCAAACAACTTGCGCAGAGGAATTGAACATACCCTTGCTCGGGGGGGGCACTCCTGAGCTCCTTCGTCCGCGCGCAACTCCTCCACCTCGTCCCGTTCCACCTCCCCTTCCGCGCGTCGGTCGCGCAACGTTCTTCCTCGCTGGCACGATCTGACCCTTTGGTGGCATATTGCAGAATTGTAGAAGTGCGATTCCTCGAGTCTAGCACTCAATGGGATTGAAGAAACCTGTTTCAGTGGTGGGACGGCTCGGCTTGCGCCCGCAAACGCGGTATAAGTGTCCTTGATGGGGTGGCTGGGGATCGCGCGCGTTCTGGTCTACACGGAATGTACGGGAGTGCCAAGATGCGTTTGCTTCGTCGCAGCGTGAGCAAATAATGCCCTCGTCAACGGTTGTCGAACAACCGAAGAATTTTTGAGATATCGTGTAAGAGTGCAGTGCAATTGCGCATGGGAGTGAAAGGCAGGTTCATCGAGAGAGAGCTGTGAAAGCGGCGCGGTGGTTTGCGGCTTCACAAATTAGGGTGGCTGGAATGTGGCTGGGAGTTGGGCTGAGCACGTGCTCAACTGGGCGGAAGCGCCAAGAGCGGAGACTGATTAGATAAGGAGGGCTTGGCGTGTGTTAATCGGCCCGCGACCGGACCGGACTTGTTACGTAGCCAGATGAGCGGCCCACGGGTACCTTCACTGTCACTCGTGTGCGACTGCTGCTTCACTGCCTCTCTTTATCCAAGGCACATCCGCTATCCTTTCCCGTCAACATGGCGAACGTGCTGGCTGGCGGCGACGGCATGATGGGTCAATTTCCCCTAGAACAATGGTTCTTCGAGATGCCCGTATGCACGCGATGGTGGATGACCGCTGCTTTGAGTGCCAGTGTCCTCGTCCAGTGTCGCATCATCACCCCCTTTCAGCTGTTTTACAGCTTCCGGACAGTCTTCTATCGCAGCCAGGTACACCCTCCTAATATCTCCATCTACGCTCTGGGATAGATTTCCTGACCATCGTGCAGTACTGGCGCCTCATTACCACATTCTTCTACTTCGGCCCCCTCAATCTCGACCTCCTCTACCACATCTTCTTCCTCCAACGCTATTCGCGCCTACTCGAAGAATCCTCCGGTCGCTCCCCCGCTCACTTCTCATGGCTCCTCACCTTTGCATCCACCCTCCTCCTCTGCATGGCGCCCATGCTGTCTATGGCTTTCCTCGGCACAGCCCTCTCCAGCACCCTCATCTACATCTGGAGTCGGAAGAACCCAGACACAATGTTGAGCTTCCTTGGACTTGTCGTATTTCGAGCACCGTATCTACCATGGGTTCTGTTGTGCTTTTCCCTGATCATGCACGGCACTGTGCCGAAGGATGAGATGTGCGGGATCGTCGTGGGCCACAGTAAGCGCCGCACCTTCCCTGTTAGGCTTGCGGTTTGACTGACGAGCAAATAGTCTGGTACTTCTTCAACGATGTCTATCCGCCCCTGCACGGCGGCCATAGTCCACTCGATCCTCCTGCGTGGTGGCTCAGGCTTTTCGAAAGACGGCCCGGACCCATGGAGGAGCCAGCAGATGATGACGGCGTCCCAGACCAAGCAGGAGAGCACGCCGACACCATCGGCCCGGAAGTCGCAGCTCAGTAGGCAGGATTACATTCACCATAGAGTTAAGCGACAACTCAACATATCAAGATACCCTTCTGTACCGGCGTTGGAAAAGGTAGCATTCAGGTGGGCGCACATTTTGGGACATTAGACTTTCTGTGTAAAGCAATGGCAGCATCAGAGCAGGGACTGCATGTGCTCGTACTCCCGTTTACCAATATTTCCAGCTTGAATTTCGTTGCTGTGACGCGTCCCTATTCCCTCCTCCCCAAATCTCCATTCAACTACACACGTTTGCCAATCCCTCCACCTTATTCCCTATCATACCTCGCCTCGGGCCCATTAGTGGTTTCCGCCCTTGCATCCTGATCCAAAGCTTGACGAGCCGCTTAACCAATCATTACTTGCATGCTGTCCCTAAACTTGGCAGGTACCCCGGAAACAGGTCAAGCGCCTTCCTAATGCGGTTAGCCACCTGCCGGGTCGACATGGTCAATTGAGGAACTTCTAGATTGTCGTGAGGATCGTCGGCGGACCTGACCGCGCATCGTTGGACGAGAGACAAATGACTAGAGATGGGCAGACTAGGGCAGGGTACGAAGAAGCGTGTATAAATGGATGGGCTCTAGGTTTACAATCCTTCACGTCTTTCTCCTTTACCTCACCTCGACTCAATTTACACTTTCTGTTCCTAGTCAATTCACAATGGCTATTCCAAAAGTGCTTCTCCTTTCCCTGTTACCCTTTCTCCCGTGTACCTCAGCATGGGGGACACTGGGCCACGACACGGTAGCATTCATCGCACAGAACTTCGTCTCAGCTTCAACAGCAACCTGGGCGCAAAACATTCTCGCCGACACCTCAACTTCGTATCTGGCGAGCGTAGCAACCTGGGCAGATTCTTACCGCTACACAACTGAAGGCGCCTTTTCCGCGCCCTACCACTACATCGACGCCAATGACAACCCACCTTCTTCTTGTTCTGTGGACTACGACCGCGATTGTCCCGCTGAAGGTTGTGTCGTCTCCGCCATCGCCAACTACACCACCCGAGTGAAAACCTCGAACATAAGCGCCACAGAAAAGCAAAAGGCACTGAAATGGATAGTCCATTTCATCGGCGATATCCACCAGCCGCTGCACGACGAAGCACTAGAAGTCGGCGGCAATACCATTTCCGTGACATTCTCAGGAACGGCCACGAATCTTCATCATATTTGGGACTCGAATATGCCCGAGAAATTGATCGGCGGGTATTCGCTCACGGATGCGAAGAATTGGGCTACTAATCTCACTGCTGAGATCAAATCTGGGAGTTATGCTAGTCAAGCGGCGGGTTGGTTATCTGGGATCAACGGCGCAGATGCGAAGGCCTCGAGTATGGTCTGGGCGAAAGATGCGAATGCCTATGTGTGCTCAACTGTGCTTCCAAATGGTGCAGAGGCGGTGCGGAATCAGGCTCTCGATGGCGCGTATTATGATAAAGCGATTCCGGTGATTGAATTGCAGATCGCGAAGGCGGGATATAGGCTGGCGGCTTGGTTGAACTTGATTGCGACGGGACAGGTTGGGTTGAGTGTTGCGAGGAAGCCAAGAGGAGCTGAAGTGGTTGAGGCTGTGAGGATCGCGCCTAGGGATGAGGAGAGGATTAAGATGGCGAGGAGAGCAAGGGCTGCCTTTGGGTGGAACTGTGGACCGGAGGGACATAGCCATTGAAAGGGGGGTTGATATTGTAGGCATATGTGCTGGAGGTCTGAAAAGAGACTGGCATCAATCTCGTAGTTGAATTCACCTTGAGAGCAGAGCCAGTAGAGTATTTGATCAATTCTTCCTTGTAGAACGAACCATCCAAATAGCACCGCGACGAAAACGTTGCTGTGATATCTCACTCGGTTATGTGCAACCCTACCCCAAGGGCTATGTCAAAATATAAATTGTAGTTCTAAAGGGGCAAGCAATTCTTTCACTTCTTTACCCATGTCACCCACTTACATTTCATTGCCCAGGTTATCCATCCAATACATCAAACACTGCTCTTCTTCCATCTCAAATACTTCCCAGTAGTCAACACATTTATCCTACAAACTGAATTCTGACTATAATCTTCTAGCAAAAGTTTTATATTCACTCCAATTTACTCCGTACGGAGAGGTTTTATTACAATTTCAGCTCCTAATGAAGCCCATTAAACCCAAGGAGCTCCCCAGCAACCGCAGTTTCTTAACCAGTCAGTCTAGTGAGCCTGGATTTGAAGAGTCGAGAAATGCAGGGTGTGGATACTAGGGTTTTGTTCTAAGGAAGGAAAAGAGGCGTGTTGATGCTGGTTCATACACTAAGCAGCTATACTTTGGAAAGGAGTATGATTGATCCACATTTTTGATATATTTTTTCATCCGTATAAGCCGCATTGTACTTGCTGTGTATGTACTGCCATAATTTTAGCATGGGCCCAACATTTAAATCCATTCATGCAACTTGCAATAATCCCGACAATAAAAATTATCTACAGACGCAATTTGTGGTTCCGCTTCATCGTCAAAGCCCAAATAAAAAGTACGGGAAGCGAAAGCGTATAGAAGTCGCTAGCACTACTAAACACCCCAATTGCCCATGGCAGCGCTTCAATGATATGCAGTGCCCGGGTAGCGGGGGGTAATACACTTGAGTGACTGGATTGTAGCAGAAGAGGAGCAGAAGAAGATAACGATGCAGAAGACCATGGTGGCGAATATGGCGAAGCAGATGCCAAGTTTGCTAGCTAGGCCGTGCTAGATGCAGATTTTGTCATAACAAATTAGGAGTGCGAGTTTAGTGACTAGGGCGACAGGCTAGTAGCATGATTGTATAATGAAACTGAACTGTGAATTTGTTAGTTCACTGGAGATTGGGGCAGCGGCTGTTGTGGACGTACCTCAACGAACTTCGATAGTGGTAGGTCCCAGGGATGTTGGCCAGAGCCTTTAGAAAGAGCTGTTGAACAAATGCTCGTATAACGGTATAAGGGTTAGTGTAATATGTACGATGCCGTACCTGCCATAAACCATCCCGAAAAGTTTGCTCATAATCTCTTCGTAGTGACAAGTCAGCACTTGACCGTGTGAATCTCTTCGCAGGAATGCAATAGAATTACCCATGCAGAGACGACAAAACCTGCTATTGCCATTAGATTCCATGATTGGCGGATGAGGAATAAGACTTAGAATCGTTCAAACGAAGACACTTTTTCATTCATACGCGGGTATAGAGACAAACCAGAACTGTCAGGGTTGCAAAAGAGAATAGAACCAGATGTACGGAGATAGCCCCTTCTTGCAAGTATGCGATTTATCGAAGTTCGAAACCATTCTAAGTGGCAGAGGAAGCACAAGTCGCTTCGATAGATCCATCCCTGGCGTAATAGCAATAATAGCCTTTCACTCGACTCCAAGATTGTGCGCATAGTTCCGGAAACAGATTTAGGCAACAAGTGGACCCAAGAGTGATGCTATCGGATTCCCAGTATTCCAAGTTTCCCGGTTCCCGCGGCGCCCGCGGCTAGGTAGCCCTAAGCCAAGCGCAATGGAATGATACCTTGAACAACTCGACAGAGGTGTCAAAGTACAACACCAGCATGCAAGCCAGATAGGAAAGAGCGACTCTTGTACTTCAAAGGTCCTTTGCATACACGAACTGCTGGACATGATCCAATGGGGTTTTTCCCACATCTCTAACACAGGCCTCAAGATATGAATAAGCCGCGAAATCTGCTGCAGTATATCTTACATCGATGGGCAGCGTATAACAGTCAGAAACTAGGCCCACGTTTGTCATTTACCTGCGTTCGTTTTACGAAGTGGAAGTTCTAGTCTATATGAAAGTGTATGCTCAACTATATCAAGGAGTTTTGGTTGGGCTTGCACCATGCCTCTCGAGAACTCCATCCATCTCCTCGATAGATGGCAATGTAATTTAAATGCCGCAGCCCACATAGCTTGACTTTTAGATCGAGGGGTACAAGATTGAACGATCATTTTCTCACTGAAACGATCGCTGTCCTGAGCTTGGATAAGTACTCCACCTACCTCTCTGTCAAAAGTAAGTTGTCTCGGACAACATACTATCTTGTATCTCTTTATTAACCGTACCAAGATGAATTTCAGCTATTCAACCCTCCGTCCTGTGAAAATCGCCGCAAATGTATGGCGCGATATGATACGGGCACGCTAGAATAAATCGTTGACATTATCTGCAAGTTCCGTGGCAGGGGCGATTACATTCACTAATGCAAACACCTAATTTCGCCCGCAGCAACACAGTTTTCGGATGAGTTGCATCGAACCGAGGACCTTGACTTCGCATGGGCCTATTCAAATGACAAGCGTGTATTTCCCTCTCCTGTAAAGAGATCTCGACTCTTTAAACAACTAAACCAAAACCAAGCAAAGATGTCTGTATCTCCCAGATGGGAAATAAAGGGGACAGTCCTGTCGTTCGCAGCATCGTGGAAGACGGCAATGAGGGCGAATATCTAGGCAAAATTCAGTTGATATTCATTCCAGCCTCCCTAGCCCTTTGCATATTTCTTGTAGGCTGTATCTAAGGTTAAAACCTAGTTGACTTGACTGACTTAGGATGTGGTAGGCATCCCACTTCAAGAACAAAAAACTAATACAACCTCTACGTGAATTTGCTCCTAATATTAAGGCTTGAATATACCGTCACTGGGAAATACGGGGAATGCAATTGCAAGTTGCAGCCTCTATTGAAGTTTTTAAGCGTGAAGTAAAGTTATATCTAAAATACACTCAAAAATGAAAGATAAGACTAAGCAACGTACATATCTAGGTAAGCCAAATTCAATCAGCAGGTGGTTCGACGCGGCTTCCAAGCCCCCCCACGTGATTGCGAGTCCGACACCTCCCATCCTACGAAATTAGCACATGGATTTCCGCGAAGATGCGAGTGCTCGGTTCCCACTAACCAATTGTTCCTGCGCATTTGGCAAGATATTCTCTCGGTGTCCGAACAATTCAAGCTAGCATGCAACTCATTCACAACTGAATCAAAGTTCACACAGGGTGAGTACTTATCACGCAGGGGAAGGGACACTTGTAAGGATCAAACATACACAATCAATCACGAACTAGGTTGATACACCTCTATGGGAGGCTAATATTTGACCACCATGCTTCCCTTAGAGTAATATATCACGTGATTTCCTATCTACTTTAGAAATTAAGAAAGCTTGTACTACGACTATATCCGTGGCTAATCACCCTCATGGGGCAAACATATAGTTAGCTTCTAGCCTATGTATTGATTGGATATCAGCCTTTACCCTAAAGAATCATCACCCGTCACTTGTGCGTCGATAGACTTCATGTTTCAAACGAGCCTCTGGTCTTTTATTTCGCCCAATATATTATATTTCATAGATTCAGAAAACATGAACACCCTGCAATTTTCTAACCGGAGCCTACCAAGGTTAGGAATTATTGCTAGGCAGAGCAACTAACATAATTAGGGAACTGTAGGATACTAGATCACGAACACAATGCACCAATGATTTTCTTAGTGGTTGCCTGTTGATTTTTGGACACGCTTTCATTGCGAAGGCAAGGTTCGAGGAATTGGTAATTATCATCTCAGTTTCAAAAGGGTGATTAAAGCTGGGAGCTCCGCTATTCAATCGCATTTCTTGGAACCGGATATGTTAGTAAAGAGACTATTTGGACAATTCTAAAACACACACCGTCTCCTGCTTGCACCACTGCATTCTTTCTATCGGCCATTAGTCAATACAGAAGACCAGCCCGCTGGAGGCGATGATTGAGCGATGGAGTGATTAGAACGTCCAGCGAAAGATTAGAGGGGCCAGGCAAAAGAACAACAGGGAGCAAGGGTATTTAAGAAAGGGTTTTAGAATGTCGGGAATAATAAAAACTCTGCTGTGATGGTGAGACAAAACCTACTCAAGTGGATATGATCGTGTAACCCGAAAGTCTCTACAATGGGCTGCCCAATCAACCTTGGGCTTAGCATCTATTAATACTATATAAATTATATAGCCCTTTTGACCTTTAGTCTATAATGCATAACTCATCTTATAGCTTGTGCCCCTGGAAGGTTATAGTAATAAACCTAGATATTACTTTAAAGATCTATTTAGCTTGATTTAACTACATACTTACATCTATAACAAATTACTTCTCTACTTTATCTGCTTATAGCACATTATTAATATATTACTGTTACTATATTACCTATAGCCTTAATTATATCTAAGAAGGTTATTCTTAGAGCACTAATGCGTTGCTGTATCTCCTCTGAAAAGAAGCACTACCGCGCTTTGATACGCCATCAGAAAATTCACTGAAAGTTTCATTGTGACTACAAGTTTTGAGCGCCGAGTGATTCTCAAGGCAAGCAAGCTCTACCTTTGGTGCTATGACTTGACATCTCCGGGCGGTGTGTATCCGTTGACCTGGATCGAGTTTACCAGTTGCCCTGGCTTTTCGATCCCGGCTACCGAGCGACTAGATTGTAACCAGTCCGCTCCGGAAGTATATTTTCAGGTTTCTTCAGATATCCTACAAGGCCGTGGCTGGGGAAGGAAAAGCGATGGACGACAATGCTTTTAACGCTACTCTAGAAGATTGGAGAACCTTAGTGCTCTCTAAGTACCTTCTGGGTGATTCATATTGCCGAGGATTTAATTAGAACGATGCATGGCAGAGAACTCTCTCCGTAGATTGCTGCTAGAATTGGAATTCTGCTCGACGTGTCAGTGCTGACAACATTTCTTTTTCTTTCCCTAAATATATCAGCAAAGGCCCCCTTAGTACTTCTCGGTCCTATTCAAACTCGCACAAGCCTTCCCAGCCGACGCTTATGCCAACGACATCTGGAAGATGGTGCAAGCGTGATGCATGGGCGAAGGCTGTTTTTAACCGAGAAAGGATGGCTTGGACTAGGAAACCACCCAGTTTGTGTTGGAGTCAAAGCATTCCTTCTTGTAGGGCCGCCGACTCCGATGAGCCTGCAGTAAACCATACTATCTGACGGGGAGCAGAATGAGGGCTCCAACAAATTCCATTCTTGGTTAGTGCCTGCTGTATTCACAGCACTATGGACAAGTTTGGTGCGGAGACTGAGGACGGTGTTCGAGAGACATTTCAGAGCGTTATAATTTTCTAGAATGGAGTAGGCAACCTATCATTGAGTCGTTGATTCCATAATCGGCCTGAACGCCGAGCATTCTTTCGGACTTGCGCCTGAAGTTCCTCAGGTCCTGATCCTTTCGACCGAATTTTCTTCACCGCCGAAGAAGAAACTCAAGTCCTTGCCCGAGAAGTGTTCGTAATGGCCAATCAGCGACAGGTCTGGAAAGATTCAGTGCCAAAACTCATGTCTACCAGATAAAACAAGAGAACAAGTAATAGGATCGGCCACGCCGGAGTTCCAGCACATCAAGAATACGTATTCTGTGGACCAAATAAAGCCACACATGAATTGTCGCCTAGAAATTATCGGCTCTAAGAGGAGGGAACAATAAGCGAAAGGTGACGGAAATTTAAGAGAGCGAGAAACTAAGACGCGACAAATCAAAGCGTCGGAAAATCTGGAGGAGAAGATAAGAGAGCTGATCATTTAAGAGAACGAAGTAACAGTGGTGGTTGTGCAGCAGATTACCGATCTGGCGTATTGGACAACACATCGTTGTGGTAGTCATGCACGTCCTGATCCGAGCGTGTTGGATAGACAGCACATGGGCGTCCTGCAGCTTAGTGGCGTGGTATTATCGATGCTTGGGTAGAGAGGCGAAGGACTCATACCTTTTAGGCGGATATCAGCCGATCCCCGCCTATTCTGGGCAGAAGCAGGCAAAATCTTGACCTATCGGTTAGCTCAACAGTAGTCACGTGATCGTGATTACTACTTTGGGGCTGAATGGAGTGAAGGTATGGAGCTGAGCTGGAGAAATGTGGCTTGGCAGAACTTCAACCCATTTGCCGGCAAATAGAGGCTGCCAGTGGCTTCACATCTTGAGCAATGTAAGCGCGGGCACCTACCAATCGGACAAGCCATAGCGACGGTTCGTCTCGATCCGTTTTCGAAAGGCGTTTCGCAGGCACCATCGGCCCAGTAATCATTTGAGCTCACCGATCCGGGTACCAGGATGGCCTTCTGTCTCAAGCTACTAGTGGCGGACGTATGCAAATCGTTAGTGCGTAAGCAAGCTCTGCCTCAATTGATGGAGTGGGTGGGTGTTCGCTTCTTATCATACAGCTTGGTATCGCATGTTACGGAACAAGGCTAGGGCGGAGTTGATCTGTTAAACTATTTGTTGGAATCAAGGAGAAAGTCGTTCAAATACATGTCCGATATTTACCTTCTGTCATGTTCCACGCTGGGTAGTAAGACGCAGTAGTCATAGAAACTAATAACCTCTGCCTCGTTCACTCCTCGTCAATGTCAATGGCTGTTGAAGCTCTCTTCCTGTGTTTCCAAAATCCTCCTGGCTGCGCCGTCCTTTCTTTTATCCTTTCTGCTGGCTGGCGTGTCTGCCATTTATAACCCCGGCCTACCTTCCTAAGATTAGTTGCTTAGACCTCTTGAGGGTATCACTTGATCTCATTCATTGTCATCCAGAAGACTACTCGAGCAGTAACCCGGTTTAAATTCTCTACGCAATCCCCAACTCCGCAACCCAAACCGCAATGACTCTAGCCACCACTACCACCCCGGCCGGCTTTTCCGGTGTCATGCAAGAGAGGCTCGCGTACAATGAAAAGATATCACTACTCCGAGATGACGAATATCCGATGCTCAAGGGTAGCTACAGTATTGGCTTCTAACAGACACATGCTTATATCAAGCAGGAATTACGTATCTTGATCATGCTGGTACCTCTTTGTACTCAAAGTCGCTCATCGATGCATTCTCTAGGGAAATGATGTCTCAGGTCCTCGGAAACCCCCATTCAACATCTACATCTGCGCTGAATACCTCTCAACGCATCCAGGACGTCCGAATTAGGGCACTAAAACTCTTCAGAGCAGACCCCGAGCACTTCGACATCATATTCACCGCCAATGCCACCGCGGCAATTAAGCTTGTCCTAGAAGCGTTCGCAGGATATAAATCGGGGTTCTCCTATCGCTACCACCGTGACTCGCATACAAGCCTTGTGGGGGGCAGGGAGCTGGCCTCTCGGAGTCAGTGCTTTGCGTCTGACACAGAAGTAGAAATGTGGATGAACCGACGGCGCAGGTGTTCGTTGTTATCCTTGTTTAAAACTAAGAAGAGTCATACAAATCCATCCCTCTTCGCTTATCCCGCTCAATCAAATATGAACGGCCGTCGGCTTCCCCTGACGTGGCCTTCCAAGCTCCGCAACTCCAGTCACCAGAACGCTTACACCCTTCTCGATGCCGCCGCACTTGTATCCACCTCTCCCTTAGACCTTAGCGACCATACCACAAGTCCTGATTTTACCGTCCTGAGTTTCTACAAAATATTCGGGTTTCCAGACCTAGGGTGTCTCATCGTGCGGAAAGCCTCAGCGCATGTCTTCGAGCAACGCAAATATTTTGGAGGTGGGACCACGGAAATGGTGACGGTTTCCCCGGAGCAGTGGTTTGTGAGAAAGGAGAACTCGTTGCACGAAAGAATGGAAGATGGTACATTGGCGATACGTAGTATCATTGCGTTGGGATGTGCGATCGATGTGCACGAGAGATTGTTTGGCGGATTGGACAAGATCTCGACGCATACTGGGTTTCTTGCGAAGTATGCATACAGCATACTAGAAGGGCTGAGGTATGAAAATGGAAGACCCGTCTGTCAGATTTACAAAGGTGAACGTTCGACTTATGGGGATCAAATAACTCAAGGTGCAAGTATTGCCATGAATCTCCTCCACAGCGATGGAAGTTGGATCAGCAGTTCCACGGTACAAAAGCTAGCCAAGACGAAGGATATCCATATACGAACAGGTAGTCTGTGTAACCCAGGGGGCATGGCACAAACGCTTGGTCTAGGGTCTGTAGAAATTAAGAGGGCGTTCGCGGAAGGGTTTCGGTGTGGTCAGGAGGCGGATGTGAGGGCTGGGGTGCCAATGGGCATGGTGAGGATTAGTTTCGGAGCGATGAGTACAGTCGATGATATTGAAATGTTCATACAATTTCTGAGGGAGGAATTTGTTGACTCTGGGGGTGAGGGGGTAGGGGAGAAGGGAGTTGGGGGTAGTAGTAGTCAAGCGGAGAGCTGTGATTTGAAGGCGTAGTTGCGTGTTGTGGAACCAGGAATGCTAGAGGAGCTCCATGTAGTAATTCGAATGGAGGCTGGTGTGTGTTGTGTCCCGTCATACAGCATTTGTTTCTGCTCTAATGTCGATTACTGCAAGGACCATGTGGAATGTAGAACATTACCAGGGGAGATTTCATTAGTTAAAATCTCTAGTTAGAATCAAGGACAACTCTAAAAGCATAGAAATTCCTGAACTACATATCCCCTGCTATGTTCCACACCCGGTGACCGGATACTGAGGCTTGTCTGTACTCTCACCCATCGTACCTGTTGATCGGATGAAACATTTATTGCTTGTCGATGATGCAGAGTGATTCATCGAAAAGGCTCTTTGCTTTACTATTAAATCATTTCCCCAGCTTAATTGAAGTTGCTCAACATCTGGTCGCGATTACTGAGTTCTTTCTTGGCATCTAACAATCTGGATGGGGCCATAGTCTTCGATTAGATGGAATTATGCTCCCTATTTATTAGTTATTCTCTGCACTCGCTACGTCCTGCAAACCTTATTGCCCGTTTTTATCAGCACTAACCGCATACAACAACAGGCAGTACGATGGGGGGACTCTATAGGCACTGTATTTGCTCTCATCATTAACCTAGACCTTCTACTTATGATCTAGCAGCACTAATAACTTCTTACAGCCTTCTACCCCTCCCAGACCCTTCACAACTACGGAGTAGAGGAGCTTTAATGTCGGACTTAACCAGATAACACTGCTAGCCAACGCTGGTGAATTCCTTAGTCCTTACGAGCGACTCAACGGCGGCCCCCTTAGCAAAGGAATACCATATACCCGCTCTATCGGTAATCTAAGCTAAGCGATAGCCTCAAATAAGGCGACGCAGCGTACAGGTGTAGAGTGCTTAGACGGTAACGCGCTTTAACGAATAACGGTTCTTCTTAGACTGAGCGAATGCCACGGAATCTATAAGGAGTATCGAGCTTAAAATTGGAGCGTTAGCATCACGGATGGAGCCGTAGTAAGACATTACTGCCCTCAACAGCTGGCTGTTGAAAGGAGTTGACGGGTTCAGTAAGGAAGTGGTAAGTAGGCGGGAACAGTAGCATTCAGGAGGAACCGTGCGAATCACTGCCTCCTCAAAGGGCAGGATTCCGTATTGATTAAAGCATTACTTGAGGCTGCTCATGTGCTGGTCTAGCTGACCATTTCCCCGCACTATGGTGCTCGATTACCCTAGAATACACAGAATGTGGCCGGACACTACGTCAATCACCTTTTTGACAAGGGGCGACTCTGAGCAGCGCATGATGGCGTGGCTTGCCTCTTCACGGGTCAGGGTCACCACGAAGCTCTATTTCTGTGCAGCACTGGCAGAGCGGCGTAGAATCCATGCGAATGTTGCTTAGTCCTTGCGTTGGTATAATCGAGGGCAGCAAGCGGGCGACGGAGCGGGACAAATTCATGCGAATGCAGCCGAAACTCCGGACGGTCGGTAGACAATTCTTTGCTGTGATGTCACAAATCCCCACCCTAATTATATACTACAGTTTCCTTTCTAGGATTTCTGGGTACAATTACCTACAGCCGCTACAGAGCTTCCCTTTTATACTGTCGAGACGACGTATGAATATAATATATACTTTCAGCGCTACGAGTACTTAGAATAATCGGGTACAATTCTGCCCTAATACGCTAATTCGTGGTGTGCCCTCATGCAAACTAGGTCCTAGTCAGCATTCATTGTACGGGCATCCGGATGGCGTCACGGCCGTCATACCGGCACTTTTGGAAGAGGTAACACTATCGCTGATTGGACGTATGAGTCTCGGGAGCCAGGAAGGTCCACGGGCTGATAGCCACAGTCAGGCGGAGGGCCATCAAATGCCGCAAAGTCCTCAGCAAAAGCAGATCATGCGACGCGAAGTTATGCCTCAGCGGGAGCAGCCCAGCCGCAGTCTGACGAAGGACGGGGTGCATGACCGCAAGCCCTTCCATTATCCGGGGTGACACTGACCAATGTGTACCACAGGCTTCAGCTACGGAAAATCTAGCGTGTCCTGTCATACTGCCGTGATCCTCGATGTTTGCGTGGCGTGGATTCATACCAAGATGCTTTTGTGAACGGTGAGTGAATCTAATATGAACGAGCGAATTCATTCTCAATCATGCCCAACGGTGTCAGAGCTCAAGTGGAAGGGTTGGAAGGCGCAGAAAAAGCTGTGTGTATGCAGACGCTCGCCGGCCTACACAAGCGTATAGGTGACTTGCCGGAGGAGGAGGTAGACGAGCTTAACGAGTATGCAGAGATAACGAGTACGCAGAGACGATAACGAGTACGCAGAGATGATAATGAGTCCGCACGGCTTCTAAGGCAACAGCAAACCCATTTTAAACTATGCCCTCGTTAAGCAAAATGTATCTTGAAATGCACGAATTGCCAAGCAGTCAGTAGCGCCTAGCATTTTGCCAGCTCCCCGAAGGAGCAGGCTTCTGGGGGCTCGAATCTCATGAGAGAGATTGTATAAGAGCTTAGATTTTATGGGAGTGATCTCCTAAGAGCCCAGATCTTCTAAAAGCTTATTTCTCCCGAGAGCTCAGATCTCCCGAGAGCTTAGATCTCCGAGGAGGATTTCTCATAAGAGCTAAGAAGCCCAGGTCTCCGAGGATAGACATGCATCCATAATGTGACTAGAACTAGGCAACTATTCAAGCCTCTACATTTAGATGAGTCCTTGTTTTGGGAGCCCTATCGTTAATGTGCGCCCTGGACACAGAGACGAAAGGGATTGTACCCCCACGCTCTACCCGCCACGTGCCTCTCGGAGCTGAAATTCTACCCGCAAGGTTCTCTGACCCAGCACTAAAGTAGCAAGGTGCATAAGCATGGCGTAACGCCATGCAAAACCCATCTTCTAAGCTAATTAGCTCTTAGTGGGCCGTGCACCTTCCACTTTCTTCAAGAGGAGTCTAAGAGGATCTAGTCATATTTATTAGTGATTTGATATGGGAAATACTGAGAGGATAACTTTACAATAAGATAGCTTTATATATATAGTTATAAGCTATTATAATCAATGCAATTATAAAGGTTTTTCAGATAATTAAAATTTAGAAATGTAATTTTAGAGCTCTAGAGCGTGGAAACGTAAATAATTTATAGCCTGAAAAATTAACACCTTATTTTCTAATGGCTCGTGATATTCGTACCACCCCCTCGGATAAACTAATAATCCGTCTCGGAGTAGCTGCGAACTAATAAAACTAATAAGTGTTACCAAGACCTTAAAGGGAAGCATTCAGACCAATCAGCATTGCTCGCGTATCTTCATACGAACAAGTACCCGTGGACTTCAAAACATCGTCACTTTGAGTATATTGCAACCTCGGAAGGAGAAGCCGGCTACTACAGCGCTAAGTGCTACTGACAGGGTAACCGCCACGACCTCCTTGATCTTAAGGACAAGTAGAATGTTATGATCAAAGTCTGGCGCAATTGCAACCTCATGAAGCTTGCTACATCTGGTGATAGACCTGCTTATAAGCTGAAAGCGACGAGGTGGTCATTCCTTAACCTTCAACTGAATAAAGAGGTTGTACCCGAAAGCTATGAAGCTAGTTGTCAAGCAACTCTATGTTATGAGCGATCAGAGTCAAGGAGAGGGAGACTTCCGCTGCAGCATTTCCTGCAGCTATTGAAGTTTTATTTACTCACCTGCCTCCAACCCCCAGGAAACTCCGTATGGCGCTCCTTCTGCTTCTTATCATGCGTCTTTTAGTCTTCCTTTAATAGATGATCCTAATTATGAGGGGCCTAATCCGCTTCTTCGGGATAGCCTCTCCAACGTTCTTGTTAATGTACCAAACACAAAACAGCTGTGTCACTCTAGGGTATAGCGCTTTAAGCGCATTCTTGAGGAAGTCTCATCATCGGAGAGGAACACCTGAATATTGCTGTCACCTATAACGAGCTCTTTAAATGCGTCTACAACCCATCGATACATGCGCTCATGTTCACTTATGACGAAGCACATAGCCATGCTCGTAGTAGTGCAGAATAAAGTCACCGCCGTGGCGTGGATAAGAGGCATATTATAGCGGTTCGTTCGGTAGGTCACATTGATGAAGATGATGTCGGGATAGAGGTGTGCGAGCCTGATTACTTCGTTTGTAGCGTAGAAGAGGAAGTTTATATGGCCTCCTTCATCAGTACGGTACTAGAGCGCCCAGTCATCGCTCTCCTGACACTCCATAACCAAGTACTCGATAGGAGAAAGGTCCTGGAGTCTCTCCTTCCTCGCGAGCGCTACCTTATTGTAGATGTCTCCTAAGGAAATGAGCATATTAGGATCCTGCTCTAAGATCTGCGCAAGGATGAAGCGTGGAGGTACTGCAGAGGCATGCAGAGAGCGGACCCGAGGTTTATGGGCTTCGGTTGGCTTCCGGTATTGTGAAAATGCCGGGGGGGAATATAGGTCGCATGTATGAGCGAGCTTCGCGGTATCTTCAAGAAGGTAGACCTCTCATGTACCACACTCAGTACGATAGATTCTGACCTCAAAAGGAAACTTGACTATCCGTGTTCTAGTAGCTTTCTTCACTCCCTCTCCTCTCTTGAAATTCTAGACATCAAAAGACGTCATCCGCGTCGCTGCTGCTGCTCTGCATTGAGAACGAAGTGCCAACAAGCTTGCTGGCGTGTCCCATCAGTTGTACGTTGCATTCTACCGACTGCAACAAGAACGTCAGACCGTAGCATTGCTGCCCTGATTACTACACTCATGCAACCGTTCCAGCAAAGAGGGGTGCTAGTTGACGGTGTATTCCTCAAGCCAGAGTATTGTTCGCGGGTCGTGGACGCAGCACGAGATTGATGGGCGCATTCGTACGAGAGTACAGGCTTCAGTACCCGAGGACTTGCCTGTCCACCAAGCAGATGAGGGTATTATTGCGAATTTCAGTCTTGGGCGCCGTGAGTTTTGAGAACTGCGTAACGGTCGTTAGAAAAGAGACGAGCTCATGCAGGCCTTTTTCGGATTCAAAAGTCCAATTCCTGGGCCGAGTTACGATTTAGAATCGTTCGTGGATTGCAAAATTTGACAGCATATGCGTTCTTGGGTGGCTTGGCTGCCCAAACTCGGAGCAAACAATTCGTTATGGAGAGAGTGGGAAAGGTGGAAGGCAAGTGCCCTGCGTGCTACTGGGGCTTCTGAAACCGTGGCTGTCGGCGCGGCGACAATCACTGTTAAAGAGCATAAAGACATATGGTTTGTCTGACATATTTTCACCGCTGGTGACCTTTCAATAGCCTGGAAAGCATTGGAGGAGTATAGTCTAGATATCTTTCACGTTCCCATTTTCCTGCAGAGCGTGTTGCTTGAGAAATTGCAGTATGCCCTGGTCTCGAATGAAAAAATAAAGGAAGGATTACTGAAAAACTTAGATGGCGGCTTAAATCTGCTGGAAGGTAGGCTTGGTCCAAGGTGGGTCAAACAGGGTGAGGATAGCGAGGGCTACTATGTCGTCGAGGAAGACTTCTCTAATGTACTGGCCTAATTACTTCGGCCGAACTTCTTAAAATTCCATGGATTCATCGACAGTGATAGAGACGAACAGAAGGCAGCACACCTTGAAAATCAAGCAGCTAGCCACAAAAGATAGAGGTGATAGTCGCAATCGATATTCTAACTGAAGACGCCGCCCGAATTCTAGTATCCATGGTATCAGGACTTCGATTGTGCTGCTCTATTCTCTTCAGATACTGGCACCATCACTAGAATCAAGAACTGCTGCCAATGCCTTCTCATCGACATCCCTGATCAAGACGTGGAAATGCTCGAGCCCTCGAACGCTCTGCGAGCCGATCTAGTCCTTAAACCACAGCACTTGATCCTTTCCTTCCAAACCCAACTTTTTTTGCGAAAGCGCTCTGCATGAACGCAGCAAGCATCCTTCGAGCGTTAGATCTTGGTACCTTTGTTGACAGACAACCGGCCTTTCAGCCAGACACAGATATGTGTTATGTTCTTCCCTAAACTGTAGGGCCAATTGTTACGCAGAACCTTGTAGTCGTTATGGTGGGCGAAGGGGATTTTGTTCGTAATGACAAAATGTGGGTTGGCGGAGGGATCTAACGAGGGTAGAGGTTATATTTCAACCGTTCTTTTAGAAGGAAGTTTGTGATGCTGCCGTATTCTTGCTTTATGCGATGCGACTAGAAGAGGTATGGGCGTAGAGAGTATGGTAAGCGGATCAACTTCTTGAGCTCAATGTTTGCTAATCAAGTCCCATTAGATACCTTGATACGTAGCCTTATATGGATTTAGCTTCAAAATAGATACTAATTATCTCCTAAAGCTCCTCCTGAGTCAAAAGATGATAACCTTCATCTCTCCTGCTTAAAATCTCGCGGTCCCATTCGGTGAGGGTTTTTGTAGGAGGTAGATCCTCCGGGCCGAACTCCTATTTCGTCATAGGTGATCGAAGCACAGTTTCCGTCGCAAAGCCACGGACAGATCCGTCGAGGTCGTCCAATTTCGCAGCAATGCTTCCGACCCTCACCGCGGCCCTTCCCCTACGACTAGTGCAAGATATAACAGGCGCCAGCGCAAACTGACCGTCGAACCTGTCGCATGTGTCTCACGCGATACTATACCTATGTACTGCGCTATTCACTCATTAGGACTAGCTCCTTTTTCGTACATTATATAGTCAGCCCAGAGCTCTCTCTCGCTCCTTAGACCTTACAATACACTGGTTCAATTCACCTTGTTTGGATCTCAATACCTTGTTGACTCGTCTACCCTATGACCCCTACTCAGCTCATGCGAGAGAACCAGCGTGGCGCAGAATTGGACCGATTACGAAGGGTTTGAACGTGAAGGTAGAGGCAAGAAGACCTATCTGCTGGAACTGGATCGATTTACGGATTTGGCGGACGAGAGCCGCGGGCTGTCTGCTGGTCCCTGAACGTTTGCTGCGGAAGAGCCCTCAACAATTTTTTTGGGCACCCAAGGCGGAATTTTGCGCTTTGATTCTCTGGGGAAGCCCTGCCGCTTGTCGGAAACTTTCCTTACGCTAACGGCTACCTCACGGCGACGCAGAGCTCGGAAGAGAACATAAGATCTGGTCACAAACTTCAATCACATATTGTGGCAGAGTTTGGAACTTTCAACGCCTTTTTTGCACCAACCTCTGAGCTTAAGAGCCACCTTCCAGTGATTATCAGACAAGTTCTACTGACCAAACTTCCGCACAACCACACAAACGAGTTTGAACATGGCAAGCCTTCTGGCGCCGCAGCGTAAATGGCGTCTGTATACCTGCCGGCCTGCTCATATTTGGCACATACATTGTCAAGAAGGAATAGCTGCCGTTCGCTATCGCGTTGGCGGTGATATTAGGAGCATGGACAGTTTTCAGCAGCCGTAAGATTTGAACTGGAAGTACAGCAGTAGTGCGCAAACGTTGAATTACCAGCATAGCCTCGGAAAGTGCTCAGACGAAACGAACTCCAAGAGTTTGAACTCAAGAAGATGATATATGCTTATATAGCCACGGTATATTAGTATTACTTTCTACACGTAAGTCTATACTATTAGTAACGTACACTCTCTATATTTCTATTAATACGGTATACCGCGGTTTACTACTATTAGCAAGCCCTCAGTGGACTAGCGTACTATTAGATATGAGGGATGAGACAAGAAGGTGAGTGGAGGTCGGCTATTCTTGTAGAACGGCGCGCCCTATGCCAACGACAAGGACAAGGCTCGCTTGAGCCCTGGAGGCTGCGAAGCTGCATGGAGTCCCACTTCGTGGACCCGGCGTGTGCGGGTTTTGGGCCCCATCGCTAAAACCTGACAATTTCTGAAGAGGCACTTTAGTGCATACAGAGTGAGGCTCAAAAACCGGTGAGATGACACTTGGCAAGGCTGAACCCAAGTAAGTATTTTTTTTTCTATGGGCTCCTCAATCTTTTTGGTTCATTGCAAAACCGCATCGAGCGAGGATGCTCAATTATGCATGGTGACTAAGGAGCTACCTAGGTTCGGTGAAAGTCCTCATATTACGCAAAGAGATTCATCGGTTGTACTGCACAAGAATTATGAAACGTGAAATATACATTGCCTGGGTTTTCGGTGTTGGGGGATATGGTCTTGCCCACCAACCTCGACCTCAGCTTCCAAAGTTTTACGAATGATGCAATCATGTACTCCACTTTCCAAATCCGACCTCGGCATTAGCGGCTCCAGTTTATGCTCACCACCGTAATGTGCTTTGGATTTGACGTTCTCTTCTGTACCAATGTTGTGGAAGATGTCATACGAGAACACCGGTGAGCAGGCTATTGACAAGGCTAAATTATGACTGCCGGTAGCAGACCTGTGCCGACTGAGCCACAGCGGTGTAGGTTCACGTGAGTGAAGGGGGACTGGTGGCGTGTGGATTGGGGCGGTGAAACACGAAATTCTCATCTTCCCACTGCACTTTCTTGCCAACACAAGCTCAGCTACTACCTACATAACTACAATTTACTAATGCTCGCGATAATCTTACTTTTAAGTCCACTTTAGTATTCTATATTCAGGGTAATTCCAAGATATTTTACTATGAAACAATCTGGATATTGCGACTGGCATGGGGGTACCCAATTTTGCAATGCAATTCCTACTCCGTCAGGCAATCGCTTGGGTCGGGGGAGTGACAGCGTCAGCAAGAGTATTGTAACTCTAGGCTGGTGTTTTGGAGGGTGAGACTGAAATGCAGTATGGCTTGGCGTGATTTGGAGGACCAAACTTGGGAGAGATGGGAGAAGAAAAGATTGAGGCTTGTTAACCTACGCCTGGTTGGCGGTGCAGCAGAAGAGTGTTGTATTGATATGGAGCCTCGAGGGCAGTCGCGATACATATAAGCACAAGCACCGTTGAAATCGTCGAGAGCGCTAGAGATTGCAGTGCAGGTTTCGGCCCCCGGTCGCCCCGCCGCGGCGCAGTCCCTGCGATTCTAAGCCTCAGTTCTTCGCCAGATTTGTAAAGCACTGCAATCTCTAGCCTGAGCGATGACTGATAACCTCATAGCCTTGCACATCCCAAGCTCATTCGTGGGCCGGTCAAAGATTCCGAGTCAAGTTCCGAGCTATGGCACCTCACCATAAAGAATATCTTCCAGGATCCCTCAGGATCTCCCAGCATCCCCCAGCACCCCCCAGCACCCTCTGCACTGCAATATCTAGCCTAGTAGACAGGTGATGTGGGTAACAAATTTTGACAGGGGAAGAATGAGATCTAGCCTTGGGCCAGGGTTCTCACTAACCGATTTCGCGTCTTGAGAACTGTTCTTGACTGAAATCTTGGTTATATATCGCTCGCTCTACATATTTGTTCATTTTACCAAGTGCATTCAAGTCTTTAATATATCCTGCTCTCAGAGTCAACATCGTACGTAAGAAGGCAAAAGTCCAGGTCATTAGACCAAGAATGCTTCTAGCTTTTGGAAGACCTCGTTGGTCGCGAGTGCTAAGAACTTCAGTGCTCGTTTCAACTATCTTGATCTACGTACGATGCCTCTTCGGCTGGTTTGTTGATTAATGTGGGGATTCGTATACATTCCTTGACGCCTTTTTTTTTTGGCTCGAGCGGCCAGGGGACTTTTCTTTTAAACTACTATAATTATTGGAGAATTCACCACAATTTCTAGTATTATTAAACAGTCGGGAAATGAGGGGCCACACCTCGGCGGTGGCCAGACGAAACCAACCTAACGTCAGAATACGTTTCTAGAGCTCCAAGTCTGGCAGTACTACAATGAAATACAGATCCATTTCCCCTTGCACGCATCGACATCGACATTAAAATCGTCCTCTTTATATTCTACGAGTTTGCATTCCTCAAGCGATGATGCTAAGTAAAAGGCAACATCAGGCTGAAATTTTGCGGGAACCCACTCAATCAAAGAACGCAGCGGAGGCAAAAGCTCCGGTTAAGGTAGGGCTAGCTTGGCAAGAATAGTCTTACGGGCTAGAGACTACCATGCAGAAGGAAGGCACCTAGATAAAGCACAATTAAGGTAGGCTCTTATGCAGAAATGAGAACCCTTGCAGTTAATTGGCCAATCAACAAAATAGAAGAAGCAAAGTTAGCGCTGAAAGCTACATTGAGGTGTTATAAAGGCTCGTGATTCAAGTGTAATGATTCTTGGAGCACTTGCAGACGCTCATCCAATTGAGAACGTAGGAGAAAAGCTCAGATAGAAGGCTACCTGGATGCATTCGTGGAGGCTAGAAATTGCAGTGGACGACGAAAGGCGCCTTGACTTGCATTGCGAGTTTGTCTGGGAAAGTTGAACTACTGCCTTCTCTAGGGTAACATTAATATAGTGCCTGAATATCTATTAAATATTAGAAAGAGGAGAATTTTCGCATCATATTACAAATAAAGAATCTTTTGTCTAATTACACTTACGTTGAGATCAACAATCCTTCCTCTCGAATTCCCCAATTACCTCCCCCCTCTCTAAGAGAGATCGAGAAGATAATTTTGGCTGGCGTAACCGGAAAGTCGAGCAAGACTGGACTGCCATGTGACGGCCTCTGACCCAACCAAAGATTGTTGTGGAGGAAAAAAAGCTGGGTTTGGATAAGGGTGTCTCACTACTGCTGTAATAGCTACGATACATGTGCGAGACTGTCCACTGAAATCTCTGGCCTAGGAGATGAATGTCACGACTCAACCGTGATCGTATCGAGCCAATCCCAAAATTCGATCCAAGTACATGAACATACCCAAAGAGGTCGTGCTACTAACTTAGCAAGAAGTCTACTAGTCGGCGAACAAAGCGTCAAACAAGCTGAATAATGGGAAGGCAAAGTATAAAATTCAATCATTCTCAAAAGTACATGTCGAATCGAACCACCCCCTCCCCCTTTCCACGAATCAACCCTCTCTAACGTCTTCCCCGTCACATGCACCCCTCACGCCTCCCGACCTCCTTCACCCAAACCCCTGCCTAAGTCCTCACCCACTTCCACACGCTCTTCCACCCACCCATATCGCTATAGCTCTCGCCCAGACACATTCAGAAAAAAATATTTTCTGCTTAGGGGAATAATGCCAGACGCCCCGGCAAGCGATGTGCAATCATAGTCAGATAGTCTTGACTCGTATAGTTCAGTCCGGTCCAGCAGCAACGACGCCAAATATACCATGCTGTCTTGCTCGCCACGGCAACGGAGTGATAAGATAGAAAAGATTAGTTAAAGAACAGATTGAGAAGGAGAGGTTAGAGAGCGAAACCGGTTGAAAAGCGCTCCAAATCCAATAGTGAGAAATAAGAGACCCTGGCAGACAGACTCCGAACTCCCTAGTTATTGTCCGAGTATTTCGGATCGGGGAGAGTGAGATACGCGTGCCTAAGACCGCAACCAAATCCACACCCCACGCCCGACTGACAAACTGTTGCAAAGTCCTACGCAACATAATACAACTTCATCGCACTCACCACCCTCTTCCTACACACCGGACAACTATCTACGCGTTTTGCACACTGCAAACAAGCAACCACATGACCACAATCATAGAAAGCTGAATCCGCACCTTCTTCCCAGCATATCCGACACAGTCTCTCCGTCTCTTGAGCGTTTTTCCAATGCGTCACACCCTCCCCAAATTTCTTGTCATTTTTCCAGCCACCGACATACGTATTTCCAGTTGCGGCTTCGACGAAGGTTCCGGTACCGTGTTGTTGATCCTGGACCCATTCGCCCTCATACGTGTCGCCATTTTGGAACGTGTAGAGTCCGTGGCCGTGGCGTCGGGAGAGGAGGAATGTGCCCTCGTATGTAGCACCGGTGTGGTAGATGCGTGTTCCCTGTCCATGACGATGACCATTCTTCATCTCGCCCTTATAGAATTGCGACGAGAAGTAGTTATGCGTGAAGTGACCAGTGAGTCTGGAGGGGAAATTTCGAGCCTGAGCGCGGAAGGCAAGATAAGGTTGCGGATCGGCGAAGGCTGCTCGAGCTACAAGTGCATTGCGCTGTTCTTCGCTTAGCGGGAGTGTTGCGATTATGACGGTGGTATTGTGGAGATCGTTTTGGGTGAAGGATCGGCGGGTTCGAATGGGATGTGTGGTTGTAAGATCCTCTTCCTCGAAGAGCTCAATCTTTTTGTCGGATGGTAGACCCAATAAAGACAGTACTGTACTGTCCACTCTAGCGGCCTTTAGAGCGATATGTGATCCGCGAGATTCAAGAGTCTGGGCTTCGGCATCAAAGAATTTTAGGAAGAAGTAAATCTCCTCTGGGATGACATTCACAGGTTCTGGAGGCGGTGGAACAGCTGTTTGCTGCTGGAAGTCCATTGTTGGGGCAGTCGGTTCGGGTGGAAGATCAGCAATCGGAGGGGGAGGTGGAGGAGGCAAGATGATGTCTTGTGTGCCACCCATTTCTGTATCGGTAGGAGCGGCAGGGTTGGGAATGACTACATCAACTGCTGGAGGGTCTGCAATGGGAGTTGATTCCACTGGGACCTCAACTTCTACTTCCACCATGGCTGTATCGGCAACTTCGGCAGTCTCTGGATGTGCGGGTGATTGGGGATCTTGCGGCTGAGGTCCTAGAGGAGGGGCTGCTGGCTCATCTGGCTCGCTCATGGGAGTATCTTCTGCCTGTGGTACCACTTCTGGTAGTTCTGGGGCTGGAACCTCGGTCATGGAGAGGGTTGGCTGTGGGGGTTCCAGAGAAGTTGGGGGGACCGCTTGTGATATTGGTGCCGATTCCGGGGGTTTCGGATCCTCCTTGGGCAACTCACGAAGATCAGCCACGTCAATTATATGGACCCAGATGCGGACAGCCATCCAAGAATCTTGGAAATCTTGTAGAGCCCACGGTTTGGAGTCATCAGCGTAGTGGTCAGTGCTGCCGCTTGAGTATTCAATTTTTCCAGTGCCTAGTAGGTATGGTCTCCTAAAGGTTCCCCTCATTGTGTCGACAAACCAGAACTTAATTTGGCGAGGATTTTTGATGTCTTTGATAACTTTTGCGAGCTTCTCCCGAACATCATCACAGCCATCAGTGGCTGTTAGCTGTACTGTATAAATGAAGTCTGACTTATCGGGTTGCCACTCGGGATCGTACGCATCAAACGTCCCGGGACCTTCATGTTGCAGAAAGACTCTCGAATCAATCACCTGGAAGTCGTGCACTTTGGGTAGCTCTGGTTCTTCCTTTGCCTTACTTTCCTCTTCGGTACTTGGCTTCAGATCATCTCCTAGAGGTGGTGGTACTGGTATCGGGATTGGAGAGACATTTGAGGATTGCGACTTCTCAACCTCGGCGCGAAGCCATTCCGGTACTTCCCACAGCTCTGACTCGGCCTCTGCCTTGAAGGCATTACTGGAAACATCGTTTCGGACATACATGGCAATGTACGCCACGGCGTCGTTGCCAATGACTTTATCTGATCCAGGATTTCCTTCGTGAAGATCGATGGCTTGTCGCTTTGTTAAGCATTTGACCATGTTCTCCTCCTTGCCATCAGTGTAGGTGTACCATTTTGAGCCGGGTCCCCCAGGGCGAAGAACCGGATGGTATAAATACGACTGAAGTGTTTGCTTGTGCACCACGAAACCGTATAATGTGTACTGTATGCCTCGAACATCGATATAGTCGTCCAAACTAACTTTGTTCAACAATTTCACATATGATCGAGTCGGGGTGTCGAAGTCTTGCCGTTTAAGTTCAACCGTCAATAGTTGCGGCAGAGGGTGTCCAGGATGAGCGAAATCGGCGGCTTTGTTGATAGCTTCCTGCATGGTGTTGACACCAACGACAGGAACTCGGTAGTTTGGAATACCGGTAGTATAGTTCTTTTTAAGCCCGAACATGTCATCCATAACACTGGTGTACGGAGTATCCCGCAATTCGTCCTCAAGTTTCAATCGCAAAACTTCCCACAATTCAATCACATCAAGTTTGTCCAGCCGCTCATGGATGCCATACCATTCAAGTGCATCCAAAACATCATCTAAAGCCACGGAACTCGTACCAGTCTTCGCTCGGGTGCGTAGCATATAAAGAACCTTCTGCAAGGCGGCAATGAGAGGTTTCGGCCGGACGAAGGGCTCCTTTTCGGGATCTGGGACTTTGAGGTGGTACAAAAACAATCTGACCGGTTTGAATAGCATCCAAGAGGCGATAGCGGATATCATATTTCCTCCTGGCGAGCTTGCACCTTCACCCAACGTCAGAGATTGGAGTCCGGTCATAGCAAAACTGTCCCAAGGATTATCGCGGCTGTGGTGTTCCCAGAGGCAATTAGTGTCATCATTTATCACCCGAATGTATCCAGTGAAAGCAAGCTTGTCGTCGCGAAGTAGTGCTTGCCGTTGCCCACGAATACGGTGTGAAATATCGTAGTATGGCCCATGAAACCTAGTCCAGCCCCAATCCGGCGATCCTGTGCAAAATCGATGTAAACAGGTTCGGGAGTAGTTGACGCGAGGCTCGCTAGGGTTGTACAGGACAACAGATACCTGTGCTGCAACACTCCTTCGCTTCGGAATAGGCGTTGGATCGAGCAGAGGTAGAGGGGTATGCTGAGGCTCAACCTCCTGAGGCTCAGGTGTGCTTATCGGCGCGGCATCGTCACCCGTTACCATTTCGTCATCTTGGTTTGCTGAGTCTTCGCTGGTCAGGTTTCTGTCCTTCTTTGCGCCTTTATCTGCTACACTGAGGCACTCTACGTAGACACTCAGGTAGTCGGAGTCGTTTCCCTTAGGGTAGAATTTGATCTGCCAGTCGTATCCTCCAATATTGACAGGTTGTGATTTCATGACCAGATCTTTATTGGGCTTCTCCTTAGTACCATTGTATTGTTCGATAGACCACTCAATTCGACCGCTCATACCCGCCGTGAACTCTGGCTCGTCCAGAGGAAGGAAAGCTTTCTTTTCCCAATGGTCATGGTCCAGTGCACTAAACTCCGGTGTAGCCTCAATCTCTTTCATTTCTGTCTCGTCCGGAGTGGAAGTGTCTTCCTGAATGGGTTGCCAGGCCTGGGCACCGTCATCGTCATCCGAGGAGTCTGAAACAGACTGGACAGGCTCAACCGGCGGTGGTGGGGGTTGTATGCTTGGGTCGGCCGGGGGCGGGGGTTCTACAGGAGGGGCAATTTCTGTGTTGGACTACGGTCATGTCAGTATATGTACACTGCCAGTGGTACTTTCTTGGGAACGTACCTCATTAGCGTTAGCTGCAGAGGGTTGTTGCTCGTTGTTCTCCGACCCGCCTGGAAGAACTCCATTGGGAGCGGGCGTGCTCGGGGCATTCCCATGAGCTTGTTGTGGATCAGCTGAGCCATTTGGTAGTACCAAGCCTTGGCTGCTGTCAGGCGTTATGTCCATGGCGTCTTCGTCTACAGCGGCGACCTCTACTGCGACGGCGTTCGGGGGGGACTCTAGGCTATTTGTATTTGTCTCCAAGTGCCCATTTGTTAGACCCCCAGAATCTTGCATGAGAGCGTCTTCCCGGTCATGGTTCTGGCCAACCGGCGGCAGCAATGTGGTGGAGGCACTCATGTCGACGTCATCGGAAGCCTGTGGTGGCGGAGACGATACAGGCGTTTGGGTATGGTGGAGGTGGTTTGGTGACTGCGGTGGAGAAGAGAAGGACGGTGAAGACGGCTGTCCGAATAGCGGCGCCGGCGGTTGTTCCACGTTGACACTCATAGCTGCAGAGCTGTCGTACTAACGGGCTGTTGGCATATATGGTTGGGGAGGAGACAAGGATACGATTTGAGGGGGGGTTCAGGATGAGAGGCGGCAGTGAGTGAAGGGAGAGGAGATTGTGTCGGTGAAGGAGTGCGAGAGGCTGCAACAGCTGGCAGATGCGGCTTATCGTGAGCTTGATCTGGCTAGCAACTCCCTACGACAAGCTCGGATGCCAATGAAGTTGAATGGCTGAGTTTGGGGGGGATTCAAACAGCGAGGAATATTTGAGGTCGCGGAGTCAACAGCGATGTCGAGAATTTAGACGTGGCGCGGGCTTTAAGGCTTGCGCTGCCTAGCAAGCTGTCTTTCGTTGCCAGGCTGCACTGCTCCAGCTCGCGAGTGAGGCTGCGCTAAAATGTCCCCGCGAAGCTCCGCGCTAACCTTGAAACAGAGTGTATGGGCGGAGCCAAATCGCCACACCCCCAAAGGCGAGTCCGCTCTCCCTCCTCATTATCATCACCATCTTTTTAATTCATTGCTCGAGGCTCCGAGCGAAGGGCATCACTACCTGCATCATCGCACATTTAGGTTCATCAAAAAGGCTGAGAGCCCTTATTCCTTTTGCGGACGGGCTCTACCGTGACCGGAATGGGACCCCACTCCACCAAACATAACGATTGCTAGTGCCCACGCTACTCCTTCTCTGCCTGCTTGATCTTTGCAAACGTCGCCGCCACAATCAATGGAAACACTATTGTGGCCTCCGCATACACCTTCACGCTATCACCATCTGCTTTGATCTTGCCCCAACTGACCGCTTCATCCGGTCTCGCTCCTGCATCACTTCCGTCAAACTCCTGAGCCGTATTGATATACACTGCACTCTCGGCACCGTTTCGCATCAAGCACGCATTCGCGATGTGGTGCTTCACGACTCCACCGCCGAGAATGATCATGCCAGCCCTCTTCGCTCGGACAGCCATCGTGTTGATCTTGCGGATGTCTTCGACAATGTCTATCCGCAGCTGTTCGGGAGACGACTTGAATGTATGAAAGTAGAGCATGTCGCCAAGGCTACCGTCTGTTAGAGCAGGGCAGAACACGGGAATGCTGTTCTTCCAGGCCCAATAGTATACAGACCTCTCGTCGTTGATTTCTTTGCCTAGGCGGTTGATGACCTTGCTGGGCGTCCAGTGGATTGGCTCATCTGTCTTCTTGCTGACCTCCTGCTCTTCCAACATCTGGTCCAAGATGGGCACTACCCAGTCCTCAAACGCACAGTAGTTGCTGTTTGGCACGAATAAATTGCCGATCCGGTTCATACCTTTGGCGCGGAGTGCTGCCCCTGGAGAAGAAAATGAGCCAAGGTAGGTCGGGGCGAGACATTTAATGAAATCTTCTTCGACTCCACCTGCAGTCGTGACTATAGCTGAGACGTGTTTGTGTTGAACGAGATATCGGAATGTCTCTCTCAGCCCAGAGGATATTAAGTTCGAGGTGTAGCCTAGAAATATCGTTGTCCCTTCGGCCGTTTCAGGGTGCTCCCATGCGCCCTGTCCATCCGTTAGCAGGAAACATCTGAGGCATGGGCACTGGCAAAGCGTCGGTGTCAAGAACACCTAGCCAGGGCTAGTGGGATGCTATTTCCGGCTAAATTGTTTCGCCATTTGGGGAATGCGCAGGGACAACTCCAAGGTGCCCGCAGCCTCACAGGCACCGCTCTCAACGCTGGCGCTCCAGCTGCTCAGGGTGAACTCACCATGCCGTTAATGATCCGCACTGCTTCGCCCACCGACGTTGCCTGGAAGCCCATGTTGACCATGCCGGCCACTAGCTCCTCGACGGTGATGTTGCGCTGGGCATAATGATCGAAGTCAATGCCTTGTACCTCTCTGGATCCTACGGGAACCGCTTCGGAAGGCTTCAATACCGCATCAGTGGCGCCTGATGGGGCTTTGGACGTCCGATCGTGATTGGCGGGGGCCATGATTCACGATGCTGCAAGGACCTCGAGACCAACGGCTATTGTTACTTCCGCAGTCGCTTCTGGTGTGGAAGCGGGTGCGCAATTGTCTCCTTGTTCAAGGCCGCTGATGGCGGCATTTTGGATTCTGCTGCCTGCTGTTTGCAATGTAAAATCTCGCTATCCCGCAGGCGCATCCTAAAGTGGATAATTAGGCGAGCGACCAAACACACGACCATGAGCGCCACCAGCACGGGACGCTCGGTCGATCTGGCGGTGCGCAAAGCAGTGATAGGAGTGTTTCCCAAAGATACACAGGGGATATGCCGTCTGGCTCGAGTCATCGGTGAGCTGCCGCGATGTTCCTGTGAACCTCACGCGTCGCTGGAGGGAGCGACTTATGGTGCGCCGGTGTTCTTCGATGAGGCTTCTACCGGCCCATGGGCAATCTGACACAAAGCACAGCGTTTCACACTGGCAGGCGGGGACTTGGCCCCGGCCTCGCCCCTTGTCGACTATGGTAAATCCATGCCTGCATTTCCCGCCCATCTTCAAAATACCAGCCAATCAGTTGCTGCACGTCAGCAGAGAAATGGGAACGATGCGTGGGACCGTCCCCGCTAAGCCGCTTGCAGTGCAGGGCAGCCAGGCCCAGTGCGCCAACGTAACCGTTGCTGGAATTCCCGGCTGGAGAGGGGCGCGAAATTGGACCTTGCTTGTGCAGAGCCGACCCTGGGGCTGCCAGTCGGTGCCAGCCCATGACGGCTGCTCCAGGGCTGCTGAGTGCGTTCTCGTGTCCTCCTCTTCTATTCTTCCTCCTTCAACGACACCCTCCTTGCGACCGCGACCTTACACGACGACAACATGCTGCCTGACCGCTCTGGCTCGCAACTCGGCTAACATCTCCACGATAAACCTTTCTCTTTCGCTACCTGCACAACGTCTCACGTGCCGGGTGCATCTCCCTCAAAGAATAGCAGCGCCACGTCAACGGGGGGTGGCATCGAATCTTCTTCAGCCTAGACTGGCCCCGTCTAGCTGCCGCGCCGCGCAAAATTGACAGGAATCGCCCGCGAGCGCCTCCTTTGAATGTAGGCATCCTTTTCAAGTGACCCCGAGGCCTTCTTAGCGGCTTTTGGGTGTGAAGAGCAGGAGCAGAGGGCGATCGCAAATCTCAGCTCCAGGCTCGGCGGCTGGGTTCCACAAGCGGATCGGGTGGTTTGATGCGGCTGCACCTCCCCAGCGCGCTTTCCTGAAATCCTCAGTGTGCACAGACCCCCAAAATAAGATTCCGCGCTAGTGCATCTGGGGCTTGAATCTTCAACCTCAAAGCACGACACCTGCGACACGCACCCTGTCATCTACCACACACCCGCCCGCTGTTGACCTTGTGACACCTGTCCAGGCTTAGAAAGAGACTCACCGTGCTATGAATGTAGCTATCTTAGCTGGAGATCCGGGACCATATGACTCAAGCTAACCGTGTTGCAGTTCTAGTAGACATTCAGAGAATCAGGCCCAAACCTTTCACCACTACCTGAGATCTGAGCGAACCAATTCTTTTAAACATCTAATTATCAACAGCACAAGCTATAACTCTCTGTTACACAAGAGTTCCCAAGAAGTTGCGCCCATGTGGAGTCTAGGTCCAGTATCACAATACTACCGCATCCAACACTCTCCAGATGTCTTCATCTCGCTACCCAGATAACCGATATCCACGCGATCGCGATCGCGAGCGGTCGCCATACAGAGATAGACGACCTTCCGGCTATGGCGGTGGCTATCCCCCAAGAGGGAGCGACTCCACCAGCCGACAACATCTTGACTCCTCCGCCTTCTCTCCGAGAGACGTTCCTCGCGGCCCTAAGTCACTCGTAGATGTACCCCGAACCGTTAATCCAGGGCCCCCATCTGGCGTTCCCTCTGGTCCCCGCGATGGGCGTGGAAGGGGATTCCCGGGACGTGGTGACGGCCCTTCCAATTCTTTGCGGGATGCACCTCCTCTCACTGACACCCGAGACCGTTGGCGGGCCGATCGGGACCGAGATCGAGATCGAGATCGAGATTTTGAACGGAGGGATAGGCGTCCTTCTCCCCGTCCACGTTCACCAATTCGGGATGTACGTGATTCAAGGGATCTTCCTAGAGACCTGGACATTGGTCGTGCGCGGCGGAATTCGCGGGATGGTCCGCCGTCGGCAGGCTCTACCTATTCAGACCCTCCTCTCGGGATGTCTTCCTCGTATCGTGGAAGTGGAAGTGGCAGAGGTCGTGGAACTGGTCGGGAATTCAATGTAGATTCACGAGGCCGTGGGAGAAGTTACCATGACGACCGCGGCGACCATTATGGGCCACGTCCAAGCATGTATAGGCCACGAAGTCGCTCACGAGAGCCGCCTTTGCGTAGAGAAAGGGAGATCCGGGACGATCGGGATTTTGATAGAAGAGATCGTGAGGAGCGCAGGTTCAGCCGAAGGGATGACGACCGCCGAGGACACGATTCGTACATAGGACCCGGGACCTCTCTCAACACTAATACACGATCCACGGATTCTCGGCACGCGGGTGGAGCGGCCGATGCTCGGCACATTCCAGGAACACCAACAGGACCGCTAACTCCACATTCAGCTCACCATCCTTCCACCGGTGATCGGCTAGGGCCTCCGTCCGACTCATACTCCCGGCGCTCCTCCATTGCGACGGAGCCTGTGAGTACAAAAGATCCCCGAAGAGAGTCAGACAGAAACGATCTTTTAGCGAGTCGTGCTGAAGCATCAAGAGAAAGGTATGCCCCACGTGCATCCTCACCTCCTGCCGCGGTTCCGGCCTTTGGATTTTCTAATGTTTGGAGGAACCCTGCCCTTGACGCCAAACCGATTGCTGCTGCTCATATCTCAAAACCTGCCCAACCTGTGCCTCCAGCCCCTGCTCTCTCTACCCCAGCCACATCAGCACCAGCGATTCCAACAGCTCCAAAATCAATTATCCCTTCCGGGTTGTCGATAGTTCCTCCAACCGGACCCAAGGCAGACAGAGTTCCTGATCGCCAGCAAGTAGAAATCCAGAATCAAGATGCTAGACCCTCGGTTGTCGAACAGGCGCGCATTGAGAACCCTCAGCGTCCGCCTCCCTCCTCTTCAACACATTCCAGCACTAATCCCCCGATGTCTGAAGGCCTGGAAACAAAATCACTATCTCAACTGTCTGCAAATTCGCCTTCTCTAGGACTGGCCCCTCGAGCCCGTGTTCCGCCAACCGGCCCCCAAGCAGGACCTCGCTCAAATCCATCACCATCCTTTGTCAGACCCCCGCCAGCGCCATATCCTTCTCGAGATGCATCGCCGGGTGCCATACCTTCGGGTCCCCGGAACGCCATGTCAATGAATACGTCACCTAAAAGCATTCCTGTGAGTATTCCAACCGGCCCCAAAGCGGATAGAACACCATCTATGGCACCTCGACCGTCCATGTATGCATCACTCGACCGCCCTCCATTCTCAGCCCCAAGGATGCCAATCGGGGGGGGGGCGCCAAAGAGTAATCAGTGGGTGAGGCCCGGTCTTGTCAACCGTGTGGCAAGCATTCCCACAAAGCGCGATTTTCCGAGTGAAGATCGCGAGCGACCATTTGGCGCCACCCTTAAAGCACCTAAAGTTGAAGGTACTTCCACGGCGGCAGAATCGCAACGTTTAGAGCATCAGAAATTGGGAATTTCTACAGTGGCTCAAACAAGTGACAATCGTGGACCAACCAACCGAGCATCTTCCGAACAACTCCCAAAAATATCTTCATTGAAGAGTCAATTACTCGAGTCAAGACGCCTATCCGACGTATCTATGCCCGATGCATCTCCACCGGCAGTAAAACCGCCCGTGTCTGTAAACTCATCTGCGCCTGGAGTTATGGAGGATTCGGACGAAGATCTCGATTTGGATGAAGCAGATTTTGCTGAATCTGAAGCGAAATACAATAAGGAGAAGGCTCTACTTGTGTCGAAACGAATAGACTTGAGAGTCGCCCGCCTGCGTGCTACTTCTCCTTTACAAGAGATTATGCTATTAGCTAGTATAACCTCGGATCACTTGCCGCACGACGAGACTCAGGCGCCGGATCCTGCCGAGGAAGAAATTCCAATACCTCCTATTGCACAAGCGCCACCAGGGAGCACCACGACGGAACTACTTACACCGAAAGCCGAGGAGACAGAAGACATTACAATGGAGGAGACCTCACCAGTATCAGGGATAGCGCCTGCAACACGAGCGCTTCGTCCGCTTCGTGAACTTTCCATCGACCGCGAAAGTACTCCAGATCTCAGTTCTCTTCCTTGGCTTCGGGATGGTCCTCCGACTCCACTCTCCGATCTCGATCAAGATAGACCAGCTCTATCAGAGGCAAGCTTGGAAGCGATCCGGAATAAGTTGCGAAATGACTCAGTTCCCTCCATTTCCCATAAAGAGGTTCTAAAACAGTATGCAGATGCGTACAGGCAATGGAGACTGCGTATCCGAGACCTCGACGAAAATCGGGAACATGAAGAGCAGGAGAGACCGCAATCTGCCGAACCGAGTATGAAGGTCACCACTCCAGACATTCAGAGTTCTGCTATTGCAGCAATGATGGAAGTGCCACCAGCCACGACAGGCCGTCGAGGTCACTCGGGCAGGTGGGCGACGGAGCTCGACTTTGAACAAGTTCTCAAGGAATCGTTGAAGACGGCAGAAGAAGAGAGGATGGGAAAGAAGGAAAAGGGACCAAAGAAATCCATCTCGGACCCAGAGAGGGAAGCAACCTTGCCTTTGCAGATGACAGAGCAGGAAGTCCAGAGGAGGCGATTCATCGACACCAACTTCCAGCGAGAACCTGGACAAGGCATCTTTGTGTATCATTATGAACCACCGGAAGATGACTTCAGTCAAGAGGAACATGACATCATGGTTCGACACTACAAGGACCAATATGCGAAGAAATGGGGCAAGTTGGCCGAAATGTTGCATAAAGAGGCAGGAACAAGCCGCACCTACAAGGATTGTATCAACCATTATTATAAGTCGAAATGGAATAAGGAATACAAAGGGAAAGTCAAACGAGGACGTGGTGCAAGGCGAGCTCGAGGTGGAGGTGCGGCACGCGGACGAATAGCTGCCACCGCAAATGCAGAGCGACCAGAAGCATACGGCGAGGATGGTCCGCCGCCTTTGGCTCTTACTGATAGTGGACGGCCACGACGACAGGCTGCGCCAACATTTGGCGCAGAGTCTGAACTTGACGCAAACACACCTGTTCCCACCCCAGGGCGACCTCGTCGACAGACCGATGCTGACGGTGCACCAGAGAAGGGGGGTCGGCGCGGTAAAGCTGGGAAAGAAAAGGGAGGGCGGAAGCCAAAAAACCAGCCTCTTGCTGCCGCTCCGGCTGAATCCCCCATGAAAATAGACCGCAAAGAACGCGCACTAGGAGTAAAGATGGAGGACGAGTTTAGCAAACGCACACTTGGTGAGTTGACTTTGCCCATCGGGCAGCCTAGCTCTATGGAGGATCCAATGTCTCTCCAAGGAGACACACACTTGCATCCTGCGTTGAGCACTGGAAGCTCTACAATGATAGAGCGACCAAAGGCTCACGCAAATGCAAGATTAGGACCTTCTAGCTACTGGTCTGTAGCGGAGTCAACAGACTTCAAGAAGAATGTCGCACACTTTGGGACAGACTGGGCAGCGATTGCAAACTATATGGGTACGAAGACACAAACTATGGTGAAGAATCAGTACCTGCGCTTAGTTGAGAGCGGAACAGCCCCTGAATTGGCAAGATTAGCTAACGAGGCAGACCAAAAAAGGGAACGGGGCGAGGACCTCGGGCCGCCGCCAACGCCAACACCAGCCCAGAAGAGACGTTATGAGAGTTCCACAACTGCTCCACGGCCCCTGGCACCAACACCCGAAGTGACTGAATTGCTCAACTCTCCGGCTACCCAGGCCGTCATACCCCCGAAGTCGTCTCCTCCAAATATCACCTCCTCGAGGTTTTCTGCTATTATCCAGGCTCCACAGGTGAAGCCAATTGTTCCAGCTTCCAGCGCTGCCCCTCTCCCGGAGTCACCTATCGCCCCTGCACCTCCAATGCAGCAGCAGCAGTCTCCTCAAGCCCAGCCATCACGATCCCAACAACAGCATCATCACCATTCCTCGCACTCCCAACATAAGGCCCATCCTCACGGCCCTCGGGCCGGCTTCTTCTCGGATGACTTGCCGCCTCGCTCGGAGAATCGACCGCCATCGCAGCCGTCGATACCGCAACCTCATCGACCTTTGGCACAACAATTTCCGCATCAGCTTCGCCCACAGGAGCAACAGCATGCGTCACCGTTCCGGCCATCCATTCAGCCAGAGCGCGAAGTGCAATCACGACCAGAACCACAGCAGGAGCATGAAGGCTCCGGGCGGTTCCCGTTGCATCATGCTCGACGTATCTCCCAAGATCTTGCCCCTCACAGGCACTTTCAGCCCAACGCCCTGAGTGCAGGGCAAATCATGCCGCAAATGAGTACAAATTCAGGGGCCGGTTCACCCGAGACACGACCTCTGCCAATGCAGCAACCTCGACAGCCCGTACAACCAAGCCAGCCCCCTGTAGATGTTACCAGCCAAGCGCCGAGTGTGGTGGTTGTGGCTCAACAGCTTGCTTCTCGTTCTACGGTCGTGACTCCGCCAGTCAAAGAAGAACAGCGCCATTATCCTCTACCTCAGATACCTCAGATACCTCAGCCTCAAGCCCCCCCTCAGCTTCAGGCTCAACCTCAGAATTATTCCCAACTGCCTCAACCTTCTGTTCAACCTCCACCGCAGCCGGTTGTCTCGAAACCTACCACTGAACCAAAAATATCCAGCCTGTTGTCCTTACTAAACGACCCTGAGCCCGAGGAGCCAAGACGTAAGAAGCCTAGCGAACAGAGCATACCTTCACACACTCCAACGCCCCAACAGCAGGCCCCAATTGCCCCTCCCCCACCTAACCCCCAGACATTACCTCAACGCCGCGAAGGTTTCGGTGATCTCGGTACCACTCAATTACCCTACAGCCGGTCTTCCTTCGCCCAACAAGCCTCACAGTCCCAAGCTTCCACGGGCCGAACCATGGTTGATCTCACAAACGAACAGCCACCAAACAGACAACATCCACGGGATAGCTGGCAGCAACGACAATCATATCATCCAAGTCAAAGCCAAGCACAACAGACTCAGTCACTTAATTCTCCTCACATGACATTAGCTCAACCGAACTTGAGTCTCAGCAATCATCGGGCTGTCCTCGCCCAACACAATGCCCCTCGACACAATCCTTCGCCACCTCCCCATAATGCATATCATTCACCCCATGCGCACTCGCGGACCCCCAGTTTGACACAGCCACCTCAACAGCAACCCCGCCATGGCATCAGCAGCTCAGCTTCAATGCAGGCTGCGGCCGGTGCCACCCAAATCCTGCAGCCGAACCCGTATGCTCAGGTTGACCCACCAGGGACCGGCTCTCAACCCACAGGACCAGTTGGTATGCGACCCAGCCCTCATCTCCATACTACCCATGCCGTGCAGCACCGGGAAAGCCAAGGCCGAAATGAGCAGACCCAAAGTCATAATGGCAGCCTCTCTTATTCCAACCCTCAGACACCGATTGACCGTCACCCTTCACACCCACATATGCGAACTGGAGGTCTTCCCGAGCCGTATCGCCCCCGTGAAAATGACTTTGACGCGCGGAACCGTGAACGAGACGTCTCCCGGGAACTCTCTCATAGAGCCGAGTTGATGATGAGGCAAGAGCGCGAACGAGACTCTATCCTATCAAACCCCCAGCTACGTTCGGCTGCCCCACAGTCTACGCTCCAGGACCTTAGATACCAGCCTCAAACTCAACAGGATCGAGGATATCCTACTCAGCGTTCTCACACTCCACTTTCGAGAGCTGACCATGTACAACATCCTTCTCTACAGCATCACCCCCATTCTCTGCTTGTCGACAACAATCATGTTCTGATAGGACAACGTCTACAAGAGGATCCAACGCCGCCACCGCATCGAATGCGTGAGGCATACCCTCCTCGAGATGAACGTGATCGCTTCACAGATCGCATTCGAGAAGAGCAGGCGCAACAGCAAGCCAGGATAAGGAGCGATGAGTATCTTGTCAGAGAACGTGATGCGAGGTTCCGCGAGGATCTTCTAAGAAGAGACAGAGATGCTATAATGCAAGGCCCAATCCCACCATCTGGACCAGGCCTCAGCCAGCAGGGGCAAGGCCAACGACAGCCCCCAGGTGGGCCCATGGATTGGGCAAAGGCCGTGCGTCCCCCGGGTCAATGGGGTTCACGATAATTTTAATCTCAAGTCTCCCAACTTTTTCGACGGATACACCTACAACCTTCACCCACGTTTCCTTTATTTCGTTTCGAATAGTACATTTGGCGGACTTTTATAAAGCGACCTCGTCATCGATTCCGGCTCGGCGTTTCGGACTTTTCACGAAGTGTTGAATCGTTTTCTGCTTGATGGATGGAGTTTGCATGCATGTAAAAAGTTGGAGCAGCACCCGCTGCAACTTCAACCACGACCTGAATGCTTCACTGGCGATATGTGGATACGGCATGATCCATGGCGTTTGTTTGTTGGAGGCTAGGTTTCATTGGGGATGGGTTTTTAGGGGTGCTCTCTTTCATTGGCGGTGCTTTTTGTTTGTTGTTAGGGACGGCTGGGTGGATGATTGTAGTGAAGTGTTAGGGCATGTGTGTGTGTGTGTATACTATACCGACAGGACTTTTGGATGACGTAGTGTATGAATGATAGTGCTTGAGTACAAAAGAAACTTTTGTGTCTTCTGTGGCTGCGATGGGCTACCGCATGCTATATCCATAGGGCATGGCAAGGACAAATTTAGAGCAGATATTGGCATCCTCTTTACGACCCTTTAAATTCCAGCAAGGGGTTTAACGAATTATGACTACCCTAGTCACGTTCCGTGATACGTGGTAACATATTGTACTACCTGTACTACCTCGCCTTCTCTCAATTGGATTCGGTACTAACTCCATTTCCTGGCACCACCTCCTATAATCCCTACCAACTCTGGGGAAGCTGCTCTCGGCACAGAGACAACTGTTGAAGATTGTGGAGTAGCCAGCTTTCGTGCCAAATTCCGCGCAGTTTGCAAAAAAATTACGGCAATACGTCAAGGAACATCCCAGAGATGCGGGCGATTATGCATGAGAGGCCCTACTGCGGAAATCCCTGGAGTGGTGGTAGAAGCAATTGATCAGCGACAACTCTCAGAGACTTTAAGAGCTACTTAGCCAGGAATTTGTGGACATGAATGATGTGGTAGATGCCCTGGATAGCTTTCTTCAATGGCTCGAAGTTTTCGCAGTGATGCTCACCGATACCATGCATAAAAACCGAGAGAGCACAAACTTTGGAGAGGCTGCATGATACTTTCTGTTCGGTGCCTACATAGTGGCTGACTATTAGAGCCTTCTCTACCTCTCCTCTCTGCCAAAATCCTGAACATGCGGCTATCAAATTTGTGGGCACCTTTATATCCACAAATGTTCAAAGCTGACTCAATAGTTAAACCAGACTGAACCAAGTGAGAAGGCTGAACTAGAACCCCGTGGACATTGTAGAAACCTTTGGCATTAGCGCCGACTGTAATAGTGATATCCGTAAAGATGGTGACGTGAACAGGATATTGAAAGATGTCTCCTCGAAATTAGAGCTTGGGAAGAAGTTCAAAGAATGTATAACGTTCTAGGAAGAGGTCACTGGGAAGATAGAGCTGAGTAGGACAGGACCAACGCGCGAATATTGCTTCGAGAAGGCATTTTACGCAGACCGACAGCCGGAGTGCCCTCAATGCATGAAGCCAGGGCTTCCAACGAGACGTAGTACTGTACGATTGGGCGATTTTGAGGCCTGTACGGGTGAGATTTTGTGTACGTTCGTACGACAGGGAGGAGGAGAGGTAGGTGTACGTATCGTAACTGTTACGGCTCACGTGATCTGTACGAGTAGTACGATTCAATTAAAGTACGCTGTACTCTAGTTAAAACAGCTAAGACTATAGGTCTCTAGAGACGCAAGATTAAGGTCTAATTAATTAGTTCTCCCTAGTAACAAGAGCAGATAGGACTAGATAAGGCCTGTAAGGCTGCAAGAGGCGTGGATAGATAACTCTGCAATAGAAAATGGTCTGTAATAGGCATTTTTAAGACGACAGACAGATGGATAGATTAAAACCCTTAGAAAGAGATTTAAGCGTCCGCAGGCCTCCTGCTCGCCAGAGCCCTTATACCCCTCCAGAACCCCTATACAAACTTCCTAAAAAGGTAATACGATCCGTACTACGTACCGTACCTAGGGCATCATTAAACGTACGGTACGGCTCACGAACTCGGTACGTTCGTACTGAACACGTGACCGTTACGGTTCACTTTGTACGGACCGTAGTACGGCCCGTTGGAAGCCCTGCATGAAGCTGTACTCTATGGCTAATACCGTGTGTCAAACTCGAATACTTTTCTGTGCTTAATGCTACTACAGTGTGCAGGCTGGAGCACCGCACATGCCCTATCTATTCCGCTACCCAGACACCGACAACCCAGAGACGAAGTAGACTGTTGCAGAGAGTACAACAAGGCATTGATATGCCGGGCTTGCAAAATGTGTCGAAGGACTACTTCAATTCTACGGATCAATCCAAGAGACGTTGATCGAGGGTAGAGGATCTGCCAACCCTGCCTTCACAATCTCCCTGAATGTGATACTCGGAGTGTAATAACCAAACCTAGGGGAGGGGACACTCTAGGGGCCAGGGCTTCCAACGGGCCGTACTACGGTCCGTACAAAGTGAACCGTAACGGTCACGTGTTCAGTACGAACGTACTGAGTTCGTGAGCCGCACTGTACAGTTAATGATGCCCTAGGTACAGTACGTAGTACAGATTATATTACCCTTTTAGAAAGTTTTTATAGCAATTTTAAAGGAGTAGGAGGACTTTAGTAAGCAGGAGGTCTACAGGGAGAGCTTCTAAAGCTCTAATTAGCTAAAAGTTTTATAAAGGCGCTTAAATTTTTTTTAAAAAGTTTAATTTATCTATCTATAGTCTATTATCTTAAAAATACTTATTATAGACTATTTTTTATTATAGAGTTATTTATCTACGTGTTTTACTGCCTTATAGACCTTATTTAGTTAATTAGATTTTTTTATTATCTATTTTACATAGTCTTATAGGCTGTAGAAGTTAAAAGCTTTTTACACTATGTCTTTTACCTTATCTTATAATAGTATACTATTTATAGCTAAAGATTAATTATAGTAGTTTTTAAAAGACTATAATTATAACACTTGTAACGATTCTACGAATCATTCCATCTCGGGTCGCTCGGATCCTATCCGAAGGGTCCCCGTATCGGCCCCGACCATAACTCGACCCAGTCCCCCGCAGTTACCCCTATTCCCTTATGTATTTAGTCGCACCTTGCCCTTGTAGCTAGCTTAGTAGTTTTCTAATATCCTTTTGTACAAGGCCTATAGGTGTTAATGGCATTTCTAGGTTCAGAGTCCCCACGCACTCCTATATGCCTCTAAGTAGATTCCTACTGCATTTAGACCTATTGTCTTGCCTGCGCTATTACATTATATTAAAAAACTTACTTTTACTAGTAACAGCCTTATTAATAATATTATATTAATTATTTATTTAACTATGTCTAACTTTAAGAAGTGTTTAATTTAGTTTAAGTTACTATTTTTATACACTATTACATTAAATTATTTAGTTAGTATAAATAAAATTTTAGAGACTTTTTATTAACTAAAGCCTTTAGGTTTAGAACTTCTTATCCTCTATAATTAGAATTACCTTTATGTGAGAGCACTGTGAAGCAGGAAGCGTGAAGCGCAGAAGGGGGTACAGGATAGTATTGATAGACGAATCCTTGAGGAGACTCAGGGGTTCGTAAGAGGATATATATATATGTGCTGGGGCACGTGACGGGACGTCATGTGCCCAAGGCTGGGCCGAGGGCTCTCCGGGGAGAGTCCGAGGCATGTCCAAGTTGACCGTGACATGGCCCCCCTCCTTCTGCAGGTCGTCCTCGATCCTGCGATTGGATAGGTAGGATATCATGGTAACTTGGACTAGCCCCAGGCGGACCTGCGGTGGGGACCGTACAGGTTACGCCTGGGTAGTACTTATCACTAGTGACTAAACTCTAGAAAACCTTAGTAAGGGAAAACTATGTCTAGAGAAGTACAACTAGGAGAGTTAGAACGTTATTACTAGCGCTGTAGCTGCTAATGTAGGGCGTTCTTGTCTTATTAGGTTAAGCCTAATAGGCCTGCAGAGGCTAAGTAAAGTAGATAGTCTGTAATTAAAAAGCCTACTTCTATAGAAGTAACTTAAAATTACAACTTTTCTTTCTTACTATCTAGTTAAGGTCTGCTTTTAAAGGTCCTAAGGTTTTAGTTTTAGTACTTATAGGTACTGCAGGGCATCTGTGGATGCACTGCTCCCGCGCGGGTAGTTCCCTTAAATGCAGCGGTTAATTACTAGGTCTTTCCTGTTAGGAGGATAGTTATTAGTAAGATATACCTGCTGCTAAAAAAGTAAGCTTACTAGTTGTAAATTAGCAGTCTAGTACAGCACAGATAGATTAGGAGCGCGCAGAACCTTTGTTCTACTAAGAGAGTAGCTAGCAATGTTTTTAGAAATCTTTAGGATGTTCCTGTCATATATGTGGATAATACCTAGTCTAGACTTTACCCGGGACCTCTCTAGGTCTAGTAGGGCCCTAGACAGTACCTTTAATACAGACATTTACACCCTGCTCTAGGTTATAACCTTATAAGCTGCATAAAGTTAAAATTTTGTAGTAAAAAGTATAAGTTATTACTTTATTCTCTTTTTATTTGTGTGCTAACTTTCTTTAGCAATTCCTATGTTACAGAGTTTAGATTGCATTAGGTTTTGCTATAAGTGCTAAAGTTAGTGCAGTTATCCCCTAGGGGGTACCTGCAGGTGTAGCGTTTAGCTGTTGCTTTTATTACAATATATTACACAAGGTAAGCTAATAATCCTAAAGAACTTTCTTATAGTTGTTAAAGTGTTTCTTAAGTTTTTAAGTAAAGTCCTTAAGAAGCTACCTAAGCTACTTTATAAGAAACTATTGTCCTACCTTTAAATCTTTGTGTTTAAGAATTCCTTTAACCTTATAGCAGTCTCTGCTATCTGTCTCTAGGACGTGTACAGGCCTAGGCTAGAAGGGCTTTTCTTAAAGAGGCTTATTCTATTGCTCTAGTAGTAAAACATAAAAGACAGAATAAATCCTTTACATTAATTATAGTAGGTCTAGCTAGTATGCTAGCTTTCTAATTTTCTTAAGTACCTTAAAGAGTTTTAAGTACATTGCATTAAGCTTCTTTAATAGACACTATGTCCTAATATGCTTTAACTTTAAAATAACTTAATCTTCTACACTAAAGTGCTTTTCTAAATGCTTAGTGTTGTACTATTTAACCTAGTGCCGCTGCGCCTGCTTAAGGCATAAGCGCGCAGCTTCCCATTGCTTGTTCTATCTTAAGAGATAAGCGACCACCTAGTCCCGCAGGGCTAGTGCCTTTCTAGACTTGTCCTATACCTAGGGCGGGCGCCTAAGCTAATAATTGTCCTTAACCCTATTAAAGCCCTTTAGAGTAACCCTGTACGCTACGCGTATTAGGCATTTGCTATAGGAGAAGTGTTTCTTAGAGTTATAAGCATACTCTGCGTACAGTAGCAGCTTACACTAATTATCCTACTAGTAGTTTAAGTATAACTGCAAGAATAACTCTAATTCTTAATTTTAACACTTAGTTTACTTATTAGTTTAAGAATAAAAAGCTGTACTAAGCTAGTAGTTAATCTTTAAGTAAAAGCAGATATTTAACTAAAACTAACTAGTAAAGATTAAACTATAATTAAAAATAAAAGTATCTAGTAGTTCTATCTTTATAAAGAATTACTTCTTTAGAAAGGTAGCTAGTTTTCTTGCTATAATAGTCTTAGTAACAAGAAGGTACTAGACATACTTTAAAAAGTAGTTAATAAGTACTAAAATTAAGTTATAAGTACTGCCTATAAAGTCTCTTAACTCTAGTAGGTTAATAATAAAGTCTAGCAAGTAGTGCCTTTATAAAGAAGTAAGTAAAGGTAAAAGTTTTAGTAACTTTTAAAGCTTATGCTGCTAAATCTTATTTAGCTAGCATAGTGCGCACCTTATAATGTACTTATAAACATTACAGTAAAGGTACAGCTAGTAGTATTTTCTTTTAAAAAGGTCTATAGTCTTTTTAACACTATAATGCCCTTTTATAGAGTTATTATAGTTCTTTATTAGGATGTTTTAACACAAGGCTTTATTATCTAGAATCTACACTCTCCTATTCCTGCGCAAAACACCTATAGAGTTATGCTTCTAAAATAGAGTGCTTTTTTTTGCCTTACCTACTTTTCTTTCTGTTAAGAGCATATTTAACTAATAGGCCTTATTAGTTTCCTGCACTTACTTAATGTACTTAAAAAGATGTTTTAAGACTTTTAAAGCATAAGTGTTTTTATCTTATATAGCTATAATAGTAAAATAGTTTAGTAATAACATTTTATAAATGTAAAGGTAATAAAGGAACTCTTCTGTAACATTCTAGGTCTATTATTGCATTATAGGTTCTCTATAGGGGACCTGCAGCGCTTTAGAATTAACTGCCCTGTGACTGCTATAGTCTGTAGGAACAACAGGTTAAGTTAATAGAGGCGTACCTCTAATAATTAACATTATATTAGGTAGATTTAGGGATTCCCTAGGTATAGTACAGCACCTTGCTAGGTCACTGTTAGGAGAAGTTATACTACACGCTGCCTAACTAGCGCAATAAGCTGTAGACGTTTAAATTGCCTACACTTAAAGCTTTTACTATAAAGTTAAAAGCATTACATCTTATAGCAATTTTACTTCTTCTAAAAAGACTTTTTTTATATAATTAGGTCTCTTAGATAGTCTATTAGCTAGGTTTTTTAGACCTAGCTTGTATTTAATCTTAAAATTAAACTACGCTAGCTCTTCTGCCTAGTAGGCTTACTTAAGGGAGAGCTTCTTTATTGTTATAAAATAGCGCAGATTATTATAATTAAAGAGTACCTAGATTATGCTTAAAGTGTACTCTAAGTAGTGCCTCTAATGTTTAAAGCTCTCCACAATTGCGCACAACTCCTTGTTGTGCGTATGCTAACAGAGTTATAGGCCGCTTAACTTGCAGCTCTAAAAGGCTATAGGCCTCTAGTAGCAATTTACTGCTAGCTTAGAGAACTAAGGCTAGAGCAGTATTACTACTATAGTAAACTTAAAAGCGTCTATAATAATTATAACTAGCTTTAATAGATTAAAGTGCTAGAAAACTAAAGCATCTATAAATTTTAACTTAAAAGTTAGGAAAGTGTTATAGGCCTTTTTAAGCTAGAACTATTTTTAGTACTACTTTATAAGACTTTTATAATTTTGCTTTACTTCTTTCTTCTTTTTTAAGTTAGGGCCCTTATAGGGCAGACTTAGGGCTTAAGCAGCTATTATATAGTTAACTAGTAAGCATGTAATCTCTAAGTAATTATAAATAAATCTTTAATAAAAGTTTATAAAGCCTAGAAATACCTAAATGTCTTTAAAGCTTTTTAGCTTAGGCTATTCCTTAATTATCTAAACGTGTAATAAGTCTATTACTACACCTTTTAGTGTAACTATAAAGCCTAAGAACTTAACAGCCTTTATCTTAAAAAAATATTTAGATGCTTTATAGTACAGTTTTTATTTTACTAGTTAATTAAGAACTTTAAAAACATATTACTTATAGTCCTTTTTATTTTTAAAGTAAATAAGGATGTTATTTAGATAGATAACACATGTCCTATCTAATAAGCCTTCTAAAGCCCTATAGATATAGGACTAAAAAGTAGCTAAGGCATTAGCTAGGCTAAAAAGCATAATAAAGTACTTAAAATGCCTATACTGCGTCTTAAAGGCAGTCTTCTACTTATCTCTTTCTTTAATGCAAAGCCTATAGTAGGTGTTGCAAAGGTTAAGCTTTATAAAGACTTTAGCCTTTAATAAGTAATTTAACATCTTACTTATAAGTAAAATTAAATATTAGTTTTTAATTATAATTTTATTAAGACCTTAATAGTTAACATAAAGTTGCAGTGTCTTATTTAGTTTTAGAATAAAAAGAATAGAAGCACCTACTAGCAACCTGCTTAGGCGTATCTAACCCTTCTCCTAGGCCGCATTAAGGTATTTCTGCAGGATATCTAGTTTATAGCAGGAGAGGTTATAGATTAAGAGGTTTAAAATCTTCTTTCCCTTCTTAATCTTTATAGCATAATTATGCTTGCTATTTAGCCTAAGGATGTTTATACAATGTTTGCTAAAAGCGTACTACTAAGAGTAGAACTTAGGGGGAACATGCGCGAGTTCCTTAGAGTCTAGAGCGTTGTTAGCATTATTAGTGCCTAGATACCCATCACTGTTGTTAAGAAGTACCTAGGCAACGCCTGCAGGCAGTGTGGCCTAGCAGTGGCCTTAATTATAGATACTAGCTACTATATAATAGGCTATAGCTTTAGAAAGCTATAAAAGCTTTAAAAATATTTTAATACACTTTTAAAAATGCTTTTAAATTTTAAGCATGTACTTCTTTAACTAAAGTAGCCCTTAACAATAAAAGTACTCTACATCCTGCACTATATCGCTACTAGGCCTAGGGGCTTGCAGAGCAGGTTTAGGGTGTCCCTAAAGCAGTTCCTCTAAGAGGGCTTCCTTCCTAACATTGTTGCTTATTAGTTAAATAGTATAAGAGGTAGAGTACAGCATGTATGCAGTCTTTTTAGGACTAAAGTCTTTTAAAAGCTTCTTAGTAGATACTAACTAAATTCTACTGTTATTATTTTCTTACTACTTAAATGTACTATTTTTAAAATAGATTTTAAAGTTAGCTTCTTACAGCTAAAAATACTCTAAGATTAAGTTATAACTTAAAAAATTAGCTAACTAGAATTTTTAAAGGCTAACTTCTTTATTAGTACCTTTATTATCTATGTAGATA